ATATTGGGAATAAGTGACTTCTAGGCCTAACCATAACTGCCTACAAAAGTAGACACATATGTGATGAGTGAAATAATTAGGCATATGCATAGTGCACAAAAGTGCCAAATGTAGGAATGCATGATAAATAGCATATATTATGACCAGCATAGATGGGTGGGACAGCACAAACATTGGTCAGGTAAGACTAGGATAGTGATGAGGAAGTTAGCAATGGTGGTGATCCACCCACAAGCATTTGCCTAGTCATAGGGCCTTGAGCAAGTCATATGGCCCAATATCTACCCCAATAGTTTTTGGACAACCTAGTTTGAAGGTCAATGGGTTTGAATGACTATTCTGCTTTTTGTGCTACAATAATTTTTAAAAAAATTACAAAACTTATGATTTGTGTTCATCCAAACCATAGTGTGAGTACAAGGCAGAGGGGGTATTTTGACCATTCTTTCACAAAAATTACTCCATAGGGTTCCTTTTATGACCATTCTTCTGTGCGTCATTTATATCTACACAAATATTTCATATTTGCATGTGATGTAAACTGACAAATATATCCCTACTGAGTAATTTAATACTTTATAGGGCCATGTGTGAGAACGTTTGGTAGACGACACCAATCTGGCTGTCCAAGGTGCCTCCCCTAGGTAGCTACTGAATCCGTCAAATGAGATATGATCTCTCTCTCTCTCTCTCTCTCTCTCTCCCTCTCTCTCCCTCTCCCTCCCTCTCCCTTTCGCTAGACCTACTAGGCCTAAGTTTCATGCCGGTCATTAACATCCTGAGAAATTCATTTTTAGCTTACTCTGAGAGCAAACTATTAGTTATCCAAATAAGTGAAAATATTAGCAGGATTTGTGAGCCCAATAAAGTATAGACTAGGTATCCTAACGACAAATAAATGCATACTTTTTCGTATAAAAAGAATTGATTATTTCATTATCTGTGAGCATAAATACAAACTTTAAAAGGGAGTTTTACTCGTGGATGCTGAATAAAGTTTTAAAGTTTTCCGCACGTTTAGAACAAGGATAGATATTATATTTTAATTTAACTCTCTCTTTTCCTGCTCTAGACACAAAGTCAACCATTTTGTCGTCTGGGATGGGTACGAAGACCATTGCATCTTTGAATCAACCGCGGGCATTGACTAGTAAGGACTTTTTTGCAATTCTCCGCTTCTTTTACTCATTTGCAGATTGCATCCCCAGTGGATTGTAATTGTATTAACATCATTTTCTACAGCTGTTTTATTTTTCTAAATTCATATTTTGCCGACCGACAAAATCTCCTCTCCACTGACCGAGTTAAGAGCCTTGAATCCACGAAATGAAGTTGGCTAAGACCATAAGGCTGTATATATTTTTATTGGGCCCCAATGCAGCTCAAATCTCTGTTCACTAGAATCAAGTCAACTCATGATTTAATCACTACATTGGTACTGACTTGAAAAAGGTCAAACGAGGAACTAGTCCCTATAATCACGTCAACTAGGAATCCAAAGCACTGGAAAATGGGTCAAACTGAGCATTCTCTTAAAAAGCTTACTGCTGAGGGGTAGCTCGTCCAGGAACCGAGGGGCCTCGTTTCTCAGCTTCACGCCAAGATGTCATGTCCCATGTTCCACCCCCAGAGAGAGAAGAGAGCGACAGACACTGGCAGAGAGCGAGATAGATAGATAGAGAGAGAGAGAGAAAAAATGATATGATATTCACCCCCATTGGCTGTCCCGGTCACCGGCAGAGAAAGAGAAAGATGCCTCGATTTTACCTGGATTTTTGGTGTACATGTACTTGGAAGAGAGAGAGAGATCCCTGATTCAATTTTCAAATGAAGCAGCTCTCAACCGCAGACTTGCTCCCGCCAAGTAGCATCCCGGTGCGAAGCCGCTCCCAGTCGTCCCCACTTCTCCACGAACGCCTCTCTCTCTCTCTCTTATCTCTCTGTCTCTTTCTTCTCTGTGAAGTTGCTGTGGGCAGGAAAAGAAACATGCGCCTTGATGCATGAGGCAAGCAGATGTGGAGGAGGGGGCCAAGTGGCCCCGGCCTCTGCAGGTCGTTGCTCATCAGCTTCGCAGGGGACGTCCTTGTCGACGGGACAAGGGACGGAAGGGAAAACTGCCCATGGCGCCTGCTGCGCTACCATTAGTTCTCTACAAGCTGACCTCAGGGCACCACCGTCTCCTTAATTCACATCATTCTCTGAGGGATCAGGGTAGGAGACCGCCTCGCGGGACTTCGCCACTCATCACTCGGGGATCGATCTCTTGAGTGGGGGAATTCGGGGCGTCTTGGTGCCATCCTGCTTACGCAATGCCGGAGGAGGACGCGTCGGCGCCGTTGTTGGAGAAGGTGTACCATGAAGGTTGCCCCGGATGTAGGGTAGATCGGTAGAAGGCGAGCAGGGAAGTGATACCTTTGAGGGAGTTCTTCTTCGTTTGGCTCGTCACCCTCTGCACAGGTAGGAAGAATCGAGCAATTCGTCTCTCTTCTTCTCCAGCGTCTCTTCTGTCTAAAGAAGCCGTAATTATGGGTAGACACATCCTCCCATTTGCTTGGATCACTGCTCTTTGCCCCACGCCTAATTGACCACTGGTGATGTGGAAGGAGAATGACTCACACATGTCCCACTCACTAATTCATCTTCAGCCGCTCGAGTCCTCCCTTGCTCATAGCTCTATGTGATTGCACTACTGACCCGCTTGCAGGCCTTGTTGGCAAGTGGTTTTCCCTCTTTTTCTATCTTTTTATTTTCTTTTATTTTTCTTCATTTATCTCAAAAATAGGATTATATAAATTATATAAATTCACATAAAATGACATAATTAGACAAAAAAATTACATTAATTAACTTAAAACTACTTTTCATAATTTAACACAAATATAAATCTATTTATCATGAGTTAAGACTAAAACTATATTATTAATTAATTATTATCTCATGATAATAAAGACTTATAACTCACATAACTAGAAGAACTTTACACTCATACTTAGAAAACTACTCTAAGAAGATAATGTGATAAATTTATAATAAAAATATATAATCAATGATAAAATAGTAATTTTCATCATAAAATATTTAAAAATGTCATCAAGCACTTTAGATTAGTAGAAATCACTCTATAAAGAACTATATCTTTCAAAAGTTTAGGCTGTAACACAATGATTCCTAGGTTTCCTAATTTTTAGTAGAAGACAGAGTTAAGGTTAACTACATGTAGATTAATTCCTTTGTTCCAACAATGAGAATAAATATTTGACTTAAGGAAGTGCATGTTATAATATGGTTTACATTGCCACACAAGTGCATGTGTGCATAATGAGATTCCATATAATCCAACATAAACCAATGGGAATGGTTGATTTGTAGGTATAACTATAAGTGCCCACATAAGTAAACACATGTAGGATGAGTGAAAGTGTGGAATTAGGTATATGCATAGTGCACTAAAGTGCCAAATGTATGAATACATGTGGAATAGCATATAGTTGAACCAGCATAGATCAATGGGATAGTCAGAGCATTAGTTAGCAATGGTGGTCATCCATGCGCATCTGCATAGGCATGAGGTCTTGAGCTGTGGCATGACCAAATATCTACTCAAACAGCTTATGAAGTTGAGGGGACAACCTAGCTTGAAGGTCAATGTGACAAATGACTATTCTGCTTTTTGTGCTTCAATAATTCAATAAAAAAATATTTAAAATTAATATTTGTATCCATCTAAACCCTAGTGTAAGTACAAATCAGGCGTTCCTTGTTTGACCATTCTTCTTGCCGAAATTTATATTTACACAAATTTTTAATATTTGTGTAATACTGCATTCTTATAGGGCAGGAACTTATATGTTAATTAATTTAACAGTTTTGACTATATTAGGGCCGAGTGTGGGGATGTTTAATAGACCACACTGATCTGGCTGTCGACTCAGCCCGGTTGACCGAGACACAAGCCGCCTCCCCATGTGGGATATCTATCCGGGACCTGAGCTCCAATAAGGATCATCCCCGTCGTTCGATCTTTTAGGGATCAAGCCCAAGGTTTCAGCGACCACGTCTCTCTCTCTCTCTCTCCCTCCGTCTTTCTCTCTCCCCTTAACAATCCTTCACAAATTTATTTTCTAGTTTACTTGTAGGCTGAGTGCAAACTATTCGTTATTCAAATAAGTCCAAATCTAACCATTTTGTCTTCTTGTGGTGGGGTCGGTACGAGAACCAGTGCTACAGCTTCGAATCGACCAGTGCTACAGCTTCGAATCGACTAGTAACCAGTTGTTTCAATTATCCGCTTTTTTTCACTCGTTTGTAGATCCTTCTCCAGTGGATTATAATTGTATTAACATCCTTTTCTGTAGTACCCAGAATCACATCAACTAAGAATCCAAATCCCCGGACAATGGGTAAACCAGAATCAACTTGTCCCCATAAAACGTGCCAAACTGAACATTCTCAACTTATGGACCTTGGTTAACTCTCTAGGCCTCTCCTTCCACTACTCTCTCCAGCTGGCAGCATTTGACGAGCTCCGCTTATATTTAATATTTATCACGTATGTACCCATTAGTAATGGAATAATCATAAAAAGTAATGAACTTCATTAGGAGGAGCCACATGACATTATTTATTTCACAGGGGCTTTTTCAAAATAAAGCAGTTAAATCCACGAGGTCGCTCCCATTCCCTGTTTCCTACAAAAGTGACGTGCGCAATGATGCATGAGGCAAGCAGATGCGGCGGAGGATGCCAAGCTGCAGACGTCTGCAGGTTGCTGCCATCACTTTCGCAGGGGTCGACGGGACAAGGGACGGAAGGGAACACTGCCCATGACGCGTGCTGCGCCACCAGTAGTACTCTCCAAGCTGACCCGAGGCCACCACCGTCTCCTTGTCTACATCTTTGAGGAACCAGGCCAGGAGAGTGCCTCGGGGGAGTTTACTATTTATTGAGCGATCTCTTCTGTGAGGGAATTCAGGGCGTCTTGGACCCTCCCTGCTTAACCCATGCCGGAGGAGAACGCGTCGGCCCCGTTGTTGGAGAAGGTGTACCATGCAGATTGCCCCGGATGTAAGGTGGATCGGTGGAAGGCGACCAATGAAGGGATACCTTTCAGGGAGTTATTTTACGTTTGGCTCGTCACCCTATGCACAGGTAAGAAGAATCGAGGAGTAAGTCTTTCTTCTTCTCCCGCGTCTCTTCTGGCTCAAGAAGCCGCAATTATGGGTCGACACCAAGGCATCTGTTGGCTTGGTGACTAACTGAATTCTTCCCGTTTCCGAGGATCTCTTTGACTACGAGTTCCGGCGTCTGCGTCCTATGTTTTGAATTTCTTTTTCCTTCTTTCTACTTTTGGCGTCGCGGTTGTCGAACTTGTTTGACCTCACAAACTTGTCCACACCATATTCTTCTTGGGTTCCGTTCGGCCTACTTCCCTTCTGACGAATGCGGCTCACTTGTTTCAGACTGTCTCTTTTGTTATCTCGTCAGTTGTGTATTTGAGGTTAAATATGATTCCTTGGACACCTATTCTGTGTTGTTAAATTCCTGGCCTCTCTCTAAGGTGTCTGAATAACGTCAGTAGATTCCCTTATCTACCACCCTCGCTGACACTTTCAAAAATGATTTCTTGTTCCTGTATAGAATTTTCAGAAGCCTGAATGGTCCATAAGAAAGAAATGAGGGTGGAGTTTCAGATTACTTTGCCAGATAAGGATGGTGCCTCGTACTTGTTTATTTGGCTCTTCATAACCTCTCTAGCCAGTATCCACAATGGGATATCATGTTCTATAGTATAACAGACCTTCTGCTACATAGTGTACGCATCCTTCTTGCTTTACTCCATCTTTTTGTTTAGATCATTCTAATGCGCAGAGTATCAAAGTAACTTTGTTGAACAGGGAAGGATATTCTTTATATTTGTTTAAAATTTTTGAGAGTTTCTCTTTTATTCGTCTCTGCCTAGAATATAGATTTTTCTTTCCAGCTGTAGATTCTAACAAGGCCGAAATGTAAATTTTAGCATGCTCATCTGAGAAAATGTATTTTGACTGACGTACTAGCACGATTAAGTAGTGGAAATGTCCATCTGGATCTATTTCTAACTCATATGATGATGTCAATTTTCTTGGGGGTATATTATTTTATCATATTCCTCTAATTTTTCCCCTAATTTTTGTGTTCTGTCTTTTCAGCCCTCCCAATATCATCATTGTTTCCATTCTTATATTTCATGGTACGTATCATATTTACAGGTTTCACTTACTTCCTTCAGATCGAATTTAATGAGTTTCAGCGATATTCTCAAGTGCTTTACGAATCTCATTGTGCTGCTCTATTCGGAATGTAGTTTTCTTGGATTACCTCTGAACTTGGATCCAATGGATGTTCTTACCCTAAATGCTAAATACTTGTAAATTTTATCTTCATTGTCTTGGATAGGTTAGAGACCTGAATATTGCGAAGAGAGAGGAAGATATTGGTTTCTATGCGGGTTATATTGGTAAGGTTTTTGTGATTGTACTCTCAGGGCTATAAAGAAGGCTAAGTTTTTTCAATTAAGATAATTCAGTAGCTATCTAAAATTTCGCTTCTCCTCTGACACAATATCTTTGTATCTTTTCTTCAAAGGATCTTCTTTTATGTTTGGAAGAGCTTTGACATCCTTTTTATGGGGGATTTTAGCTGATAAATATGGACGAAAGCCAGTTATTGTGTTTGGCGTCAGTTCAGTGTTCGTATTCCTGAATCATGGTTTCATAGAACTTTTGACAATAATTTCTCATGACATGCCCTCTTCCATTGTCTATTGCAGAGTAATCTTCAACACTCTGTTCGGGCTCAGCACGAATTTTTGGATGGCAGTCTCAACCAGGTTTCTTCTTGGATCTTTAAATGGGTTGCTTGGCCCTATCAAAGTATGTGCTTCTACCTAGGACTCTTTGAATATCAAAGAAAATAAATATCATCTTGGATAATACGGACATTAAGTTTCCAATTAACTCTTTTGCATTGCTTTTTCCAGGCATATGCTGTTGAAGTTTCCCCTAAAAAACATCAAGCTTCTGCACTGTCACTTGTAAGAGATCTTAATGGCTTTATTGATAATTTCGTATAACTTGATTCATCAGAGTGAATTTATTTTTATGTTTTGTGATACTTATCACCGTGCTTTTTAAGATCGTGCATGATGATAATTTCCGTTAGAACACCTTGTTGGAATGCGTCTTTCATAATGCATATTACATTAGGTCGGGAAGTATATTCCTTGTATAGTTATGGATTTTGTTATCTTGGGTTTGAAGAAATATGCGGGTATCTTCTTTGGTTTTGCTTGTAATCCCTGATTCCACTTTAGATATGATGCGACCCAACTTCCGCCCTTAAAACTTAGAAGATTATCATACACGACCTCAAATAGGATATCCGTTTGCCCAGTTAGCTTAGGTAATAATGTTGCCAACTTATGTTTTAGCACAACTTTGGGTTTAAAATACTTGGGATCATAAGGTTGCAGATTTTCTCTATAAAAGTACTCGATATAAATCTTCTATTATGAAATAACATCAAATGGAGACGCTCCCAAAATTTTGAAAGGATTCTTGGTAAGGAATAAATTGAATCGCTTTAAGTTTTCTTGACCCCTAGTAGAAATATCAGTGTCTGTAGAAGATGCAGACACTGATGAATTGGTAAAGATGACAATTTGCTCTCTGGTCCACCGACAATCATCATGGCAGATGGTGGCATCACATTAGATGTCTCCATACATCCCCACGAAGCATGTGAATTTTTTTTCTGACAATCCACATCACATTGGTTCATCTCGTTCTCTGTATGTACAATGCCTGCGATATTCCTGCAGTTTTCGTGGGGAGGACAGTGACATCCCATTCCTCCATCTAGGACAGCCACTCGTATTCTTAAATTTTTCAGCAATATACCGTCGCATTGTATAAAAGTGAAAGGTTGAGAAACTTTGGTTACCTTTTTGTGATATGGATTGTATCCAGCGTTTTAATTTAATTTCTATTTTCTTGTATCATTAACTTTTTTGCTGAATGGCCCTGGGCCATTTAACAATTGTACCTATTCTCAGGTTGCTACTTCGTGGGGCATAGGACTGATTATTGGCCCTGCAATTGGAGGTTACCTTGCACAGGTACGTATACTGCCCATTGATGTTGTTGTGCATGTTTCTGTTCAGAAAATTTTCATACCCAGAATTACCCACTTCTGGGCTGGTAGTTTTTTTCGTTCTCTTGTTCTCCAAGAGGCAATGCAGAAAACTGATGGGAAACTCTTTCATGTCAGAAATTATACACCATTATATTAAGAGTTGAAAATTTTAGTAGGTTGTACAGAGGATCACTGGAGCAGTAGCTTCCTGCCAGATACCCTAGGCGGATCAATAAATGAAACCTGTATTGTAGGCCCAAGGGTGGGCCCAGGGGGTCCAGGGTTAACCAACAAGTATATGATGTACGCCCGTCTTCATCAGAGAGTAGTGTGCCTTGATTTTTATATATGATTTACCTTGATAGAGTTCTAACAAGTTCATACCCTAGTATATCAATCTCCCTTAAAAGATCTATAATACATATTTCCATCAGATATGTAAACCCTTCATTAGATTACGCTACTTTAAGCCCAAGAAAGTACCTAAGGTTACCAAGATCTTTGACTTCAAATTCCTTAGCAAGCTTTGTCTTTAATAGTTTAATCTCCACATAATCTTTGATCACTTCATATCATTTTCATAAACTATTGAGTTACAAAAACTTTCATTCTCGCCATTTTGTAAATGAGGTATGATCATCATTCCAATGTTCACAGTAAAAAGTGATCACCACGATTTCCAAGTCTATTAAATCAGGCTTACGGAGATTGCCTTAATTAATATTAGATCATTCTTCAATCTGAATACTTATTAACCAGGTGGGCAGCGCATACAACCTCCTCTTGAAAGTCTCTATTTAAGAACGCGTTTTTCGCATCAAGTTAGTAGAGCTCTCACCTTCTGTCATCTTTATGAGTCATCAAATAAAACATGGCCAGGAAAAGGCTTACCAGAAAAGGGAGTGAAAAAATAGTAACAGAAAATACATTTCCTTAAAAATCTCTGATATCCCTAAATAATATTGAGAAGAATATATATATTGAAAGGAGGTATATTTAGGAATAATATCTCTGATAGTATCTTGCGATATTCGTCACTATATTATCCCATTTTATTGTTGGATAATCCAAATATCGAATAAAAGCTGAAGACATTTTTCTATGTTTTCAATATCTGATAAGTCATTTGCGCTAAGAAAAAGACTTGGGATGATGTATCTGTTGAAATCTTGATAAAGGTGCTTAGTAATCATATCATCCAGATGAATTCTTCTTGACGACTTTTCTATCTGTGGCAGTATGGGTATATGTGGTATTTAAGCGTTTTTGATATTTTATTCGATGTATTTAACCTATTTCCTTAATCTCATATATGCGTTTTCGACAGCCTGCAGACAAGTTTCCAAACTTATTTCCTAAAGAATCCATATTTGGAAGGTGAAATTTGATGTGCATTTTTACTGGATTTCTTGATAAATGACTCGTTTCTATCCTAAATGGTGTCGTTCTTGTTGTGTAGGTTTCCATATTTCTTACCTTGCCTCTGTATATCCCTCATTGCAGTGGGTGTATTGGTTGCCTGTATTTGGCTCCCTGTAAGTTAGAATTCTCCTCTAATGTCGCTCATTCTGGTAATTTGATCGATATTTATTTTCTTTACTGTATGCATGTACTTATTGAATCTGATGGCAAAACCTCTGCGTCTCTGAACCAATTGTGATAAACTTGTTCCATTTACCATGATGTAGCTAGATCGTTTGGCCTTTTCTTGAAAGATGTCTGATCGAGTTACTGGTCTCGACTATATATCATCAGCTTTAATATCTGATGGCCTCATTTAATTTCATCTTTAGCTTGAATGTAAAACATAGGAAATGGATGATATTTCACGGGACCTTTTATTGCCTTACATCAGGTTAGATATTCTTGTATACGTTTAGCTAGATTTATATCCCTGTTTATGCTACCCAATAATTAGACCCTATATTTTTTCCCGCTAACTTTAGTCTCTAGAAATTTCATACGTGAGGATTTAGTACTCTCGTCACAGGAAAAGGACGAGTATTGTTAACATGGGCTGAAGACCTTGGGCTAGAGATCTTCTAGAAGCTGCTCAAAATCTCCTGCCAACCGTCAGTGCTCAGAAGCTTCTGTTTTGTTTTGTCAGTCTAGGTCTCTGACACACCTCTTGTGTCAAAGATTTACAGATATCTGTTCTATTTTGTCTTGTCAGTCTAGATATCTGGCATATCTCTTGTGTCAGAGATATCTCCACATGTATGTTCTCTGTTGTCTTGTCAGAGTCTCTGCTCTTTGTGGATGACCCTACCCCTTGGGAGGTCTGTATAATTCCCAAGTGTGTACCCCTAGGCATTCAATATATATCTTCCACTTCTTTGAGAGTTTCACTCCTTGAGTGCTCCTCCCCTTGAGAGTCCTCTTATTATGCTTGTAGATTTAAGCAAACCTCCCTTGTGGATTCAAGGGTCGTAAACCAAAGCCTTGTGGAGTCAGGCCTAACCCCTTGTAGATTCAAGGGTTGAAGCAACTGGTTATGTGGACTCACTCAGAACTCAGTTCCTTCAAGCAGTAGGATCTGGGGATTCAAGACCTGGCTCCTGCATCTCTCCTTCCCTGAGACTGTGTTAAGTATAGTCCTAAGTAAAAAAGACATTTATTCTCGTTTCGGAGACATCTATTTGGATCTCTCTCCTCTCTCTCCCTGATCACATATATGCGTATGACCACCTAAACCCATCTCCCTGGACCGCATGTTTTCTTCAATTAAATAAAATTAATGGGAAAAATCAATGTTGATGGAGAATTACGATTATATTCCTATTCTTCTGATAGGAATTAACAACCAGATTAAACCTTCAACATCAAGAAATTTCTAGGGGCTAAAAGCTAGCAGGAGAAATGTAAGAGCTTATTAATGATGGATTGAGTTTATCGGAACCTACAGCTAGTTAACTCCACTTAATAATATTACTTTTTTTCATAACTTTATCTCCTTTAAAGGTTTTAATCACACTATGTCAACTTAAATTCCTTATCTTAATTTATATGCTTATGTTTTCGTGACGAGACAGATAATTTGTCAGGAATAGTTTTTCCGTTTTAATAAATATAGATTTGTGGCAAGTGATTTTTTTTACATAGCGGTCTTGCTGAGTAATAATATTCTTTCCTTTTCCTTGCAACCAGCAATGCCATTCTTCTTATTGTTGTGATACACCTTTTTGCAGGAAACATTGCATACCCACAAGGAAACTAGAGATCATATATCTTATGATCCTCTTGGTGCTTCTGAAGATGGCTCTGCTTTCAAAGTGAAGGATGAACAGACGGAAAGGAAAAAATATCCATCTGAAGAAAATCTCTTTAAGAATTGGCCTTTAATGTCATCCATCATCGTTTATTCTATTTTCTCCTTTCATGATATGGCTTACACTGAGGTACCTCTCACCGCTCTCTGACACACACACACAGAGAATAAATTCCATATTGTTCATAATAATGAAGCTGTAGTGTGTCCATGTAAACAGTATGGTGATGATAGATTGTCGTTTAATAACTGTATGGTTCTTACGTATAGTCATTGATTGTGTAGATTTTCTCCCTTTGGGCTGAAAGTGATAGAAAGTATGGAGGTCTGAGCTTTTCCACAAATGATGTTGGCCAAGTGCTTGCAATCTCAGGTATACTTCGTCTCAGGATAATGTGGATTTGTACTCATATTGTGAAATCTCAAATCATACATCCGGAACAGATAACCCACTTCCTTGTTCAATTAACAGTTTTTTAAAAATCATTCCGTCAATAAATGATTTTCACCTCCTTACGTCCTTTGATACTTTATATCCCTCAATATGACTGTTAGAGAGCCATTATGAGAGTATGCTACTCAAATAAGTCTGTTATACTAAATGTTTGGATTTGGTGAAAAGCATTCGTGGAAATGAATAATGTTCTTTAATTGATCTAGCATATCATTTTCTCTGCGATTAGATCGAGATGTTCACTTCGCATATTTGAGGTATGCACGAAGGCTCAATTATTGGCATGTAGTACTGGGTATGTTTTGGGTATCCAGCTAAAGACCAATTGGGTGTCCGTTGACACTTGCAGCGCTACTTTACCCTCTTGCATACTTTTTTAGGCACATGACATTCCCCCTATTACTGGGGTACTCCCACATCAGTAATTTCGTAGTAAGGAGCAAGCGATAAATCACTGAATAGAGAGTTCTGTTGTGTTGGATGCTCCATAAAGGTCATATTTCAATGCAAGCCGAACAATCATTTAAAGGCCTATGTAGCAGAAAAACATAGCCCTTGTCCCATGACTTGAAGCTAGTATGTACAAAGTGATGGGCAGGAACAGATGCTCCGTAGAAAATGATGCTCGCTCCCAGTAGATGCTCCAGAGATTTTCAAAGGATGTTTTCGTGAATTTTCATTGCTTTTAAATAAATCCATCATTTGACATTGTATTACATATTTACAGCCAATTAAGCTCTCCATTTGAGGCATCTGAGTTTCAGAAGGATGTTTCAAGATGGTTCAAAGCCTAAGTTTCTTTGCCTGTTCTGTGGCTCAAAGAACCGCACAAATAACTTCTTGAAATCCACGGGTGCATGCTTCAAGTTATGAACTACCTAAGAACTATTCAGGAGAAGATAAGTCGATAGAATATTGTTTTTATATGTAGAAACTGAAAATTTCTTCAAATCGTACTTCATCGCCAGCTCAGTGTTGACTTGTAACAGTATATATTTAAAGGGACCTAAAAATTATGTACGTCAGTCAGACTGTGTAGCATCCAGTCAGAAATGAGACTATGTACCACAGCTTTTTAGCATTCGATTATGAGTCTTTGAATTCCCAGTTTACGCAGAAAATCATGGTCCAGATAAATTCATTTTTAAATGTCTTCTTTCTCACTAAAAATCCATGTCCCTGTGAATGTGTGCATGTGAATTTTTCTGGAACATGGAATGACTGATTTTTTTTTCTCAGGCTTTAGTCTTCTTGTCTTCCAACTATTTTTGTACCCACCCCTTGAAAGACTGTTTGGTCCAGTTTCTTCATCTCGAATTGCGGGGGTATGAATTATGCAATTTATTTTTATTTACTTAAAATTTTATATTTATTTTTTAGGTTCTATCTCACAAATACTTCTCACTACAGGTTCTGGCAATCCCACTCCTATCTACTTATCCCCTTTTTTCAATGCTATCTGGCGCTGGACTTTTCGTGGTTGTGAATTTTGCATCTTTGTTAAAGAATATTTTGGATGTGAGTTCAGCTCATCTTGGGTTCCTTCCTCTTTTCTAGTGCAATAGGTGAAGGCATTTCATCACTTTTTCTTTGTACGTACGATTTTCATGATGAAGATTTAACATGCAATCAAGGAGAAGGGAAAAATGTAAATAAATTAATGAGCACAGAACAAGTGTATGCCATGATTTCTTTTTACTCGAATGCCACGTGGACATTGCTTTGTAGAGTAAAGGAGTTTTCATATTTTGATTAAAAAATAAATGTCTGGTATCATTGTCGACTGTTATGCTGAAGTGCCCACAATGGTTAACAAGTTTAACATGCTTTAGTTGTTGAGTTTCTTTCATTCGGTGTGATCTGAATTTTTATTTCCCTTTTTACAAGATCGAAAATTTCCTACGTCATCTCTATGTCAAGGTTGTTAGTTTGATTGCATACTTCGCGTGCATGGTTTATTCAGCCTCCAGTTAAGTCAGGAAAGGTACAGGAGAGATGTGTGATAATCCCCTGAGGGACTGTCATAACCTGATTCTAAGATTTTGAAAACTGAACCAAAGTCAAACAGTTGGAGCCCTAGTTTGCACAAATCATCAAGAATGCTTACTCAAGTGGTCTTCGTCTACCTGGCACTAGAATTGAGTAGTAAAACTTCAATTTTCCGAGGATGACGAAAATTCAGTGAGAAAGTTGGTTCGGACAATACCCAATACAGCATCGAATATCCATGTATAGACATAACGGATACTGTTAATTGATCAAATATACAATCAAAATTTGATTAGATGATTTCCGTGGTAAAATCCCATTAAAAGAAAACTGTCTGTCCTCACCTCTCTTCTATATTTAACATCCTATATGCTGTGTGATCTTCTGTGAGAATTTTCATTTCTTGAAGTTTAAATTTCTCATTTTGACGTATTTTCAATTTCGATCAGATTATCATCAACATTGGAATGGTCATTCTTCAAAACAACTCTGTGGTAATTTTCTACTCTCATATGTTATAATTTGAGTTCCCTCGATCCATGACTCCAACTTAAAAAACTTATCTCGCCAAATATTTGGTTTTTTTTTCGTTCGATGTCAGGAACAACACCAAAGGGGAGCTGCGAACGGCATGTCTATGACTTTGATGTCTATCTTCAAATCTGTAGCCCCAGCAAGCGGTGGTGCATTGTGAGTGCCTTAACTATTCTTTTTACTATTGGTACAACTCTTCTATAATATAATACGGACTAAATCTCAGCATGTGGTCCCATCAGCCGAAGTTCAACAACCTTCGGTACTTGTTTCCCTTATTTTTGGGAAGTACTCTCTAAGCAGAGAATTCTGAATCGGAGGTATAGTTGAGGGGTGCAAAATGGAAAGAGGCCATGTTTGACGTAGAAACTAATAAATTCAGTCGGTAATCTTATTTCTTAGATAACAGAGCATGTCCCTCTCCCATTGCCACTCATTTATATACTAACCCAGAGATAAATTCTCTTCTCTTCATGTAGAAGAACAGATTCCTGTTTGCTATGCTGGTCGCAGTCCCAGAACATTACTTTATTTGGGAGGAGGACTCATGAATTTCGCTGATTTTCTATTTGAAGAATGAATTCTCCTGGTTGAGTGGTTTTGTGCTCTCCGCTGGGGATGTTATTCAGGATAAAAGTAGTGTGCTTTCAGAGTTAGTTATTTTTCAAAAATTAATAGGAATGCTATTTTGATCACCCAAAATCACAAAAAAACAAAGAAATAATTATGCTGGTGGTTTGATTCAGTCCTAAATTTGCTTTTGCGCAGATTTTCTTGGGCCCAGAAACGTCAGACTGCTTCGTTTCTTCCAGGTAATGGTCCAGAAATTTCCTTCAAATCAACATATAAAATGTGCTTATATATATATATTCGACTTCACAATTGATGTTATCTAACTAGAAGTCGGCTGATTATCTGAGCATTCACTGTGTTCATAGTTGAGCTGCTGGGTCCTTATAGCTATCTCGAATCATGGTATCAACGCGAGCCTCATCTTTCTGTCATGCAGGTGATCAGGTGGTCTTCTTTGCACTGAACGTAGTTAAGCTTCTTGGCGTTCTATTGACTTTCAGACCGTTCCTAACTCTAAGAAACGAGCCTCCCTCTACATAGCCCAGAATGGAGGGGAGGGAGAGAGAGAGAGAGAGAACTCTATTGGAAAGGCCAGGTGGTAATTTCCGAACTCGTTCCTGAGCTCTTGGAGAATCATGTCCAAATACAGACTTAGACATTACTATGTTCTTTCGCTGTCGAAGAAAGCCCTTCTGTTCACTTTACTGTTCCTCTGCCACGGAACACTGTAGTGGAGACATGATGGGTCGTATTCGTTACTGTTTATTTTACCCACAATTTTTATGTTGTTCAAAGTCCCCGGGCCCTTGGATTGCAAAGATGGGCTTGTCGTTGGCGTTGGTTAACGGGCCCAATCTCTGGAATATGGGCTTCAGAAGCCCACATAATGTGCTTCGGCCCGGTCATATGCTCTAGGAGTGAACCTGTATTCAGGCTTAAGTCAGCAGCACTAATGGTTATGTATTTGGAAAGTGGATGACAAAAAGTTCACTGTGAATCATCAGAGGGGTGGATGAGAAAATTTCCATCGAGTGCGGCATACACTCGTACTTTGGGCTAGTATTAGGCTAAACTGAGTGGTCATATTCGGTCAGTTTTTAGTGGGCTCTCCCTCGATATTCAGGTGACCCTTTATCGGCCCATAGAGTGGTGGGCTCATAAATGTTGGGCTCATTCCCTAAATGATGAGGGTTTAGTGCCTTTATTGGGCCTGAACTTATCAGACTCCGTCGTTGGGCCCATAGCTGAATGATCTGTTTTTCTTTGTTATTTTTTATATCTAATCTGTGTATGAATGTTGCTTATTGTGATCTTATGATCTTTTGTAACTTAATAGACCCTATCGTTTGATCTCTGACTTAAGATATATTATCTACCTGCACTTCTACTACAAATTCAGATCATTTTGGGTGGCTCATTAAACTGCTTGGTTGGACTAGCTAGATTTGTCAAAGTGGAATCTGTTAGCTATCCAAATAATTCAAAATATTTGCAAGGTCAGGTTTTTTTTAAATGACAATTAAGTGCATACTTTTGTATAAAATTAATCGATTATTTCATTACTTTTAGTGGTTTTTTTAATTAAGAAACTAGATCATGTTCCCTAGACATACTCCCACTGAGTGGCACCCTTGCACAGATTGCTCCTTGTCATCCCTCTCTCTCTCTCTCTCTCTCTCTCTCTCTCTCTCTCTCTCTCTCTCTCTCTCAAGTCATGGGAAAGTATTTGTGTATTTCTATAAATAGTATGCTTGTTTCATCTTTCCATTAGAGAAAATCAAATCACCAAAAAACCTTAGTCATTTTACATCTACTTAGAAACTCTCTCAAAGCTGACCCCATCTAAGTATTTAGTCCATAGATCTAATAGAGAATGCTTAATATCTAGTTATATATAAAAGGGGAGGGTTGCTAATTAACAATCTAAGCTACTCCATCTCCATGAACTTGTCGTACTTATAAAAGGGAGGGAGGAAAGTAGTGATAGAGAGAGAGGGGAGAGAGAACATAAATTCAAATGAACTAAGCCAAATGTGTTAATGTATGGTTAATGTATAAAATATCTTAATTTAAAAATTGTATGATACAAAAAGTACTTATGTAAGACATAACTATTAATGTACTTTAATAAAGTATGTGATCAGCTCTTTATTAGCTTTGAGAGACAAGTTTGATGTTGACGAAAGAGAGTAACTTTATATTATAATATTGCACTAAGAAATAAGAAACATATTGACAAATTATTTTCAAAACCTAGCATTCCAAGATGATTTTCAGACTAATTACATAACCAAAGTGTCTCATTTTGTTTTACATAGGAACTTGAATCACATAGCTAGAAGAACTTTATACTTGTGCTTAGAAAATTACTATAAAAGGATAATGTGATAAAGTTATAATAAAAATCTATACTCAATGATAAAATAATAATTAACATCATAAAATATTAGAAAATATCATCTACTACTTTGGATAAGCAAAAACACTCTATAAAGAATTATATCCTTAAAGAGTTGTGTAGGCAAAAACACAATCATTTTAAAGTTTTCTAATTTTTGGTAGAAAACTAGAAATCAAAGATAAAGTTAAGATTAGTTACATAAAGATCAAATTTTTTGTTATAAAAATGAGAATGAGCAAGTACTTGACCTAAGTGCATGTTATAGTATGATTTACATCAACAAACAAGTGCATATGTGCATGATGAGATTTCGTATAACCCAACATGAAATAGTGGGAATCTATGACTCATAGGCATAACTATAATTGCCTACATAAGTAGACACGTGAGTGATGAGTGAATGTGTGGAATTAGGCATATCCATAGTGCACAAAAATGCCAAATGTATGAATACATGTGAAATGGTGACCAGCATAGATGGGTGAGACAGCCCAAGCATTTGTTAGATGAGACCAGTATAGTGATGAGTAAGTTAGCAATGGTGGTCATCCACGTGCATTTGCATAGTCATGGGGACTTGAGCAAGTGGTATGGCCCAATATCTACCCAAATAGCTTTGGAAGTTGAGGGGACAACCTAGCTTGAAGGTCAATTGTTTGAATGACTATTCTGCTTTTCGTGATACAATAATTTAGTTAAAATTTTAAAAAAATATAATTTGGATTCATCTAAACCTAGTGTATGCCCATTTTTCTTGCTGTCATTTATATTTACACAAATATTTCATACTTGTATGTTTTTTCTTCAAGCCCAAGGTTTCAACAACGACGTCTCTCTTTCTCTTTCTCTCCCCTTACTAGGCATGTCATTAAGATCCGTCACAAAATTATTTTCTAGTTTATTTTTAGGCTGAGTGCAAACTATTAGCTATTCAAATAAGTCTAAATCTTTGTGAGATTTGTGAGCCCAATATTCAACATTAAATATTTCAATAATTTGTATATTTATACGAATAAAGTTTTAAAATTTTCCGTTATATTTTAATTTATTGCCAACAAGATCGCAAACGAAAATAATTCATCTGACTTTATCTTCTCTTGTTCTAAACATAAGGTTACCATTTTATCGTCTTGTGGTGGTGGGGTCCTCACGATGACCAGTGCAAGATAGCAACAGCTTCGAATCGACCAAGGAAGTTGACCAGTAAGGACTTTGTTCCAATTATCTGCTTTTTGTACTCATTAGCAGATTCCATCCCCAGTGGATTATAATTGTACTAACAGCCTTTTCTATAGTTGTTTTATTTTTCAAAGTTCGTATTTAGCCGACAGACACAATCTCCCCAGAAGTGAAGTTGGCTAAGACCATAAGGCTGTATCTACTTTTATTGGGCCCCAATGCAGCTCAAATCTCTGTTCACTAGAATCAAGTCAACTCATGACTTAATCACTACATTGATATTGACTTGAAAAAAGTCAAACGAGGAACTAGTCCCTATAATCACGTCAACTAGGAATCCAAAGCACTGGAAAATGGGTCAAACTGAGCATTCTCTTAAAAAGCTTACTGCTGAGGGGTAGCTCGTCCAGGAACCGAGGGGCCTCGTTTCTCGGCTTCACGCCAAGATGCCATGTCCCATGTTCCACCCCCAGAGAGAGAAGAGAGCGACAGACACTGGCAGAGAGCGAGATAGATAGATAGAGAGAGAGAGAGAGAGAGAGAGAGAGAGAGAGAGAGAGAGAGAGAGAGAAAATGATATGATATTCACCCCCATTGGCTGTCCCGGTCACCGGCAGAGAAAGAGAAAGATGCCTCGATTTTACCTGGATTTTTGGTGTACATGGACTTGGAAGAGAGAGAGATCCCTAATTCATCCCATTGATTAATTACCCTCCTTCACTGTACCGTCAGATAGATAGATAGATATATCTCGATTTTGAAATTTTCAAAATATGAAGAAAATTGAAGAAACTTCTCTAAATGCTAATCAAAGCCTTATCCTTCCTATTGTTGCTTAAGCCATGCCGGAGGAGGACGCATCGGCGCCATTATTGGAGAAGGTGTACCGTCAAGGTTGCCCTGGATGTACAGTTTCTCTTTTATTCGTCTCTGCCTAGAATATAGATTTTTCTTTCCAGCTGTAGATTCTAACAAGGCCGAAATGTAAATTTTAGCATGCTCATCTGAGAAAATGTATTTTGACTGACGTACTAGCACGATTAAGTAGTGGAAATGTCCATCTGGATCTATTTCTAACTCATATGATGATGTCAATTTTCTTGGGGGTATATTATTTTATCATATTCCTCTAATTTTTCCCCTAATTTTTGTGTTCTGTCTTTTCAGCCCTCCCAATATCATCATTGTTTCCATTCTTATATTTCATGGTACGTATCATATTTACAGGTTTCACTTACTTCCTTCAGATCGAATTTAATGAGTTTCAGCGATATTCTCAAGTGCTTTACGAATCTCATTGTGCTGCTCTATTCGGAATGTAGTTTTCTTGGATTACCTCTGAACTTGGATCCAATGGATGTTCTTACCCTAAATGCTAAATACTTGTAAATTTTATCTTCATTGTCTTGGATAGGTTAGAGACCTGAATATTGCGAAGAGAGAGGAAGATATTGGTTTCTATGCGGGTTATATTGGTAAGGTTTTTGTGATTGTACTCTCAGGGCTATAAAGAAGGCTAAGTTTTTTCAATTAAGATAATTCAGTAGCTATCTAAAATTTCGCTTCTCCTCTGACACAATATCTCTGTATCTTTTCTTCAAAGGATCTTCTTTTATGATCTTCGGAAGAGCTTTGACATCCTTTTTTATGTGGGATTTTAGCTGATAAATATGGACGAAAGCCAGTAATTGTGTTTGGCGTCAGTTCAGTTCAGTGTTCGTACTCCTGAATCATTGTTTCATAGAACTTTTGACAATAATTTCTCATGACATAAATCTTGTATTATGAAAGAACATCAAATCACCAGAGGATATCAAATGGAGACGCTCCAACAAAATTTCGTGACCTACTTACTTGGAGAAATAACAGTGTCGGTAGAAGGAGGCATCATGGCTGATGGTGGCATCATCTCCATACACCTCCATACATCCCCATACATCTCCATACATCCAAAGAAAGTGTGTGAATTTTGTCGCTGACAATTTTCCCAGAAGGCTACCCGCATTTCGTCATCTCGTTCTCTGTATGTACAATAACCGCAATATTCCGGCAGTTTGTGTGGAGAGAGGACAGTGACATCCCATTTCTCCTTCTAGGACAGTAATTTCAGCCATGTTAAAATTTTCAGCAACATACCGCTGCATTGTATAAAACTGAAAGGTTAAGAAAGTTCGCTTACCTCTTTGTGCTGTGGACTGCATGGTCCAGTGCTGTGAACCCTGAAATTCCATTTTAGCACAAGAGATTTCAGAAATAATTAGCAAAAAACATCTTCTGACGAGGTTATAACCATTTCTCTAAAAGAGAGATATTAATTCGATAAGTGTATAATTTTTACGTACCTTCCAAGCTAGAAGCAACAAAGATGATCAGGGCCATTCATTAGCTCAAACACCGAAGCTGCCACCACGCTGCTGACTTCTCCACCTGGGCTGCAGACTTGAGGAGATGGTGATTTCCTCAGACATACTGTGGATGGCAGGAGTTGATTAAATGGTTGACAAAAAGACGAGGAAAAGCATGGAAAAGAAAAACCTTACGATGGCCACGTACAGTTGTCCAAATGGACCAGAACCCAGGTGAAGCACTTCATAAAAGGTCTTACAGAATAGTGATCAGATGAATTCTCAATAGCCTACGGCAATAAATTTCCAAATCAGGGACAACATCATAAAAGTGGAAATTGGAGTTTCAAAGCTGATCCTCCGCAACAGATCATCCCGGGACATCCACCCTTTTATATAGAATAACAATGGCAAAATAGCAACCAGGTAGCGATTGAAGAATTAACAGGTCCAAGAATTGGATGACATAGAGGAGGATATCAAAAAACGCTAGTTAGGTGGAGTCATTCAAACACAAGCTGTAAGAAAAGCTGGTTAACACAAGAACAACCGTGATAAATCTCTCAGTAGCTCAGAAGTAAACATCTAAGTAATTAAAATGTGTCATGGATGAAATGAAACCTTCAAATCACATAATCCCTTTACAGAACAGAACTGAAAAGTGACCAAATAGTTAGGAGTTCAAAAATTTTGGCCCAAGAGAAGAGTTGTTGAAAACTCTAGTTTTCTAGGAAAAAAAGTACAACACCGGCTGCAGGCTTAAAATAGCGTATGTATGTTCGCAGACGCAGGAACTCCAGAAGAATCATCTTTAAATGGATGATCTAAACAGATCTGCAAAAAATGAACACAATAATATGAAAACCCCAACATATACTTAAGAATCATCCAAGCAACACAAATATAAAATCAGGTTTGATATTTTATCCAGATTCCTGCAATAATAACTTTCGGTCTCCACCATTTCTCTTTTTCCAAGAAGCTTGAAATTGGCTTTTTTCTCTTCGACCACATTCCCCACAACTAATGGTCATAAATTATGATTCATTATTCGATCATGGAAACTATGAACGAATGAAAAGCATAGCATTAATTAATCCAACTCACTATTCAACACTCCAGGAATAAAGTATACATCACACCTATTCCAGGAATAAAGTATGCATCAACACTCCAGGCCTCACACTTCAACTTACGCTAAGAGCTAGTTGACGTTTTCCCTGATTATTGCTTCCAAATAAAAGTTTCAAGTAATGAAAACCAAAAGTTTCAAATAACATGAACATCAGTGAACTGAATTCTACTACATCCAAGAGAAAAAGTATATAGCATACATGCAAAAGACATCTACATATAATGTGCAAGAGACATCAATGAGAAAAAGCATATAACAGGCTTATCCACGTTATAGCAGGCAGTGGACTTCGCCAGGCAATCACCAAAACAACATCTACATCTACATATAATAACGCAAGGAACACAAAACGACTAGAATACCTGTCACGGCATGTAATGTGAAACGCCACCCCTATGTCCCGTGGCATGTTTTCCACGACCAGCCCCATGAGCCATCATGGGATTGCCGTATCCCCCTTGTATTGGTGTGTGCCCTCCATAAGTACCCATCATTCCAGGGTTCACATTACCAGCGATTCCTGCAGGCTGATTACCATATGCACCCTGCATGCCACGTGCCCCGCTGTTCACAAGCAGAGAACCCATGGGCAACCCCAAACCTGCTCCTGGGTTTGCGAGCAATGGTGCCAGATTCTGTCCAAACCCAGGATTGAATCCAGATCCTGACGCTGCACCTGAGGCACTTCCCTTTTTGTATCCTAGTCCTGTGTTGGCCGGAGCCATCAAGTGCCCAAGACTAGCCGATTGTAAATGACCACCCACCCCAAAACTTGCCGTCTCACCCCTGGTCAGATGTGATCCTTGTGCGCCACCCCCAGCCGCCCCATGATGCAGGCCACGGTTGTGTGACTGAAGCCCAAGCTTGCTCGGCTTAGGGCCATCAATGGCCTTCTGGCAATGCAGAATGTGGCCGTCAAAATTCTTGTGCGGTTCCTCCAAAGCCTTCCTTGCACCATCGGGCGTCTTATAGACAAAGAGAGCGAAACCCTTGGGCTTCCCTGTCAGCTTATCTAGGCCTAAAGGACCCTCCTCAATCTCTCCGTATTTAGCAAAAAACTGCAACACTTTTTGAGGATCAAGTTCCGAAGATACATTACTCACGTAAATCTTTCGTTGAGTGTACTCTGATAGCGGAGGGGCGGGGGCCGGAGCAGGCCCTGCGGACGCCATTTGGCAGGCTGTCATTCGATTCCCGATCTTCTTCTGAGGATTTTTAAGGGCTCGACGAGCGCCGGTTCGGTGCTTGAACAAGATGAAGCCATAGCCCTTGGATTTGCCAGAAACTTTGTCGCAGACGACATTAGAGTCCTCGATCACCCCGTACTGGCGGAAAAATGAGGCCAAGGTATCGACGGTCGTTTCCCAGCCAAGTCCATGCACAAAAATCTTGCGGTGGACAGGATCCTCATCAACAACCTGGTTAACACGCTCCATCAAGTCGGTATGCTTCCCAGCCGCCTCGCTTAATAGATTAATCAGCTGCTCTTTCGACAGTGGTTCGAGGAGCTTCTGGATTGATTCCGGTTCGTTATCGTCCTCACCCTCGCCATAGGCCAAAGCAGGGACCTCAGGGTCGACACCGCCTTCTCCCTCCACGACGGAGGCAACAACCCCGGGCATGCCATCGCCATCCCCATCGCCATCGCCACCGCCACCGCCATCGCCGCTGAGGGCAGACGAAACAGCCTCAGTAGCGGTGCTGCTGTCCCCGCCGACAGGTTCGGGAAGAGTATCACCATTGTCATCGGGAAGGGCAAGAACACCGGAGTCGACGACCGCAGAATCGGGGACGGGGACTTCCTCCATCGGCTCCCCATCACCTTCCTCGTCGACGGCGGCAACGGTACCAGAGTCCAGAACGGAAGATTCGACGGCGTGGACGTCCTCCGTCGCTGCGGAAGATACCTGCGGCTCCTCCTGCCCCTCCAACTGGACCCCGTCTTCAACGGTCGGTTCCGGCGCCTCTGGCTGTACAGTCCCATGGAGGGCCTCCGTCTTCTGCTCCCGTTCAGCTTGGCGCTGGGTTATGGCCGCGAGCTTCCTCTTCTTCGCCATCGCTAACTGTGCTCTCCTTCTCGTCGCCGGGGAAGACGGGATCGCCGGTCGTTCTAGGGTTTTCAGACAGACAGGACACCGAAGTGGGGAACAGAAATATCTTTATTTTAATATTTATTGATGATATCAATAGGCCGGACTCGATCTAGGCCCATGAAAAGCATCGGCCCGGAACCCGAAAATTTCCGCTCGAGCCCGGTGAGGGGGAAGGAAGGATCCGGGCCATGGCCCTGAAAAAAGCTCAGACCTATCTGCCTGAATGGGCCATTCCCCTCGACTGAGACTTCTTTACTAACGACAATTTTAAAAAAACTGTGTTAAAATAGTATGACGTGTCATTTCCACGTAACAGAATTACAGTAAAGAATATGTGACATATATAAAATGATACACAGAAGGGCGTCACAGAGGCCCTGGCCCTTCTCGCCACCTGATGAGACGTAGCAGCGAAGGTTCCCGCAGGTTCGGAGGAACGATCGCTCAGATCCAGGGGCGGCTAACGGCTGTAGGGAGGAAGAGGTTGCTGTTCGGAAATGCCGATGGACGCCATACATCGACGCCATTCCGGATTTCCCCCTGGTATTCACAAGGTATGTTACAGAGGAGAACTGTTTCGATGATCCTCTCCCTTCTGTCAGCATTTGGTTTTCTGCTTAATCTACAGTTTCTGTTGCCCTAGACAAATCTTTCTGTAGCTCTATGGTTCTTCTGTTCTTCTTGTAAGTTTGGTCTTGTTGTTAGCATCGTTCTTTTCATTTTTACTACGAATCCATTATTGTCAGATAACCACTCACGCACTGACTAGTAGGGGTGCCGATGATCCGAGTCCACTCCCAGTCCTCTGTGTCTCCATGTGATTTGCGTAGCTCCGCTAGCTGAGAACATTGGAAATCACAGAGCCCCAATGTAAGCTATCCTCTATGAAACTCTCTGAACACATCTGTCTTGATTATGTTATTTAATGTCACGAAATTGGATTGGCGGTGACTTACCCTTCCATCCCGTAGCTGGAAAATCAGCGAATCTTGTGAGAATCGGATTGGCCTCACTGCCGATACCTGCAAATTTTCAGAAGACATCATTTCATACCTAGTCACGCTGCGCCATTTTTTCCTGCATTCGGTTGAGGTCGTTAGATCTTCGAGTTCTTCTGACGTTGTTTCTTACCTTATCATCACAGCTGCTGTCGATGCTTTGTATATCTTTTCTATCCTCCTTTTGCATATCCATACCATTGTGAGCAAAATATTTCTCATCACCTGTAGTTGTCACCTGAAATTCAATAGATGCATTTGCTTGGTACGGAAATCCATGGCTTGCCCATTTCCATGTCATTTGATCCATGTACCTGCGAAAGACTTGGCCATCTGACCCTACTAGAAACAGTTGACTGTCCCACAAAGATGGGCCCGGGGCCCCAACAAGTGTCAAGTTTCTGTTTGGTAACCCATGTTCAACCCAGCTCCAACCATCCTGTGAGTCCCAGTGGTACTCAACAAGGCCTCCGTTTTCCAGAAGCATGAATAGAGAGCCAATTAATGATCGTGAGGACTGTCGAATAGCAGTTGCAGGTGACTTATGTAGTACCAAGTGAGGGGATTGGCAGTGTTGATGCCATAGTTCTGTCACTCGGTTGTACTGATAGAGACGACCATCTCTACCGATGACAAATATTATATTCATCCTTAGAACCTCTTGATCAACAATGAAATCAATCTTTGTACTTGGAGGATGATGGCAGTCTTTCCAATTGAATTTTCTGAAGGCAACCTACAACAGGATAAAATATGTAATTGTTTAGAATCTCCTACTTTGTTTCCATGATTGATCTTGTCACAGTGAGAAATTCCTGATGGAGGCTTTTGTGTAATTAGGGGATGGAGTAATCAAAGAATAAATTCATTAATCGTGAGCAATTTACCGCACCGAATGTTTCATACCGGACTAGAAACGTCAATAACCAATTCAAGAGGTTTAGGAAGTCCGTGCTTCAGAAATCGTTTCTAGGAGTCCTGAATAGGTGATGTTGTGAAATTTGTGAAGTTTTTCTTTTGATGAGTGTCGTAAATCTATCGGTGAAGATATCTTTGAGAGTCATATTCTCTGCAGAAGGTAAAGTTTTATACTATTTTTTCCTACTTGAGTATTTGAGCTTACTGTGAACTGAAGAAGTCTTCCTTTTTTGCTGACAAAGAACAACGCATCCTCGTCCATTACTCTCCAAAGTTTCTCATGTGCGCCATCCCATGGAGGTCCTGCTGTCACTTTCCTTCCTCTTTTCATGGCTGTGCAATTGATCAATGATAGCTCTGTTTCATTCCTTTCAAGCATGAGTAAGTTCCCATGTGTGTCTACCAAAAATAAGCTTCCGTTGTAGCTTGCCAACGCTCCCTTTATTGGTGTCAAGTGTTCATGTCTCAGCCATATCCATATATTCTCTGTGTAAAGATACTCAAAAATTAATCCACCTTCTGTTGTGAGTAAAAATGATTGGTCAGCATGCATGGATCGCAACCAGAAGTTAGTACTAGTGCTTTTTGTTTGATAGTTTTTCGGTTCTGATGATTCAACTGCGCTTTTCTCTTGAGCACCCAGAGGAATGTAAAGTGTACATTCTTTGGTCTTTCGCCTTTTCATTGTTGTAGGTCCTGTATCACTGAATTCATTGTCTTTGAGTACATTCTTTGTACCAGTGATGCAATTGGTTGGTCCTCTTTCCTCGGTGCAATATTCTGCATTCCATCCCTCTGTTTCAGGGACCTCTACGATTGACCATTCATACTTCTGTGGTGTTTTCCTCCTTGTATTGGTCTGATAATTTGGACCTAATCCATCTCCACCAGAACTTGACATGTGTAGTTCTCCAAGTCTACCATCATCCAGTGGAAAAACTAGTCTTCCAAACTCAAGATGTATGCCAGGTATGCCTCTTGCTACCTTTGCATGCTGTGGATGCATATGATTTATCCATTGTCCCTGCGTTTGTTTCCCCTGCATGTCAACTTTCCACAAAGTTGTTATCAGATTATTGATGGGGGCAGCAAGTAGAAAAACTATTGGGCATCTCATTGATGGGATTAGTTATACCCAAAAACTATCTCTCGTCTCAATATTTTTTCTATAATAATCCGAAGCAGTAGGAATGAATTAGATTAAGGATATTGCTAACTTGTCATAAGTATGAAGTGACGGAACTTGTGCTGACAGAGATTGAGTTGATAGGGCACAGAGTACGTCTACTAGAAGTGTTGTGTACTCAATGAAAAGAGAGAAACAGTATTGATTTTTATAAGAATTCGAGCATTTACAGAATATCATAGAGAATGCAATCATCTAGCTTATCAATTCTCTAAACGAGTAGAGATTTGCGAAGCTCTATTTCATATCATAATGGCGATGAATATTTGTGCTGATTCGTTTTAAGTACTATTTTAACACCTTGTTAGAAGGGTAGAAAAGATATATGTGGGATCTTGTTTTTCTGTTTAAATATCTCTGTTTTTTATATTTATTATTTATTTGATTTTATAGGTAGGGTCGATTCATCCTCTGGGAAAATTTTGCCATCAGCAGGGCTCGCCTCTAATCACTTATAATTTTTTTACTAATGGAAATACCAGAAAAAGAAAAAGTTTAGAAACGGATATCAGTTAAAATGATTTAGTAGGCATAAGTCTTTTCAATCATATAACGAGCAAGTTTAAAAGAGACTATTTTTCAAGTATATTCCTTGTGCTTGATAGAGCTCCTGATTTGGTAGGATTTCCATGCCAGAAATGTAGAAGCGCTCTCTCTTCTCATATGCATATACAATCCATCAAGTCCATTACACGGTACACTATGGATTAGTCGTAGCATAAAACCAAGGTAACAGAACCTGTTATCTAAAATTCCTTCTCAAGGGGAAGGTTCTCGAAGATACTCTAGATTTCTGCACAAAAAATCTACAATGTGCTGTGAGCGGTGATATTCAATAGTATTCCATACAATGAGCTCTAATACGATTTGGTCTATGGTCTCCGTTTGAAATCAGTTTTTACATATTTAGTAATCCTTCTACTTTATCCTGAAGAGTAAATAATGCTAGTCGTTTCTTCCACACGCCTGATATGACCATGAATTGTTGGTTTCAAAAGTGAGATAGGATGTGCTAATCTTGACGCACCACAAGGATGTGGGCTTAGAATCTTTACAAATCTGACTTCCATGTTTGACGAGTTGGAAGTTGGAAGTATATTTTTCTTGGTGGAATTCTTATACTGACACGTGTACCTTCTGATGCCTTCAATGTTGAACGCTAAAAATCAAAATTGAGAATACCATGCATCTTTTTTTGTGAAAGTCATCATGAGAGGACATAAGAAGATTCATTTTGGTCTTAGAAGCTAAACATAAAGCAAAAAATAATTCTTATGAATAAACATCATAATACTTGGGTTTTCCTGAACTGATGCCTGTCAAATCCTGTCAGTTAAATTCCATTCCCAGCTTGTCAAAATTTTAAATCCCATTTTACCCACTTGTTGGAAGAAAAGAAAAAGTGCAGTACATCAATCAGACTGTGAAATATATCATTTTTTCCTCTTAAAGCAAAATTTGAGACTCACCAGAATGTTTTGGAGGTAGATATTCAAATACGAGTCCAGTTGCAGTAGTAAAGAATAAAGATGAAATCTTATCTTCTATTTCAGTCTGCACTAATTGTGTAATAGCTGTCAAAATTTGACCTTCAGGTGCTCCATGTGTTAACCATTTCCACTTCCTTTGGTGAAAGCGCCTCTCCACCAGAAAACCATCCTATAAAATATATAAACGAGAGTTATCAACTGACCGTAAATGAAATTATCGATTTATTCAAAATCACTCCCTTATGAATGCTATATATCTAAATCGTATTTATAATATGGGCTTACTCTTCAGAATGACATGATTTCAATGTTTTGAAAATTGTAATACAATGATCAACATCATTTTTATATGTTTTCGGTTCATAAATTTCCAAGTTTAATAATGTCAACCTATGTCCTAATCAAGATCACTATTTCTCTTCTGAGTACATTTCGTATTCCTTAGACCTCTTTATCCGGGACAAGTTGTTAGTACCTTGCTTAAAAGAAATAAAGAGGACGAATGCAGGCCTAGCAAACCATCCAAAATACATCCTGTGATGGGTGTCAGTCGAACGTTTCTTGATGTTTGACTCCAAATATGCTTCTTCCATGATGGCTTCGTGTTCTTGTTAAATTCATAGAGTTCTCCAGCAGAACTGCAGCATAAGAAAAGATTTCATCATCTGCCATAAAAACTAAAAAAAATCTCCTTCTAATGAGTTGACAGTGGCGGTTCACGTTACAATGTATTTTCTCCCGGTTTCATTCACTAAGCATGCCCGCGCCAAAAATGAATCTTGTATAGCCTTTCCATTTGATAAGATGATTGAAACCTATCTAATTCGTGTCACTCTCTGGTGCATTTTTTTGGATCATTAATGTTCTCAATTCTCATCTTCAACCTGATTATTTCGATCTACTTATTATATCCATCCATAGGCGTCCAACATCCGCGGAGCAGGATGTTTTTCCCCGATCAATGGTGAAAAAATAGAAAGTCTCCGTTCATGAAAAAAAAAAAAAAAGGAAAATCCAGCACAGCATGCCAGTCAGGCTGCTGCGCTGGCTGAAATTTCAAGCTTGGAGGAAAATCTTTGGGTGATATTCCCGCAAAATGAAAAGTTAAATAATTCTCCTTCCCATTTTTTCGATTGTCCAAATCCTGGTTCTATCCAATGTATTCAGGGTTGAGTCTGTCATTATTGTATCTTATATCTGTTAATTTTTGTGCGAGGATTTTTATTTCGTGGAATTCGATCGTAAAGAAGTTAGTACGAAATTACACGAGCTTCTTTTCAACTGCTTCAGTGGTAAATAGGATTAAACAAAAACCTTTCATTTTCTGTACCATTCATTCAACCTTGCTTATTTATCACGCACTGAAACTAATACTCATTCTTGCGATGACCATCCACATATTATGATCATTATCATGGATTAAAAGGTATCCTTGTTACACTGGGGATATTATTCTAAGAACCGGCTTAATTTTTTCATTGGGTGAACCACTTTTTTAGTAATCTGTAGCCAGTTTTCTTCGGCACATCGGAACTTAGTACGATGCCTCACAGATTAATAATTGCCTGTTTTTCCTCTGGCTAGTCTAGTCGTCTAACCAGTCGAGAAATTAAGCAATCAATTTGATTCAAAACTGTTCCTTAGGAAAAAAAAAAAAAAAAAAAAAAAGGATTTCCAAATTCTAAGAGAGCTCGTATGAACAACTCACCTTACCGTGAATACCATCCCTGGACGGACAACACCAGCATCAGTTATAGATACAACATCTCCTCCAGGGGGCTTCCCATGATCACTCCACCTGTTCAGCATCAATAAAGGGAAATAATAATTGCAAGCTATTTATTCTAGTCATCTAGTCTTATTGCCTCTTCATACTACTACATGCCTTCCTTACCTCGCTGGTTGAGCCCCATTGCGTTCCAGCAATGAGCCATTCGCTGTGGACAGGTACAGCCTCCTGTGACAGAGCAAGGATCTTGCCTGATCAGTTGTCCCTCTATCGCTCTCTCTCCGTCATGTGATGCAAGAAATTTTGTACCAGATTACTCACTCTCCATCATGCGATGCAACTCCTGACCTCAAGCATTCTGCAGTGCTTAACTCCTCATTTTCTTCAAACGTCGGTGGGGATTCGATCCAAGATGGTTGGGTGTTGTCACTCACTTGGAGCTGGTAAGAAAACGTACACCATCCTTAGAACATATCCGGTCGTATTTTACATTGATTTTATTTTTCTTGCTAATAAATCGTTATATTGATCCTCGCTGAAATTCCATATATTATGTTTATCTCCATGTTTACTCATTTCGTGTGCATTAATTATTCATTTTTTGCAACCAGAATCAATCATATGAGGTAAGGATACTCGCCACCGAGTGGGCATGAGAACTTGGTCGTCTCAATTTGAGTACTTATCCATGGCCTCAGAACAGTGAAATCAGAGATGGAGGATGCCGGTGGTGTATACCTTGTAGAGCTTCCCGAGCTCTGAAAGAACAAGGACGGTCTGAGAGACGATGAATACTGAGACTGCGCGACCGGCAGCCAGTGGCAGCTCGTGGGGCGCCGCCACCCACTGAACCCCGTTCCAGAACCTCTCATATATGCTACCGCTCTGCCCGGTCACCCAGATGGATCCCTCTGACATTCTAGTGAGAGAAAACCCCCTCCTCACGGGCAGTTCCTGGTCAGACCCCTCATCTGTACCTTTCGCAGCAGGTGGCAGGCTCTGCTCCTCCTCCCCCTTCACATGGAGGGTGGCGACACTTGTGCAGGTGCCCATGGAGCAAGAAATCAGGTCGTAAGGAAGGCTGACTTCGACCCACCCGCCGGATTCCTCTTGGAAGGCCCAAAACCTGTCGACCTTCTGGCAAAATTCTTTGGCCGCCGGCGGCCGCCATGAGCCTCCCAAGAGGATGAGCCCCGGCGGTGATCGCGCCGCCACCAGCAGGACCCAGAAGAAGAATCTCAGGTGTGGGCTGGGCATAATCTTCTCCGGGGAAGAAAGAAAGCCAAAGGTTCCTCCGTGGAGCGTCTGGCCTCCTCCTTCTCCCCCCTGCCGAAGAACATGGAATCTGATCTGATGATGAACCCACCTTCCTCTCTCTGATCACAGGAGCCTTCCGCCTTCTCCGGCTCTGTCAGGGCAACTGAAGACTTTAAAAGTATGCCGCCATCGCCGGCTGATCTCCGTCGTCAACCTCCATATGCGATACCGGTAAGGCCGTTTCGATTAGCCACGATAGCGACTCTCTTCCTTCCCATTGGCTCCCCCTCCCACCCACTTTCCTACCCATTGTTCTCCCGACCAAAGTCGATACATATATTAATTTTGTGTCATATATACATAGAAAGATAGAGAGAGAGAGAGAGAAGTCTTGCCAATGGGCTTAGACGGAAGCCCACAAAACTTGCCCTCTGTTGGACCCCCAGCGAGGTCGTTTCATGGCTGCTCCATCTATCACTTGATCATGCCAGCAGCCCCTCCCCACTCTCCCGAGCAGGGTTGACTCCACGCTTGGTCTGAGTCAACGATTCGAAAAAACATCAACGGTTCCTTCTCTCGATCCCTTTTAAACCTGAAAACTTCCTTCAGCTACTCCTCTCCGATAGAACAGAGAGAGTAACGAGCTGCCCATGGCGTTGAATAATACCAATAATGTGTGAGGATGTTATGATTATTGAATTGATTAAATGGGTATATTTAGTAATTATCGGTGTGGAAGCCCCGGTGAATGGAACTCCAAAGTGCCCATCAGAAAGCCACGTAAATCTATGCCAAAGATAGTATTTTATGTATATATATAAAAAAAACTCCTGCTCTCAGGTCCCCTGACTCAGCCGGTTCCTTGGTCGACTTTGCTTCTCTCTCTTGGTCACGCCGCCGTAGGCTTTCCCCTTTTTCCGTCTTTCTCATTAGGGAGGCGGCTCGGAGCGACGTGTATCATGTGGACGAAGTCAGATCAGCTGGGCCCCGTTTGCTTGCGTCATGTGCCACGTTGCAATAGAAGACGAGACTATTATAGCGAAGGGGCGTCTTATGATTTTTCCGAAAAAGTCGTCATAAAATGTTGGATTCTATAAAAAAGGACGGGATCATTGGGAGTAGTTACCGGGTCAACTGAGGCCCATTGGGCTCTACTACAGGGCTGGAGCATTCTCCACCCATATACCAAAGAAGCCCACATTCCCATATATAGGCCCATTTTCCTTCTTTCGGGCTTTCATTCTCACAGGCCCAATAACTTTCGGCCTATAAAAGGATTTCCTCCGTCGTCTAGATGACGCCATCATCTCGTGCTAAAATGACATCATGGACCCCACGTGGGCAGCCGCCTCGGGTTGCATCTGACCCAGCGCCGCCCGCCGTAAGTTTTTGCCGGCGCTACAATTTTCAAAAAAGCCCCTTCCAGACAAAGGAGGAAAAAGTTAAGCAGAGCATGCTAGAAAGAGGGTAAGATTACAATAAAATCACATAAAAAATCACCAAACGCGTCTGTACCCAAAAATTATGACAACAACCCCCTACCCCCCCAAAGTAGAAAACACACTCTCTCCCCAAACACCAAAAGCTGCGCCACCAAGGCTCCCTCGTTGACTAAAGACGACCATATCGTCAACATCATCGACTCTCTCAGCAGATGAACAAGAAAATGCAAAATATTTTCGATAGTTCTTATCAGAAATCGCTCCACTTTATCATACCAAATCGACCGTTGACCATTGCCCATGAGCTATATCAAACAGATATCGTTGACCACAACTACTGCATGGGATTAGATGATCATGGGTAACCAACATGCACTATCTCTGATCTTTCAATGAAGAAAATTCATCCTCGGTTAGTGTTCCTGTTGACTCGTCGTGACCTAATCCCTTACCCTCCTCCATGCTACCTTCACCTAATCTAAAGCCCGCCCCCTTCCCCCTTCGACTTAAGTGAAAATAATGTTCTATAAAAATCATTGAGTTATAAATATTCCCCATTTTTATACTATTTTTAAGAATGTCACCAATTTATCCACATTTTGAAACATATTTAGGGCTTCATTCCTATCTTTGACAAGAACAAATAGCCATATCTGGTAGGGAATCAAGTAGTTGACATTCTAGGTCTTCACGATCCATCACATCACATTTCTACGCTGAAATATGTGGTGGAAGATGAGAGATGGTCAATCGGGCCTCTACCATGATAGTCGATGCACCAAGTGGGGGAAAATGCACATGACTTTGATAGTATTTTCTCTGCGACCTCATGCTAGCAGTCTGTGGAGAGAGAGAGGGTTCCCGCAGCTGCGACCGGCTTCAGATCTGATTCAGGTGACGGATTTTGTTGCATCTGTTGATCGGATGGGTAGAGAGACTCACAGTCACCGGCAGTGAGAGCAAAAGGCGGGGAGTTCGAGGAGTTTGTGGGGGACAGTTGCGGAGGAATTTTAGGGTTTCTTGCCGTTTTCCCTGCATTTGTTCCCATCCGGACTTTTTTGGCTCCCCTCCTCTGACTGGAGATGGTGTTGGCATTACCTTTTCTGGCCCACTCTCTCTCTCTCTCGCCTGCGCTTGCGTTGTTCTTCGGAGGTTGCTGGCATACATGTTCCTGAGTTGAATCCTCCGTGGCTGGCGGGGTTGCTCGGGGTAGAACATATTTGTAATGAATGATCCGATTTCTTTCTTCGCGCAGAGAGGTGAAGCCTCGGTTCCTGCTCCTCTTCGGCCTCCCGCTCCGGGGAATCTCGTCCTACGTGGGATTGTTCCAGTAGGCTCAGGTGGATGGCTCCCCCGGGGCCCTAGTTCCTGGTTCCTGCGGCTATTCCTCCGCCAGGTTTGAATAGAATTGGGGCTCGATTCGTCGGCGGAGAAGAATTCAAAGCAGATAATATATTATACACCTGATTTCCGTTAAAAATATTCATCCGTCAGGACGATTGCATGTGGGTTTCGGTCCTCTTTCTACCTGGATTTTCGCACATATATTCTATAATCGAAGTGGGTTGAAGATGGGGCTGGTGGTGGCGCGTGGGGGAGCAGACAATGGGGAGCGGCGGCGGGGGCGGTGGCGGTGGCGGTGAGCAGACCCAGTTACAGACCCTCGATGAACTCCTCAGGAACGTCCTCCCTGATGAGGGAGATCATCCCTTCCCTCGGAGGAGTGCCAACTCCGCCGGAGGAGCTCTCTGGAGGAAGACGGCGGAGGAAGAATGGAAGAGCATGCATCGCCACCGGGGAAAGTCCGGCGACCAGAGCAGGCCGAAGCGGAGGGCCATGGCGGGGATGACGCTGGAAGATTTCCTGTCCATGGAGGGGATCGCCGGCGAGAAGCCGGAGAAGAACCGCAGCCAACGACGGCTTGAGAGGGCTCAGGAGGATGTGGCGGCGGCGGTGGCAGTGGCGTACTCCCAGAGCTGCACTTCGCCGGAGCCATTGGCGATGGATCCTGGAGAGATGGTGGAGAGGACGGTTGAGAGGAGGCAGAAGAGGATGATGAAGAACAGAGAGTCTGCCGCAAGATCGAGGGCCAGGAAGCAGGTTGGTCTGCATTCTCTGCTCTTACCTGCTTCGTCTCCTCTCAGTGCCCTATCAGAGCTGCAAATCCTGCTGTGTAGGCCTACACCAATGAGCTGGAGAACAAGATCTCGCGCCTGGAAGAAGAGAATGAGAGACTGAGGAAGCAGAAGGTAAGCTCCCCCGTTCTCTTCTTCTCATATTCAGAAATCATGTGTCCGGAGGTATTGTCTGAAGATTTGCCGCTCCATCCTTCATTTGATGCACACCTAGAAACCCCGCAAAGTCAAAGTTGATGGTGTGTGGTGATCCTTCTGCGCCAGAAAAAAGCTGCCCAGAGTTTGGGAAGTCAACGGGGGAGGGGCGCAAATCCAGGAGCCCTGCAGTGCCAGAAAATATTCATCTATTAAACCCAGAACACGCAAATCAAGAAACGAATTATTTTTTTTCAAGTTTTTGAGAATGATGGGAGAGGATTTCTTCTGAAAAAGATTGATGAACAATGCTGATCGGCCGCAAAATAAAAGACTCCAATTGAGTTCAAGTGAGACTAACAGAAAGAGTAGAACTGAACAGCGTATTATCAGATTTTATTTCTTTTGCATGACCTCATTATGTTCTTATTTTTCCATTATTTACATCGACCATAAAGTTTTTCAGTTTCCCATTTCAAAGGAATTCTTTCCAAGATAATGGATCTAACTGCAGATGCCTCTACAGGTTGCATACAACGTCGAAAGAGGCAGACTGTGGTTGATGATATTTCTGTTGTTAATGTTTACTTATTAATTTACTAGTCACTATTCTGGCCGCTTCCGAATAAAGAACAAAAAATGATTAAAGAAACCCATTTATCTTTATCTCTCTCTTCTATGCTGAGCCACTCAACTCAAAATCAATTGACAATGAATGGAATAGTCAGATCCTATGTTTCTATATTTATCCATTCCCAGTTGAAGTCAACTCTAACCTATCTTCTGGTTTGAATAAGCAGCTTAAATGAGGTTCTTTCTTTTTTTTTTTCCCCCTATCAAATCCAGATTTTACAATATCGTCCACACTGTATCATGCAGGAGATGGAGACCATCTTATACAATATGCCTCCACCTGAGCTAAGGATTCAGCTTCGGAGAACAAGTTCATCCCCACTCTGACAAGTTAATATTCATATTTAGTTGCATGATGGGTCGTCATCCAAGTTCCCTCATTCTCCATCAACCTGTCTAAACTCAACTCTTCTCTTTATGTGGGCCAATCATGGAAAACCCAGAACTTGTTAACGACGGAGCTGCTTTGCTGATGATACTGGCATTGGGTTTTTTTTTTCCTCTTGGACTCTATGCTCATCCTGTACACTGAGGTTAGCTTTATTCTGAAATATGCCAGCAAGACTAGAACTAACTGTCAGAGTCAAGTTTCACTTTACCATTGACTTTTGGGGCCACCCCGCATCTGATTTCACGGAGTGTAGAGAGAAAGAGATTGAGAGAGAGAGAGAGATGAACATGAAGCCCTGCAAGAATAGAACTCTATTTGAGGGAGAGAGGGAGAGAGAGAGAGAGAGAGGGAAATGGACATGAAGCTCTGCATGAAAATCTTTATCAGAGATAACATTGGAATTGCGATTTAAATGTCTGGATCGTGGGAAAGAAACGACGCCTAAACATGTATCAGAGGACATAAATCCTCAGCCATGGCAGAATTAGTTACAGATCAACACATTTTTACAGAGATAAAATCGATTCGCAGGTCCATCACTTCACCTCCAGCATGCTTCAACGTAAAAGACATGCACAGAGAATCCCGTTTCTTTTCATCACCATAAAGGCTTTCTGTGGGCTGTGAAGGTAAGCTACATAGTGAGGGCCAGAGGCCAGTGAGAGAAAGAAGAAGCCTTCCTTGGAGCGTTCGTTTGGAGCTTCCCCAATCATTCCCTGGAATCAGATTCCATCGTCTGAACAGGTGGAGCTCTCACCGCTGGGAGGTGCAAATCAGACTGGCACGAGTCCCCCATCCTCTCTCGGAGCTCCCTGTACTCTTGACATATGGCGCAGAGGTGGCAGAACAGATGGGTCGCCAGGTCTCCACATGGCGCTTCCTGGATGACCGAGATTAATCGATGAAAGAGGGGGGATAAGAATCGATTCGAGCTAAAGCACAGATTATTTAGCACCAAAAAAAAAAAGGCGACATTTTGCCCGCCCATAACTTGGTATCCCACTCATCCTTGAAATAGTAAAGAATAATAAAAGTGGGCCAGCCGAGGATTTATAAATAGTAAGGAACAGAGCATATGCACAAACTCTCCACCAAACAGAGACTTAGCCCGGGCAGGGTGAGGCCTGGGATCGTTGACAACCTTCAAGGTGACGGGGATCTGTACGACATAATTCATACAAAGTGATCCATTCAATATCATAGGGAAAGTAGGTAGGTAAAGCCTTTATTGAATATGGAATCACCAACCAGAAAAGTCAAACCTATGGCCGATTGTTTTCATTCCACATTAGCGATGAAAGTGTTGTAGGAATGGAAGATGGGGAAGAAATGCTAGTGAGCAGTTTCCTGCATCTTGTGGAAAAAAAATAAAACTTGTAGAAAAAAATGATAGAGAAATTAGGCGGAATAATATTTATTTGGGCAATTATGATAGAGAATATTTTTTTTTGTAGAACCATCGTTTTCTCTGAAGGAAGAGAAATGATAAAAATATATTTATTTGGGCAATGCGAAAGAAGGGAACTTCCATGTTAGCATAAAATAATGCCCGGATTGATACCCAACTAGTGAACCAAGTAGAAGATCGTAACTTAAAAAAAAGAAGAAATAAATTATAGACAATGTGCTGCGTAAGCTTGCTGGGCTTTAAAATAATATCATTCTTTTTAAAGAGACTGCCCGACAGCAATGACATCAACCACAGTCAATAATTAATCGATAAATCAGTGGACTATACCAAAGAATTTCGAACCGGAGAAATTTGGAGTCAGAACCACTTGAGTTCAATCAAGAAAATTTGTCATATCAAGTACGATCGGACGTGTCCTAGTTCATACTCATTTTAGTAGGTACAAATTAAATGTTTTTTTCCAGTAGGGGCAGGGATGTCCCCACTCTGGTTATATGGCAGTTAAAGAAACTATCCTCATAGCTTGCGTGATCCTTCATTTTTATATTTTTTTATTGTGGGCAGATCGTAGTTAAACCAAGACTGAAATGCCTCATGGGAACTTAGACTAATTATGACAAATTAAATGTTTCTTAGATGAAGCATTTCACTGTTGTACAGGTGTTTTTCCGGTTTTGGAAACCTGATTGTATAGATATGCATATACATGTCTTAGTTATAGAAACATATGATAGTTTTTTTTTTTCAAATATTTTCATACCCGAATAAACTACTGCCACAACCTTTCTAGAGTGATGGCAACTACATTGCAACAAGAAATAAAGATATGTGTTCAGTGAAATATGTCACCCGACCATCAAAAAGGATCGGTTACTCACCTGAAGATTATACTTCGCTCTTAGGGCACGGCGATACCCACATGCATAACATGCAACAATAGATCCAGGCATCCCCATAAAGACTCCTTCAGTTAACAGACAGCACAAACCATTCAACAGACCCCACAAAATAAAGTGGGTTAGGCATGACCCAGCCAAAGTTTCAGATCCCAATAATTCTGCATTTTTGCCAAAAAGAAAGCATGGACAGAAAAGGCCCATACAGCCTGCAAAACGAAAAAAATAGACATCAACACGTATGCAAGGACAGAGTTATAATCCTGTTCTGGCTTGCACAGAGTTAATCTCAACATCATTTAGATACTTCTTTCCAAATTAAGTTATTTTTTCTTTCATCAACTTCAGTTTGATATCCTTAGTCCATTTGATGTTTAAATCTAACGAATTCATTACAAATTATAACTGAACTTATTTAGATGAATACTTAATGCATATGGAACCCACTCTGATGGCATTGGCATTTATGGTGAGATTCTCTAATAGCTACTAACTGTTTGCACTTTTTTATTTTTCCAATTGGATTCAATTAATCTGGTAGATAATCGAACAAAGAAAACACATATGAAATAGAAACAACAACAATAAAGGTATAGAATGATGTCAACAATATTGAGGATAATTCAGAAATTTTCTGAAAATAAATGGAAATTACTTTGAATTTCATTGATTAAGAAAATAACTAATATTCCAGACTATAAAAGGCCTTGATTTAAAAAACGCCGCTGGTACTGTAAGAAGATTATTGGTCTTATCTCTATGTATCAACATATTTGGGCAATCCAATTATGGGTATCATTAGATATGTAAAGCAGTTAAAATTTGACGAAGTCTAGAAAGAACAGGATTAGGCCTGATCCACTCTGACATGCTCATAAGTAGCCTCTCCAAAAAAAAAAAAAAGTGAAAAGAAAAACCCACAAGACTATCCACCACCCCAATCTGCCTTTGGTGACCTATCTTCGTTTCTTCTAGGACCCATTCGCCCCATTTTAATAACCGTTTTAGACGGTTACCTTTTTCTATTAAGACCCAAAAAACGCATAGTAAAACATCTAAAGGTTGCATTCGCACACATAATCCAACAGATCCCCAAGTTGGCGTCAATCAATGTTCATAAGTTGCACAAAAATTCAACCAAATGCTATCCAATTAGCCATCTTCGTATGCCAGCTAATTTCCTGAAGCGCTGGGGGGGTTCGTATCTATGTACATATACATAAATATAAATATATATATATATACATGACTATTACAGTGACTTACTAAATTAATATCTACTCTGTGTACATTGGGATTTTGACAATCCTTCTGCACCAGGTTATAAAAATACTTGTTTGTCCCATTTGGCACGAGAAAGCATTCACTTGATCGCCATCACATTACTTTCAGAGGTGCTTTGGCCTGGAAAACTTTATTCTTCTTTGAGGAAATAATGCATTGGCGACTTTAAACATTAGAATCATCTACCTAATGAAGGATGCCAAAAAATGGTCATCATCGACAGGAGAGGTCCAGAACAGAAGATAAACGCGCATAAATTCTAATTCAATTAGCACCTTTCATTTGTCCTGCTGATAAATCAAGGAATCAACAGAGCAGAGAGTAGCGTACAGCTCGGCATATCATCAAAGCATGCACATATTCCAGAAGACCACTGTGCGGGATCCCTCATGATCTGGTGATGAGCAGAAGAGGGTTCACTATTCGCAGGAGCAGCGTCAGCTTCTAAATCTGATTGTTCCAGAGGAATGTATCTTGGCGGAACGTAGGTGCCTCGCATTTTCCTCCCTAATAACAGAATTCACCTCGTCACTCAATCAAGATTCAGAAACCTGGCATTTTTCAACCACTTCGAGAAAAATCATTAGAGCTAGCAAAAGAAAACGAGCACATTAAAACTGCAGATAACCAGATAAGTTGTATGCCTCAGGCTTTGAAATGAACCATAATGCCAATAATGCATGCGTATCTATGCCACCAAACGGAAAAAAGACACCGCATTCTTCGAGATTCTGGAGTATCATCACCAAATGGAAAATGCGAGCGCAAAGAATCCGGCGGTTTGAACGACTCCCTCATAGATCACTCAAAACCGCAGCAATAACCATACAGATCCGATCACGATCTACTCGCGGCAAGAAAATCTTGCAGGGGAAACAAACGGCCAAAACCCTAGTCTAGAATCGGAAAAAAATAAAATTCCCGGGGATCAAAAACAAAAAAAAACACAAATTGATAGGTAACTAGTGATCAATGAAAACTACCAGAACCCGTTCAAGGCTTCCCTTGCGGAAGAGAAGAGGTTGCCCGGAGGAGAGAGAGAGTTCCACCGAGCTTCCGGCAGGGAACCGCAACGCCGACGGTCCATGCAGCCTCGACCGAACTCTCATATACTTCCAGACACTCTCCCCCTGTCAATCTATCATCCTTCTTTTAATGGGCCCCGAAATCGGGAAGGAGCCCGCCATCTAGGCCCATTTGGCCAAATTAGACAGCCAAAACTTAAATATGCATCATGTTATGTCTATTGGGCCGTATTCCAGTTGGCCCAAAATTATATGGACCCAATAGTTAGACCCATTGGGAAAGCATTCGCGTTGGCCCAAGCATGAAGCCCACCGAATAGGCCGATCGGGAAGAAATTTGAGTTGAGCCAAACTTAAATGCAAACCCGACGAATCGGCCCATTGGGCAACATTCGAGTGGCCCAAAATTGGATGAGAGCCCGGCCCATGTTGAGATACTTTGACAGGGGAGCGCGTGTAGCCTAAAATGTTCCCGAGGGACAACATAAAATCCGGGGCACAGTAGGAGGTTTATCTCCCTCGTCTTCTAGGTTTTTAAGGGAGCGACAGAGTCCAGAGAGAGAGAGAGAGTCTCCGATTTCGGCGATGGCGCAGTCCTTGTTCGACGACGGCGACTCAGACGGTGCGGAGGACATCTCGAAGATCGAGATCGACCAGGATTTCGCCCGGCGCTTCGAGCACAACAAGAAGCGGGAGGATCTGCAGCGGCTGGAGGAGCTCAGGAAGAGAGGGGAGGTCTCGGATTCATCCGAGGAGTCCTCGTCGGAGGAAGAGGAAGAGGACGAGGTGGCGGGGTCCAAGAAGACGGATATCCAGTTCTACGACGCCATCGTCCGGGTCAAGAGGAATGATCCGGCCATCTACCAGAAGGACGCGAAGTTGTACTCCTCTGAGGAGGAGGAGGAGGAGGAGGAGGAGGAGGAGGGAGGAGAGGAGGAAGGGGGGAATCGGAAGGCTAAAAAGGAGAAGCCATTGTACATCAAGGACGTTGTCGCGAAGCATTTGCTGGAAGAAGGGCCGGAGTACGAGGATGATCAGCCTTCGGGACCCGTGGGACGTCGATCGAAGAGCTATTTGGAAGAGTTGGAGGAAAACAAGCGGGCTTTCTTGGAGGCCGCCGGGGAGACCGTGGAATCTGATGGAGAGGATCTTTTTCTGGAGAAAAAAACTGCCCGAGAGCAGACGGCCGATGAAGATGAAGGGGAAATTCAGAAGAAGTTAGATGAGTTCTTTGGGGAAGATGAGAACTTGGACGAGAACGAAGTGTTCTTGAAGAACTTCTTCCTGAATAAGATGTGGTTAGACAGGGATAAAGCCAAGGAGCCCGTGGATGAGGATCCTTTGGCAGTGTCCGAAGATGAGGATCAGTTAGAGAAGCAGGAAAAGTACGAGGCGGAGTTCAACTTCCGTTATCAGGAGGGAGCTGGGGATCGAGTTCTAGGCCACTCGAGGGTCACTGAAGGGACGGTGAGGAAGAAGACGAATGCTAGAAAGTTGCAGAGAAAGAGCAAGGAGGAGAGGATGTCGCAGGCTGAGCTCGAGAGGAAGGAGGAGTTGAAGCGCCTCAAGAACTTAAAAAAGAAGGAGATCCAGGAGAAGCTCGAGAAAATTCGGAAGATCGCTGGCATAGCAGAGGGTGGAGAATGTGCACTCGATGAGGACGATTTGGAGGAAGAGTTTGATCCGGAGGAGTATGATAGAAAAATGAAGAAGGTGTTTGATGTCGACTATTACGATGCTGAGGATGCTGACCCAGGATTTGATAGTGGTGGTGACGAGAATCTAGAAAAGCCTGATTTTGACATGGAAGATGAATTGCTAGGTCTTCCCAAGGACTGGATCAACAGCGGCTCAGCAGATGGATTTCAGGCAGCAAGAGCGAAGATCCTAAACCGCAAAGAAGAAGCAGTTGAGGAAGAAGAAGAAGAAGAAGAAGAAGAAGAAGAGGAAGCGACAGAGGAAACAGAGCCTCAATCAGAGGGTAAGAGGAAGAGGAAACGCAAGATCTCTCTTCGTGAGAAGGTTGAGCTCGAAAAGGCAATGGAGGAATACTATAAGCTGGACTATGAAGGCACCATTGGCGATCTGAAGACTAGGTTCAAGTATAAGCCTGTTCCTTCAAATAGATATGGCCTGAGCGCTGAGGAGATTCTGCTGGCCGATGACAAAGAATTAAACCAGTATGTTTCGCTGAAGAAGATAGCCCCGTATCGGGAAGAGGAATGGAAGGTCTCCAGGCAGAAGAGATATCATCAAAAGATGAAGAAGAAGCTTCTTCTTCTCGGCAAGGAAAGTGACAGCAAGAAGGACAAGGGGAGGAAGTCAGATGGCCGTGGATCTGCAGACTCTGGAAAGAGTTCCGAACCAGGAGACGACAAAGGTAAGCTGTCTAGGAGGAGCAAGAGACGGCGTCGACAAGGAGAACTCAAGCTGTCCCAGTCAAGGCTCATGGCATATGGAAAGATCCCTCCAAAGTCGAAGAAGTAAGAAAATCTTTGATATGGTGAAGGTTCAGATATGCCCACCATTAATGGTGATTCTCAGAAGCCCGGTGCTGGACTTGCACTCCATGAATCCTCTGTTTCTTATGACAGGAGATTGATAATGTCCATTTTCCATTTATAATTTATTTTCTTTAATGGGGGATGCTGGAGTATTGTTTCATAGATAGAAAAGATCCAATTCATCAAAGGAAAGGCAGCTGTTATGGAGTTGTCCCCATTACGGAACACCTTAAAGAAGAACTTCTCACGCCAATTCCCAGGTATCGAGCGTAAGAAAAACTAGTTAGTGTCATGAACACTGTGAGATTTTTTCCATTCATCGTGGTTGCGGGGTAACAACAAGAATAGTTTATGAGCTTTCAGCATGATGAAGAGGGTATTGCTTCTGTCCAGAAAAGAACAGAGAAGTCTGACAAAGTTTCTCTCTCTCTCTCTCTCTCTCTCTCTCTCTCTCTCTCTCTCTCTCTCAAACCTTTCAGCAGTCAGGAAACATAGATTCTTGGGGAAGTGGGTTTCAAATTATTTGCTCAATTCAGGAAATTATTCTTAAGACAGAAGGTTTGACTTAAATTCCTTCTATATTAAGAAACACGTTCTGAAGAGGGGATTTGACTTTCTTCCCTCAGGTAATCAAATGGATCATTTGGATTTGGTAATCTTAGCGAGGGAGAGAGAGAGAGAGAGAGAGAGAGAGAGAGAGAGAGAGAGAGAGAGAGAGAGACCACTGGTTGGATCACAAGAACAGCATCATTTTCTAGGTGGTGGGCCCACTAAAATTTTCTGTTTCTTCAGAGTAGTTGCTCGTGTGGTGTTTGCAGCCCAAACGGCTGTCTGATTCCCAGAGGTAAGATTCCTATTAATTTCCACTCCATGGAAAATAATACTGCTGTGGAATCAAGACTAGCATCTGTTTAGATATCAGATTCCCTGTTGTTGCCGAATCAGATTTTGAGAGCTGATGATGTCAGCATGTGAGTCTGTTTGGAACTGATTTTGCTTTCAGTTTTTAATTGATATAATAAAAAAATGAGATAACACTATTTATATTATTACATTTATGTGAAAAAAAGTAGGAATGTAAACGGATCGGACTAACCGGATAGTGGGCCACAGAGAGAAGCTCGGTGGCTTTATTGGGCCCAATGCCCATAACTGATTTCGTTGTCCCGGGGGTGTTTATTTTAGTCCTCATAAAACCTCATATTTGCTAATGTACCAAAACATTTCCTCCGTACGAAAATGTAGGGACTTAAGTGACGATTCTCGTCTTTTATGACTGAAAGTAAAAGCACCCCGAAGATATCCGGCGGTTGTCGGGTCGGTTCCTGTCAGTGGCGGCGCCGCCTTCCGACCAGGTATTCCCAAAACGCCCCTGTTCGAAGGCTGATCAAGACAACGTCAGTCAACGTTGACCCACGGTTAAAAAAACGGATTTTCATATCCCCCCGCTATATTTAGGGAGAATTGCTAGATTACCGGAAGATGCCCGAAATTATCAATTCCAGAACGCCTGTGTCGGGTTCGTCCCTCTTCCCGTCCATTTCTTCCAGCTCGGCTGATTCCGCCGCGTGATGCTGGGTTGGGAGAGCCCTAGAGGGAGGGAGGGGGGAAGCTGCTCTGGATCCTAGGGCTTGGAGGGCCGCTGTTCTATCGTCGTTCTAGGGTTTCCGATCTGTTGGATTCTGGGGCAGTGAGGGAGGGTTCCTTTTGTGTTGGCGGAGATGGAGATAGTGAATAAGCTGAGGAAGCTGGACGCATACCCCAAGATAAACGAGGATTTCTACAGCAGGACTCTGTCGGGGGGCGTCATCACCCTCGTTTCTTCCGTCGTCATCATCTTTCTCTTTATTTCCGAGATCAGTAGGGCCCCGTTACTCTCTCGCTCTCTCTCTCTCTCTCTCTCTCTCTCTCTCTCTCTCTCTCTCTCTCTCTCTCTCTCCAGAAACTGTGATGGATTTCTTATTGCTTTGAGGTTTCTTTTCTGTGGCTCTACGCCTCTGCATGGAAGCACGAAAGTTTCTATTTCTTTGTTTCTTCGCACATCTCTCTACGTTTTGGCATTTCGACGATGAGTGACGGGACTGGATTTGAGCGTTAGTGTTCTTCTGCAGTGATTTTATCGAATTAAATTCGTTCTGCTATCCTTTTGCTCCAGTTTACCGTATGAAATTCATTGTCGCAGTGCTTTCGAATCTGGAGAATTTTTCTTCCTCAAAAATCTGTCTTATTGCACCATATTGATTTATTTTCCTTTGTGGAGCAAGAGTGCATTTATTATGCGCAGATCAAGATGGAGAGAAATATTCAGAATATCCCTCTTTTAATGGACTTCACAGGACTTCAATCTATTAGACTTTGATTTCGTCCGTCGTTCTTTCATAATAGGAGAGGTCCTCCAATCTCTCCCCAGAAGGAATAGAGATCCATGAGCAGTTTGCAGTTATGAAATGACTCAGTTGACTCATTCGTGAAGAAAGTAGACAATCTGGATTGTTAAATAGTTAAATGCCCTCGATGCCAAGATAATTGGGTTGACTTATTTGGGTCGGAATTAGCCTCGTTGGTCTTCTCCAGGTTCAGCAAATGACCTAACCTGTTTGTGAAATGTGGATCTCACAAAATCAGGCTAGGAAGAGAAGAATAGCTAAATATTTAGCTCCTTGATATGAATCAGTCTCTGTCAATGATCCCCATGTTTACTACTGCTCCTAGTTTTTGAGGATTCCTTTCTATCCATTCACTGCAACTATTTTATTGTCTGCAGGATTATTTCTGAATTCAGCCACTGAAAGTAAGCTGGTAGTTGATACGGCCAGAGGGGAGACTCTGCATGTCAATGTCTGTACTTGTAAACGCGCCTCTTTATTTACTGCTTTATTTTCCCTTTTATAGGCAATATTCTCTTCTCTCTTGTTCAGTTCGTTTTTTTCTTATTTATTTCCTATTGCGTTCAATCAAGCTGATGGTTCATTTATGGAAACCTTGGTCTCGGACAACTAGAAAATAAATTGAAAGAATGAACAAGATTTCTGTATCGCTCATCGTTTTTAATGTTTCTTCTCGGAATTTGTTCTCTTAACAAGCATCGCAACATTGAAAATGGCGACTTTGGCTAGAGAAAACTGAGCATGCCTCCAGCTGCCTCAGCGAGCAGAGGATTAGCAAACCCATTCTGTCCGAAATGGGTGCCAATGCGCCAAGGTTTTCCACAATTTCTTGATGTGATCTGTCTCCAGGAGACCGAACACCAATTTTACGGCAAATAAAAAGGTCCTGCAATTTTAGACACTGTGCCTTATTTGGGCAGGTCTGTGGGTATGCTGAGTGCCTGTCCTGTATCATCTTCATCATACCATCCTCGTTTTAATGATATTTTCTCGTAGCTGTTCGTTCGTCCTAAGTAACCTTTTAGTTGAAGAATCCTTGGAAGTACTCTGTTCTTATGTGGATGGCTTTCTTCCGAGAATAGAAAGAACCATGAGATGAATATAATCTTGAGTACATTATTAATTCTTATTTTCTGATCGAGCTTCGTTCTGAATGCATGTTGCTTTGTGACTGCGCAGTTTGATGTAACTTTTCCGGTTCTTGCTTGCTCACTCCTTAGTGTCGATGCTGGGGACATTAGTGGGGAGCGGCACTTTGATATAGTACGTTTATTTGCTTCTATTGGCGCACTCGTTGCTGGAAAAAAAATAAAATCCCAGCAATTCTATTTTTCATCCGAAATTTTATTTATTTATTTATTTCAACTTTATTATCTTTCAGAGGCATGACATAATAAAGAAAAGACTGGACAGCCATGGGAATGTGATTGAAGCCAAACAAGATGGAATTGGTGCTCCTAAGGTTTATATTATCCTGCTCTACTCGTTATCTTTTTTTTTTGTACTTATCTGGCCTTCATACGAGATAGGCCGGTGATTTGGCCGTTTGCAGGCATGTAAACAGGCCCATCTTCTTTGGATGCATGAATTTTGAAAAAAGCACTTTTGCTGAATCTTTTATACTGATTTTTTTTCTATATTTTGCATAAAATCTTCGACATCTTCTTCTCCCCAACTGCCATCAACTCGAGAATTTAAGAAAAAAGCGCTCTTATAATTGTCTTTAGTGTGGCATCAGCATTGAAATGTTCATTTTCTTCATTTGCTGCCATCTTTTTATTGATTTCTGCATCTCGTGCATGACCCGGGTGGCCAATTATATACAGATTTTTGTCTCTGCCTTATGCCTACACAGAGAAACGGAATTGAGAATGTTGGATTAGAAATCCATCAGAAAACAGGTTGTTGCAGAAGAGAAAAAAAGAATAACCAAATGAAACCCTAAGCATGATCGATATTTAGAGTGTGTCACCAGTTCTTATGGGAACCTTCTGTAGCATGACTAATGTTCATGCTATTGGAGGGTAGTGTTTCTTGAGATTATCTGTGATTTTTATGCGTTGACTCTGATCGCCAATGGGATTACTTTCAACTGCCGCTTCTTTCCTCTGTAGTCTTTCCCCCTTCAGATCTTAGGGGGTGACATTCAAAAGCATGACTAATGTTCATGCTATTGGAGGGTAGTGTTTCTTGAGATTATCTGTGTTTTTTATGCGTTGACTCTGATCACCTATGGGATTACTTTCAACTGCCGCTTCTTTCCTCTGTAGTCTTTCCCCCTTCAGATCTTAGGGGGTGACATTCAAAAGCATGACTAACGTTCATGCTTTGGAGGGCAGTGTTTCTTGAGATTATCTGTGATTGTTATGCGTTGACTCTGATCGCCTATGGGATTACTTTCAACTGCCGCTTCTTTCTTCTGTAGTCTTCCCCCCTTCAGCTGCAAGATATTCTCTTACTTTTCATCACAACTATTATCTTAGGCACTGTTGTTTCCCTGGGAGTTTGTGATTGCATTTCTCGTATTGAATCACTTTATGCTAACACTATTTGCAATATCTTTACTTGGGCAATGTCCATGCCCAGAGTGAAATGGATCTCATCACAAACTTAAGCATTGCTTTCTTGTACATGCCTCAGATTGAAAGGCCTTTACAAAGGCATGGTGGAAGGCTTGAGCACAACGAATCCTACTGTGGCTCTTGTTATGGCGCTGAAGCGGTTGGTTCTCATTGAGCTCGCATGATTCTGTGCCAAAGTTCCACTGCACTTTCTTTGCAATGACTTGTTCCTTCCTGTTGCAGACGGAGGAGGATTGCTGCAACTCATGCGAAGAAGTTCGTGATGCATACCGAAAAAAAGGATGGGGAGTAACAAATCCAGACTTAATTGATCAGGTAAACATTGGGCCAGGACATTGAAGTATCGATTATTTTATGAACATTGGGGACGGGACATAGTTGATGGCTGCTTCACACTCTTAATTTATTTAGCATCCGCTTAGGTGGTCAACTTCCCCACAGAAAACTTGGCTTCTGATAATACAAGGAGCACCATGTTGGCCCATAAGACAGAAGGTGATGATGCCTTCCTAGGAGGGCTAACAGTGGTTAAAGCTGTTATTGGAATGGTTCTTGGACGAAGGAAGAAGTGGAGATGATTCTTGGGGTATATTTCTTGGGTTTCTGTGCCCACATATTTGATGGGGGTAGAGATTGATCATTTTTGTACAAAGTTCTTCAGCTACTATATGCAAGGAGAATTTATGAAATTCTCTTGCTTATCTTTTTCTTTTGTTCTTTCTGCAGTATTTTGTTTCCATGTGTTCCTCCCAGACCAGCACTTGGTTTGTCATGTATACAGTTCTCCCCTCATTTATGTTTGTTTTGGTTGAAGTGCTTTTGTATTTCCTGGGAACTCCTGCATTCTTTTCTAATAATGAATCGGACGAAATCTTGCTTCTGGTCCTTATTATTTTTAGTGAAATCATCAGCCTATTAAAAAAAAGAAAAATCATCTTCACTCTTTGAAAATGATTTGTTCATCAGATCTCTCCCTAGATATGATAACACCCCCAGTTTTTCTCCGCAGTGCAAGAGGGAGGGTTTCATTCAAAGAATCAAGGACGAAGATGGTGAAGGATGCAACATACATGGGTTCTTGGAAGTTACCAAGGTCGCAGGAATTTTTCACTTTGCCCCTGGGAAAAGCTTTCACCAATCTGGCTTCATTCTGCAAGATTTGTTCTTATTTCAAACAGAAAATTATAATGTAAGTTTATGAGCAGCCAATTCCATCACTTCCGAACTCCCTTTCGATTTGGGAACCTCACTTTTAGCTTCGAATTTTTCTTCTATTTTTGACATAAATCAAAATGGATCAGATAAGCCACAAAATAAATAAGCTGTCCTTTGGGAAGGAGTTTCCTGGTGTTGTTAATCCACTCGATGGGTGAGTTTTCTGGTGCATGATTGTCAATATGACTGCTTGGCATGCGTTGACTTGACATTGTCCTTTACACTTTTTATGTTTTCTATGAGAAAACTTCAGTGCCCAATGGACGCAGAAAGTGCCGTCGAGCATATACAAGTATTTCATCAAGGTGACGTCTAAACTCCAGTTCTTGAGTCATCTAAAGGTTTCAATTGGACGAGGAAATCGTTCATGATACCCATATCAAGCAATAAAATATCTTGATCATCCCTTTTTTAGGGTCAAATAGATCTGTTGGACACTTGTTTGAAGCTAAAATGTTGTTTTTTTTCTTTTTTGGAAACTGTGCTGACAGTTTCTTTTCAATTTATTTAGGTTGTCCCTACAACCTACAAGGACATAACAGGCCACAAGATTAACTCAAATCAGGCAAGATGATTTGTATCCTTTTTATATTCACCTTGGAGAACAACATGCGAAAACCCTGAACCCTGACTAGTTTCCTTGTATCTCTGTGCAGTTTTCAGTCACTGAGCACGTGAGAGAAGCAGATGATTTCTCTCAACAGGTTCCTGGGATTTTCTTCTACTATGACTTCTCTCCGATCAAGGTGATTTCAGACGATATTTCTTGTGTGGATTTATCTATGGTATCAACTTGACTGCTCTAACTCGTGTGCATCTCACGGCCACTCTTCATGGTTGTATCCCCCATTTAGTTTGAATGGGACTTCCATATTCTGGACACTATTATAATTACAGCAGAAAAAAGTTACCACATATCTATTTTTTAGTCTATTTTCCTTTTACTAATCTCAATGATGTGGTGAATTGAAGACCGCTCTTTCTCATATGACTATGCATCCATGCATTCCTTATCACATGTTCACATTTTTCTCAAAGATTATTATGCTAGCAATTGAGAAAAGATTGTTGTACCTGGCAGGTGATCTTCACGGAGGAGAACGCATCCATCTTGCACTTCCTCACAAATCTCTGCGCCATCATCGGAGGTCAGACAGCATGAAAAAAATTTGAACTCATTTCTAATTCTATCCATTTGCACTTCAAAATCAGTTCGTCAGGGTTCCTCTTTGTTTCCTGAAGGAAGACCCGAAATGTTTCTCGCCATTTTTTTAATCTTCAATTCTTCTGGGGTTTGCCAGGCATCTTCACCATCTCAGGAATCATAGACACCTTTGTGTACTATGGCCAGCGGGCGATCAAGAAGAAGATATAGGTGGGCAAGCATATATGACCAAAAGCAATCACCTTTCCTACAGGGATCTGAGAATTTGGATGGCCCATTTCTAGAACAAGTTGTAATTCGCTAGCCTTTTCTTTATTTTGTATATTGACCATTTGTAACTCTTTGCAGGCTGCGATTTCTTTGCAGCCTGAAAGTTGCTAGTTTGAGGCTTCTACCCTGCCTTCCTCTGTCAGGTTTGCTATTAGGGTTTCTTCCTCATAGTCTAAATTATGACATGTACTAGATCTTTGATCCAATCAATAGAGTTCATATCCTCAATTCATACAGAAACGTGAACCCTAATCTGCCTGTGCAGAGCGAATTTCCAGAGTTAGAGATCCAGATAATTGTGATGAGCCTAAAATTGATCCCGTATAAGCCCAGAAAAAATGCTATAAAGTTACCCAAACTTATCACAGCCAGTGAAAAAATTGGAGCAAATTTGGAACACTTTTTAACCAATTATATGTTGTCAGGCATCTAAGTGCTTCAAATATGCCCGGATTTCTTAGCAGGTGCTTCAACGTTCGCTTTTTGAGATATGAGACAATGAACAATGAGTACATTCTGGTTCAGTAGCTGAGAGTTCCATGCCATCAGAGGTCAACAGAGAGAGAGAGAGAGAGAGAACAGGCTACCACTCTTGGTCAACCCACCAAGAACTCACCAGCTAATGCATGGTTTTCCAGTCTTCCAGTGGGAGAGCAGCAAAACCATCAATGGCTGATAACCCTGGCAATCCAGAGACATTTAATATCTATTTCTGGTGGGTTTCATGGGGGAGGAGGACGATGAAATAACTCTACCAGCAGGGAGAAATTTATGCATTGGAAGGGGGGAAAGCAAACCACCTCACCTCAGTCAGATGAGCACCTTGCGCTGCTGCACTCTGGCCCTCTCTGCGTCAATGATACAGCCCACCAGCTCCACCGCATTCTCAAGCCTCCCCTCGGCATTCACAACAACATAATCAAAGTCTTTCATGTGTTTCACCTCCTCCCGGGCCGTGGCGATTCTCACCAGAAGCATCTCCGCAGTCTCTGTCTTGCGGCTGATGAGCCTCTTCACCAGGGCTGCTTCGTTCTCGGCAACCAGGAATATGAAGATCGCAGAGTTACCAAGAATCGACCTCAGAGTGGCCGCGCCTTGTATGTCCACCCTCAGGACGATATCAAAACCCTTGGCCATGAACTCCCTAATCTGGAAAGCATTCACGCTATCTTGATACACAGTAGAAGCGAGTTTACAAAAAAAAATAAAAAATGCATAATTCTCAGCTACTCAGTGTACGGGGCATAGAATGCAGGCAGGCATGTCTTGATCCGATTCTGGAGTGTGATTAATAAGATCAGCTAGAGGATATGTATATAATACAATAAATATTATGCTCCAAATTGGTCGGAGCTAGTAAATCTTCGTCTTGGTTTTGCTTAACATCATCAAACATATGGTCAACTCATTATGAATCAAAGAAGATTTGGCCGAACATGCCCAACTTTTTCGGTACAAATGACTGAATAAAGCATGCTAACATGGTCCAATACTAAAATCACACTTAAGGATACATGCACTTGTACGCTGATCAAAAGTTAATGCTTATTTAATTCGGCATAAAGAAACGGTTTGATGAGCATTAATCAACCAGAAATTAATTAATTAATGTCAATAATATTGAACGTAAAAAGATTGCCCCTGATCCAGACTCTTCAGAGAGGAACAGAATCGGCAGTGTGCCCAATCTGAACCGGATCAGAATGACCCTGGTTTCACAGACTTGTCGGATTTGAGCGGAAAAAAACAAGAAGAAAAAGGAAGCAGGGGACTAAGGTCCTATTTGGGTTTTACTGTGATGCACAGTACAGGTAGATTAAAAAATAACTAAACTACTACTGACGTATAATGACCTAAGAACCCTCCAAATTAGATATCGATATATGATTCCGTAGCCCAAAAGACTTATTGAAACCATGAATTGGCACTGAACCCCTAATACATTAGGATCAACAAACAAGAAAATAATGTTTTTTTAGATCTAACACCCCATAAGTATCTTCAATCAGGTATACCCTTTTTTCTTTGTTCACAAAGTTCAACTCTGACTATTTAATTTTTACAAGATGATGCATAATAAAAAGGCTAATTATTCTGCCATCTTATTTAATCTGATAGAATAAAAAGGGGGAGAAGAGCGAAAACCTGCTGCTTGGGTATCCCCTTGTACTGCCCATAGACAAGAGCATACTCCAGGAGTTCATCCCTTTCTACCATAGAAAGGAACTCCTCCTTTGTGACAAAGTAGTAGTCCTTTCCATGGACTTCATCAGGTCTTTTCTCGCGACTTGTAGCTGTGACAACAAAATGCATTCCCTTACGAACTTCTTGTAGCCTCTGCAACAAAACCAAGCACTACCTACTGAATTCTACATTTCCAATGGGGTCTCAAAACGATATGCAATATTAGATAGCTTGCAGATGATTACAGATAAGAGGATTTTAATCTAGATGCAGCCGACCCAAAAATAATAATTTAATTCTACGTAAACCAATATAAAGCAATAACTTTTCAATATATACTTGGAACTAAACATGGAACTGTCTCGGTCATTGCATACTATCAGTTCTAGGCTTACCTAATAGCTGCTGAGGTAAAAATACAAAAAATCGTTAAAAACGGGAACATGATGTTTAACTAATGTATTCAAAAATGTTTAGAAGTAGCAATTTCCAGTTATTATAACAGAAAAATGATGACTAGAACAAGAGACCGGCAGCAGAAACTCGTACCTTGATGACAGCATCTTTGCCAACACCACTTGGTCCACTAATAACAATAATCTGAGGGTTTGGAGGAGGTGACAAAGGATCCGAACTGAAAGATGAACCTATTGAAGCTTCGAGTCCTCTAAACAATTCCTCCTAAAAGAGGATGCAAATGATCACATGGACCACTAAATCCCAAATGCGACAGAAATATAAAACTAGACATTTTAATGCAGAAAATGATTATATAGAAATATGATAAATGTAGAAAATGCATGGCAGATATGCTCTCAATACCGCACATCGAATTTCTGATTGGGAGGTTATCAATGATGCCAGTGTCTGAAAACGAAGCTCAAATCAAAAGATTATAGTTTCTTTTACTGAAATTTAATAATGATAAAAAATCAAAAAATAGATCAAAAACCCAATTAGAAGCAAAGGCACCTATAATGTCTTCTGTCTATGATGCACATCTTTTAGAAATCTCAACAGGTTGAGAACAGCCAAATCAACGTCTGGACCATAATATACTAAATATGGATTTAATGCATAACAAACAGTAGCACCTCAACGTGAGTCGGAACATAAAAAAGTCTGTTTAGAAGAAAAGGCGAAATTATTTCTCCTACCTTCTCCTACCTTACATCCCATCGGAAAACTTTCAGTAAGCTCATAGCAGACCATTTTTTCTTTTCTTTTCTTTTTTCTATATAATCCCATCTACTGTCTGACACAAATATGGCACCTGGTTCAATTCTTTAAGGTCTATTCACTGCACACGTCTCCAGCAACCAATAATGAACTGCACTCCAGCCACCTGTAAGGCCTTTAACCTAGCCTGTCTGCCATTCACCTCAACTGTCCAGCCTTCTGCTCTTTCAAAAATGTGACTTCAAGGTGGACACTCTATCATCTCTCATAACCTACATTAGCGATCCATCCAATGCGAGTGATGGAATTTCATTCAAAAAAATTGACATTCAATTTTCTGTTACCTTGCAGTAATTTAGCAAGTGCATGTATCATAGCTTTGGCCATAAATTTAAAGACTACCTCCCTGTCGGTATTAATGAATTGTATAAATAATTTAGTCGAAACAAACTTCTTTTAAAAACATGATCCTTGCTTTCTCTACATCTACGTTGAATAAGATAAAACGGAAACTTTCATGCATGCATGGTAAGCATTCTTCCTTTAAGCACCGATTTTGTAAGGACCCCAACGTTCATGAACATTTCCTCTAAACCATCTTCTCAAAAGACAACATGTTACCATCTCAAATGCTAACAAGTTTTTCCCAAGACAGCATAAAACTGAAAAATTCATGGTCTCCTTGATTGGTTTTATAGTTTCTCTAACGTTAGGATCATCAAAGATGAAAATCCTCCACTTGTTCTCGGATAATGATGAGAAAATGCATGAAAATGAACCAATACTGACTTTTCAGCCATCAGTTGGCACCAAGACTCTCATGCTGAACGAGCTTTAAAAATAGTAATTGAAAAACATTATAGAGGAACTAATTTCTTCATGTACACGCAACACTTCAACTTCATACAGTAATATAAAAGCATTTTCTCCTTTCTAGACGGCTAAACGTGAACGAAAATCGACACCCAAGCAAAGTACCCATAATTGGAGTCATGAAAACACAATCACGTGAAGAAAAATAAAATAAAATATACCAAACCCCGACCCTTTACCCTTCAATAACCATGATAATAAATGGCAACAGTTTTCCAACCAAATTTTCGCCAAGTTGAGTCTCGAGCTCATTCCTGGTAGAATTATTACGGCAGATAGTCGTGCTCAATAAACGTCTTCCATGCAACTTTGGAAGAATCAGTACTGAAATTACTCAAATCCTCAAAACTGAGACCTCGCATTGCTGCCAATACACATCCCCCCCCATTTGCCACGATGATGAAAGGGAAGATTATCGGAAGAGGAGGAATACGATACCGACCTTATCCGCCGTGGGTGGAGGCAACGGGACGTAGGGGGACCTTCTGGCGCCCTCCGTTCTGCAGGAGGACGTCATGAGACGAGACCCCAGGCACTCTCTTCGGAACGCAAGACGGTTCCCGCCGCAGGGGGGGGCAGAGAGTTGAACCCTAGTGGCTCCAGCAAGAGGATAGAAGCAGACGTCGAGCCGGGGGAGTGCGGCGAAGACCCTCCGCAGAAGCATGGGGGAGGAGGAAAGGGCCTTGCCGACCGTCACTGAGGGCAGCCCTCTCATCCTCCCGCCATTAACAAAACCTCTCCCCCATCACAGCTTTGCATATTAAAGAAGTACAAACAAGCTCTTCTCCACTTTGCGAGAGCACCGCACCGGCCCACTTGAACCGGTGACTCCAAACCCGGTTCATCCGGCACAGAGTCCCTGCGTTGTCAAACCCTTCATAAAATCCTATAAACCATCAACATTCTCCAATAATGCTAAGTATCAAGTTTTATTTATATATAAAATCCAAAAAAAACATATATAATCACTTATAACCCATTTATGTATTTACAAAATCCAAAAAACACATATAATCACGGATAGCCCATTTATTTATATATATAATATCCAAAAAACATAATCATTTATAATTCATTTATTTATTTATAAATATATAATATCCAAAAAACACATCAGAAACGCCTGAAAGACTCTGCCTGCCATATCAGAACAACAACCGAGCGATTACAGAGAAGCCCAACAACCTTCTAACCCTCCCCCTCGCCCCATGAAACCGGACAATGCAGAAGACTACAGAGCTCAGGACCCCATCACCATCTTCACAGGGTCAGGCTCAGCGCCATGGATGCGCAGGCGGTAGAGGCAAGTGTAAGAAGGGTTCCCATGGTTGGAGGAGAAGTCCAGGCGCACCATGTTGACCATGCCCACAGAGGATGGAGCAGCGCCGAAGGTCTGGGCATTGCCCTTGCCGAGATCATAAGTGAACTCCACCAGGGTGAGCATCGTCCGCTCGGGCCAGGACGAAGGGCTGTTGCCGAGCCCTTCGAGCCATGCCGAGATGCGACAGTCCTTCGGCGCGCTAGATCGGTCATAGCCCACACTCTGCACATATAAATCAATAGCAGGATTGTAAACATTGTGGGATTAATGAAAAGATCAGTATTGCGACCATATGCGGAGTATGATTCATACCATTCACAGCAGTTTAAAACGTTCTGAGATGATGATGAAGGCTAAAGACGAGTAATACAGAAGAAATCCAAAGGCTGTGCCGGAAATGGGTGGAAACATGTAGCATGCAGTAGTACCACAACATTGCCGCAAACAGCAACCTTCAGCAGAAGACAGGAATGACGACTCCGGTGGAGGGAGGGAGGGAGGGAGGGAGGGAGAGAACAAGCAGGAGGTCGGATGTGAAGAAACCGAAGGGGAGAAACTGGCTAGAAAATGATCCAAAAGCGAATGTTCAGGAGTTCATGAGCAAAATTAATCGAAAGAAGCCCAAAAAAGGAATCACATGAGAATTATTGACCTCACTCACGAGCAAGAACAATTTCCCCTTTTGTTAAAAACTATGCATAGGGTACAAACAAGATTGATAGAAAACGTCCGGATCTACTCTTTCCATTGCAATCAAATCAACTTATGGGTACAAGGTCCTGATTGGCGTTTAACCAAAGGTTTTTTTTTTCCTCGGCAGTGTTTCTTTCCATTGCATCACTGATGAATATATATACTTTGAAACACCCAAGATCTGGTTGGTTTGGAGATTTTTTCTCTCTCGAGGAAGAGCATATGGAGAAAATTCAGCCCGCCAGATATCAAAATCATTGTGTCTAGTCCCTCTATGGTCCTCACAGACATGTATAGTGGCCGGGAGACATCTTCATGAAAACCATATCTAAAGCACTACCCCAGTTGTGACAGTCGTACTGGCTAGCATGCCCAAGTAAATGATCCTTGCCAACAGTGAATCAGTCGTCTAGCCTGATATATATATATATATATATATATATATATATATACCCTCCTGATGGAGCATCACAGACTGCCAACTCTGCACAACTCAATACTCATTACGAGTCAGGATTGGTCAAAACAAGATAATCGATGTTCTCAAGAGAGATCAGAGAATAGGCTGCCAATGAAAGAAATATAGATGGTTTAAGGAGTAAAAAATTTCAAACAAATTAAAAAAATTATAAATTTAAACAACCCACCAACCCCCTAATACCTTGTGAGAGAGGTAAGTAAAATAAAATTTTAACTATTCCACATGCTGATAATTACCGCCACCTAAGAGGACTGTAAACAGAAAGTCTAGAAAAAATGCAGAAGAAGAAAGATTACCTTTGCTACGTGTTCTATAGTGATAGATTCAGGGATGATTCCTGTTCTCAGCTTGATTTCAACAAATCCAGTGCTCCCACGCAAGGGAAAGCACTGACCAGGTTCTCCAAAACTCGGCTGCAGCATCTTATGAGCACTGGCATGAACGCCACCACTTCGGCCTTTTCCCACAGGAAACCAACTACCCTTGCCAAAGCTGTACGCCTCAGAATGCCGAACGACTCTACCTCCACCAGATGCCAGTGCATAATCTACCTTTCCAAGCCCATCGGCTGCATGCTTTTCAATCTCCTTCTCAATAATATCCCTGGCGTAGGCTTTAATCTCGTCCAAAGTCACCTGACGAGTGTTCGTCACTGTATTTTGACCTTTTCTTAAGTCATCCAAGATTTTCTGAAGGTCGTCTTTGGAGAAGAAACTTGTGTCCTTCAACTTGGTTAAGGACACCTCCAAGTCGTCGCTTCTGGTTTCCAATTGCCTCAACTTCTTCTCAAGAGAGTCAGTTCTCCCCTTGATTTCCTCTGTCAGTTCCTTTTTTACAATGCCGATCTCTCTGTCGACCTTGCTATGAACGGCCTGCATGCGGTCCTGCAACATCTCTGTCGTCTTCCTTAAAGAAGCTTCAACATCAGATATCTGATCTACAAAAGCAGGAGCAGTGAACAAAGAGCGCGTGACCTCGCCTTGAAGATCGATCCACTTCCAACCCATTCGCCCCAGATTGAGAAGCACAGTGAGAAGAAGACCGTTTTTTATGAGAATACTAAGAATAGTTCTCCACCTGGGCTTGTCCGCCTTCGATGGAGATTTCTTGTGCTTGAGTGAAATCTTAGGCGCCGCAGTTAGATCATCCTTGCGATGGGGAAGTTCTCGCGGTCTCTCCTGCGCATATTCATCCCGCACGGAATGCCCATCTCTGCCATCAACCCTATTACCACTGACAGCAGGATTTTCCCCATCGGCAACCGTGTCAACCGTCGATTTCTTCTCTGCGACGAAAGCATGCCTCCTCCTGGCACTCGACTTCAAGTCGGAATCCAGAGCGTTGATCGCTGAATTCGCAGCGATGGCGACCGTCGAGGACGACATCCGCCGATCCTCGTCTGAACTCCCCAGAGAAAGCTAAACAGCAGAGCAGGCCTTCACAACAAAAAGAAACAAAGCAGAAATCGGACTCCATTTGAATCAGAACCCAAGAGATCGATCCGACTGAAAAACCCAGTGGCGGGCGGGGAGAGCAAATCTAACCTTCGAGTAATGCCGGCCAAGCCAGACCTCCAGCGGAGAGCGAGGAAATCAGATTGGGAACCAGGGAAAGCAGCGTCCCGCCGGTACGAGGATTATAGAGAATCTCTGGCCTCCACCGTCAGGAAGGACTCCCCCGTTGCCCTAGAACTGGGTGGCACTCCCCACCGAAAGGAGCCCCTTGCTTCACCGGTTTGATTTGATTAATGGGCGGGTGGCGGCGGGCGCCAAGAGATTTTCAAGATTCTGAAGGGGAGAGAGAGAGAGAGAGAGAGGAGTGAAAGTACTTTGTTGGGCCTGATTTTTGGAAAGCCCAATAAAGCAAGCAGGAACCGGGCAGTCTCCAACTTTAATCATCTCATATTACCATTCATGGAAGAGAACTCAAGAAAAAGCGACGGGAATTATAAAAAAAAAAAGAAGAAAAACAATCGCAGCAGCAGCAGATTTTAGCATCAAATCCAACAAATTATCCACATCCGAGCCAATCTAAATGAAGGGAAACCCCCCCTCCCCCGCCCAATTCAAAATTTGTACCATCTGGACAAGCTGATGGATGGATCGGGCGATCCATCAACCCCACAGCCTGCTGAGGATGCCCTTCTTGCTCTTCTTCATCCGGTTCTCCAGGGAAGGGAACTCGATGGAGCCGAAGGCGATGTCTTGCACGATGGGGTTGCAGGGCACGGCTTGGAACGGCGGCGGGAACTGCTCGATCGAGGGAGCGACCTTGGAGGTGGGATCCCCGACCGCCGACTCGTAGACGTCGAGCTTCTCGACGAGGAATCTCTCCGGCTGCTGCAAGATTACCATGCACATCCAATCATCAGTACGAATAGCTGGTCTAATCTCTAGACACAGCGAGAGAGAGAGAGAGTTCCCACAGCTAGTTGAAGTACTATCACCCTTTGGGTCACTATCAGCCTCGCAAAAGATGCCTCTCTCTCTCTCTCTCTCTCTCTAGGTCAGACTAAACACCCTTTAAGAGAAGAAGAGAAAAGGGAGTGGGGGGGTTGACCTTCTTCGCAGGTTTTGACAAGGAGATGGAGGAGACTCCCTTAGAAAGATCCTTGGGCGCCTTCTCTTCCTCCATGATCCCCGTCGCATGCTCTATGCAGCTGCACACCCTGCAGTCGTCTACCAACGCCTTCAAGTCCTCCATCAACACCTGCACACAACAAATGCATATGTATATGAGATATCTAGGGGATCATAACTAATATAGAAATCCTCAAACCACATCGATAGTAAATAATAAACAAATAAATAAATAAATGCGATGCATTTAGACCATGACTTCACGAGTGGCACTCATCGATGTGGATCCCGAACGAATATAGGAGCTGAAAAGGGGGCTCGTCCTGGGCCTTATGGGTTACCTTATCATTACTGTTTGGGGTCTGAAGTCTCTTGACCGCAGTGTCGGCGAGGGAGCGCGAATGGCAGAACAGAGCATAGGCTTCTGCCCTTTTTCCAGCTAGGCTGTAGGATTTCGCCAGATAAAAGCACCTGAAGGCATTGAAAGACGAGGCTCATGTTAAGCAGGGAGAAGACCAAGAGTTAACCTTAGTTAGATCAGGAGGAAACCCTGGAACAATGGGCTCTTGGCCGGACCATTATGAAGCTCACCCATCACACCATCTCTCTTTCTCCCTCTACCCTCTCTCTCTCTCTCTCTCTCTCTCTCGATCAAACCTTAGTTAGACCAGGAGGAAATCCTGGAAAATGGGCTCTGGGCTGGACCATAATGAAGCTCACGCCCAACCCGGCTCTCCATATGACTTATTCAAGAGCGACAGCGAGAGCGAGAGAGAGAGAGACCTCTTGGCACGAAATGTGAGACCCTTCAGGGTACACTCCTCGGAAAAGGCTACTTCTTCAGGGTTGCTATCTCTTCCGGAGCTAACCAAGTCAGAAAGATCGGACGTGTTCTGCAGACATATCAATCGTGCAAAACGGGAAGCATTGAGAAGAAAGTGTGAGACACAATATATGAAGAAGAAAGTATATAAATGGCATTTCGATCAGGCAGCCACCTGTATGAGAAGATCGTACAGACGAACGAGCTCCTCTGGCTGAGTGCCCTTCTCGCCCTTGTCAACTCGGTGCTTATCGAACTTACTCTTGGCGATCTTAACAAGAACCTGGTTTCGCTCGATCGTTCGGTGACCTAAAACAGCACTGACTGCCTTGTCGAGGCCATTCAGCTCATCCTTCACGCGCTCAGCATTTCCTGCAGTAGCCTTAAGATCCATGGGAAGCCTTAGTGATGATCTTAAAGCATATAGATATATAAAGACAGTCCCTTCAGAGAGAAGCTACAGACATACCAGGTCATTGCGGATGCTGCTCCTCGCATCATGATATGCGGTGAATATTTTCTCAAACAAGTTGAGCTTTCTATCTGGTATAAGTGAGTCCGATCCTGAATTGTCTATATCTTTCTCCAGCTCCCGAGCTGATCAAATTCTAAGTTAAAACGAACAAACACAAAGAAAGTGTACTAAAAAAAAAACCAACACTACTATTGAGGGAGGGAGAGAGAGAGAGAGAGTATTAGGTGATCCATTTCAATCATTGAATCCCATTGTAAATAATATCTCGTCTGTGGCAGATGTGTACCCGGATCCCTTTCATCAATTTTCTTCACTGGCCAATCCGAGCAGTTTCAGATCAGATCAATCAGAAAAACAGAAAGTTGGCCCCATTTGCAGTTATCTTTCAGTATTGAAGTGATGACTAATCTGAGTTGTATCAGATCATTCCGTAAGAAAATGAGTAGAAAAGGCCCACTTTGCTGCTATTTTAAAATGTCCAAGTGGGATCTAGGTCCACTCCAGATTGAAATGGGTAATCCCAACCCGGTTTTGGATTGACCAATGCCAGGGACTACCTCCAAGCTAGATTAAATTCTTTCTTTGAAGTTAAATGATTTATACTAGTTTCCTCCTCCAATCGATCAGACTTTTTCATTTCAATGCCTACCATTCTGAACCATGGCTCTTGCTACAAGTTGAGTATCTGAAGCAACATAGGCATTTTTAATACTGTTTGGAAAATTCCCCACGGATTATAAGCGAATAAGATTGTCACAAGATGGTAATCACAGAACTTTTACAAGAATAAGTGTATCGCGTTTCAAGAATTAAAAGAGGTATGCAGCCTGTGATTAGTAAGAAGTCCAACCTTTCAGAATAGAAACACGTGTCTTCGCGTTATTCACCGGAAATTTATGACCAAGCCAAGTAAATTCCGTCAGGGTTGCTGCCTGCTGAGATTTTTCCTCATTCATAAATGCCTGAAAACGAAGAACGAAAGATAAAGATTATAACCAAATTTGGGGATAGTTTCAGACCCGCAAAGCATCAAATGATAAAATGTGACTGTAACTTGATTGTTTATTTCATAAGTTTCCTCATCCCCACTGCAAATTTTGCATGCCAGCGTGATAAACAATATAGCTAACATGGCTTACTAGGACCCTACTTGAGGAATCCTGCCAGTCTCTATTTCGACTGATACAAATTACAGCATGAATTTTGGTCTACATGATTAACATTTGACCGTTGAAATCAATCCCAAGGAAAAAGGAAAAATATTGCATATAAATCTCACTCCTCTTTACAGTGCTTTCCTGGATAGCAACTAGCAGAGACTCAATCGCTATCTGTTTTAAGAAGCAGGCACAAAAGTTAACCATCATGCACTTGGGCCCGTCTACTCTCATACTTACCAAAGAAAGTAAAATCTCATGCCTCGTAACCACATCTCACAAGTCTCTCTGTAATGAGATGAAAAAAGATTTTTTTAAAAAATCTTCTTATAAGAGGGGATCCTCGGATTAATTCATTAACAAGCCATGAGCATATTCATGCAATATATATATATACATCTATGCATGTCAATCAGTCAAATAATTTAGCACAAGTCTTGACCTAGGCTAAAGCAATAGACAGAATAATAGAAATAAAAGCCGTACTTGACGGAAAAAAAATAGATGAAAAATACAAATTTACTAAGAACAGCTACCTGTCAATTTTTTGACCATACCTCTAATTTAGCATTGAGAAGATCCATTGCGGGTCCTTTTCCGGAGTCCAACAACTCAGAACTTTGGATATTTAATTCCCCAACCTTGTGTAAGCAGTATCTGATGCTAGGTTCAAGTTCTTCCACACGCTCACGGCACAAAACTTGATTCTCTGTGTCACCAATTTTTCCTAATTCTTCGTAGACATCCCTAAAACAGGAAGACAACTAAACCCTGAGATCCCAATAACGAACTGAATTTAACATAAGATCTATTAACTGGATAGAAATCAATAAAAAAATAGCACACTATTTGTCTAGGCAGACAATTCAGATGAAGATAATTGAAGAAGACATTTAATCATCTTGGAGACCACTGAATGATTTAGACGAGTAGATACTATTGCACACCAGGTGAAGATGTTCCTAAAAATGTAAAAATAAAAGTGTTTCGAAGTTCGTTTGGTGAGATACTCAAATAAAAATAAATAATCCAAAAAAAACCTTGAAGTTAAACAAAAAACCGAGTCTACAAAGAGAGAACAGTGAAACTCCTTATATTGCATCACCAAATCGAGTTTCACTTAACATGCTTCTAAATTATTTCACATGAGGTGCTTAAAACACTTGCAATCACACTTCGGAAATATTTAACATTTTACAAGACAGTTCTTGCCAGTACAGAGCCTAGGACCTTTAGTACTCAATCAAGAATTATGTGAAACAAAATAGTCATATTAGGACAGCAGCTACATAGTCCACATCCAAAAAGAGATTCATGTGGCTGTTTAGTTTAATATACCTTGCACTCCTGAAATTAATCAATGCAGTCGGCCAACTCTGATCTTGCTCAAACAACAAAGTGCCTCTCATGTAATAAGCATATGCCTGCAAACCAACAATCACATCTTGTTCATCATACCTTGCATTAGAAAAATCTGAAAAGTACAATGACAAATATGTATAAAAACAGCGGAAAAAAAAAGCGAAACAACCCATAAAAGACCAAGAAAGGAAGTTAAAGAATGAGATGTATGCATATTGAGGATGTTATACTTGTCTACAAAGATAAAAACTTTATTCTATATCTGGTTAGAAACCATATGTCGCTAAAAAATGTAGAGGTGCATTTAATCACAGGAATTTCTAAATGCTACAAAACATAGAATGGAATCACAAGGTCCAGGAAAGCTGCACTGAACTATTTGTATGATTCCTTTCAAGGCCAACTGAAAGCAAAACCATCAACCCAACGTCCAGAAGAACTATGAGGTAAAATGAGAATGAAAGCAAGGGAAGCTTAACATCAAGATAATTAGGCCATTTTATTCAGCCATTACCTCTGCTTCTAGTGAAGTTCTGCGGTCTCCCTTAATAGCACATAACTGTGCAAAAAGTGTCGCCCACTTTACTGCCTTCCTCAATCTGCCGAGTAAATAAATGCGTTGATGAGAATTTGGCCCATCAGGCAATTGCCTCTTTTCCATGGCATGGCTCCACGCCCTCTCAGCCCTGTACAGAACGACGTGAAGGAATCTGCATAGAAGCCAAACCTGATATTTGTAACATTATGGCATCATTGAAAGTCATATTTAGCACATTTTCCGACAAAGACTCAGATAAGCTGTGAGAAACAAAAAAAGTGGTAGAGACAAATTTAATTCACATGGAAATCAACCAAAGATTTATACAAATTTTATGGTGAAAAACAGTAATTTTATGAACCCTTAAAAGTTACGTGAATGCATCCTTTAGTCCCTAAGAATTGAACGATTGATATCTGTGGCATTAGATAAGTATCATTACAACTCTAAGGATCAAACGATAAAAAGATTTTCCAATGCAAGATATGAGTAAATTAAAACAGAAATCAATGATTCTATCATAGCAATTTACTTGATCCAACATACATTAGTCATTGCAAGGCTTTTCCCGGCATATACCATCCATCATGCGTGTATACTCTACACCAATGTCAAATCGAAGCCTCTATATTATTATCTTCGTTATTTTCCTTCTCCCTCTAATTTTTAAAGCAGCCCATCATTAAAAGCTGCCCATTTAACTCGTGTCTGTTGCATGAGAATTTTAATCATCACGCTCCCCAGAAAAGGCCCATCATATCCTTGTCCACATCATGGTGCCAGTCTAATCATCGCTTTATGCATCAAAAATGTTTCCAAGTCGCCAATGGTTACGGCATACATCATAATTACATTTTTCATGTTTTAAAAAACTTTTAAAAATTAATTAGGAGAATAAAAATAATAAATAGGAGAAGTGTGTTTACGAAACGTTTCCAAAATCGGTATTACTTCTCATTGAGAGTACATTGATGGACCTTTACCTGAACAAGTCCCTTATAAACGACTCCAAGCACCTGGTTTTATACGGTGTTAAATAGTCATCTGCCTATGTTTTCACGCAGGAGTATCCAACGCATGACACAAGACTGAAACTAGAAAATGGCAATCAATAACAAAAAACCCAATTTTCATGCATGACATGCTTAAGGAATAAAGGTGACGAAGACACAGGTAACACTAGCTCCAGCCAGTGTAAAGAAGGGAGAATGCTGAAACTCGTAACGATATATCCCAGGGAGAGATTAATTGCTGAAATGAAAGACATTGTTTACACGAAACTACAGAGCAGTAGTCAATCCCCGTTGTTGACACAATTATCTTGGTTACAATACAAATGCTACTAGTAAAAAGTTAATTAAAGATCAACAACTTCAACCACGGTCTTGTGCAAGAAAGTTAGCATCATTTGAGCTTTCTTATAAATAAACTAGACTTGTCTACATTATGAAGAATAATATACCTCCATATTCCACTTGTGCTTTTGGAAGGAAACCTATTTATCTTGAACAGTGAATCCTAGTTCAGTGTTATTCGAGTGGATTATTTTAGTCCCATATTTAATATTTTTCGTCCGATACGACAATAAACACCAGGATTTGAAAATTTTCATGGAAATGAAAGAAGAAATGCATCATAAAATGTCACGGTCATAAAAGTTTAGAGAACTGCAGCAGCCCTTAAATAGTAAATGAGAACAAAATTATCTTAAACATATAGTATTTGCTTCCGGATCACACCTGACATCAGTGATTGTCGACTCATTGATGGCCCTCCGAGTGTATTTGCCACGACCATGAGTAAATTTCAGAGATTTGTACAGTCTTCTTAATCGTGCAGTGCAGTATCTCCTGTACAAAGGAAATCCTGTTTTATGTACTTGGCTCAAAAGTGAACCCACCACCACGAAGCTGAATTAATATTTTTTGAAAAATATTACTCATGCCTATCCAGAGTCCTAGAAAAAAATATCACTCACTAGAATGTGGCATATGGGTGCATGCAACTATTATCAAAGAGATGAAGATTACCGATAGCGAGTATAATCTCGGTGTCGCAAGCCGTGCTGCAATTGTGCCGATTTCAGAAGTTGCAAAACTGGAATAACATCAAGCGCAAAAAATGCGGTCAAATGATTTCATTAACAGAGAAAAATATAAGACCGATAAATCGTGTGAAAAGATGGAAAAAAGATGCCCAAATTACGATCCGACTCATTAAAAACGAGAAAATAAAGGTCACGATAAGCAAGAAGTAGAGACAAAGAAACCATTGATGGAGAACTTGGGAACGATCTGTTCCTGGTTGTCGGATTTCTTCTCGTCGACCTCCATCGCCGAGGCTTCGTCACCTTGGCCCATATCGCCCTACTCCCAACCTCACAACCAACGGAACACCGATCTTTACTCTGAGAGGAATTCGACACGACGGAAGCAAGCGAAACCGCCTGAATGCCCCTCCTGCCGTGGATCTAGGGTTTACCAGAGCTGAGGATCGACAATGTCGGAGGGACGGAAGCCGACCTCCCTGTGACGAACTAAACTGTATACACCTCCGTTACTAATAAGATAAATTGCACACTTATCCTGAAAAGTCTTGTGCCTCATTTACACCATTTTAAGTAAGTTACCACATAATTGTATATTGAAATTCATAAAGTCATATTTATACAAATGCCCCTATTTCTTCGTGGCTGTTGTATTCTTAAAAGAGGTCTAATATGGAATGGAGCATTTGTTTTTCGGCCCGGCCCACAATTCCAGCCTCTCTCTCTCTCTCTCTCAGTCTCTGTTTAGATATACGGGTTAATTAGTTTTTTATCCCCATAAACCACCAAATTTGGAGATTCATCCCTCGTGTTTGCGCTCGTCGTGTAGGTTCATGCCCAAAGTGATTCATCGGAGTATTATGTGTCTATCATATGAAGCCGTTATATTTTTAAAAGACACGTGGCAGATGATCCGAATTCATGGATAATTTTGTCGATTAACTTTTTAATGGAAATATGTTCGTTAAAAGGTTAATAATCACGAATAAATGCCAATTTATTCTAAAAATTACATAAATTCGAGTCAAAAATTTTAAATGCGTATAAAAGCAGAATTAATTAGGTATATAATCTTAAATACGAATAAATTCTAATTAACTCGGAATAATGATAATATTTTTATTAAAAATAAATATATAATAAATGGGCCCGTTATTTAACTTAATTAAAATTAACAGTCTTCAATATAAAAATAATATTTATTCGGTCGTAAAAATGGCAGTTTACGGGGATGAAAAGGTAATTAAACCCCCTCTCTCTGTCTCTGTCTGACTGACTCGCTCTCTCTCTCTCTCTCTCTCGCTATGGACCGTGACCCAGAGGAGGCCAAGGCCCGGAACCGCGTCAGCCTTCCTCACCCGGCCGAGTCGAGTGGGTCCAGAACTATGAGCCCCAGTCGATAACCCGTCCCGTCCCGGCCCGACCAAGTTCGTCAATGGTTGACGGTGTTTACGAAAAGGAATTATAGTATTATACATTCTCAGAATGATTACCAAAATATCTGGCGGCGGAGTGGGGCCCACCTTTCGCACACTTAAATCTGTCCTCACAGCACGCCGCCATCACGTGCCGGTCCAAGGAGTGATAAGCCGGTCCAAGGAGTGATAAGCCGGTCAGACCCAACCGCAGCGTTTCCCGCCCTGCGGCGGCGGCGGCAAGCCGGTCCAAGGAGTGATAAACCGCTTACGCTGCCTATATATATACGTCTGGACCTCTTCCCCTTCTCACCCTCTATCCCTTTCTCCCTCTCTTCTCTTCTTCTCACTCTATGGGTGAGAATTGCATCACCGTTGAGCCCTGGTTCTTCCAGTCGGAATTTCCCGGCGGCATGATCGCCGGCGGGTCGCTGGAGTTAGTGAGGGTGGCGCCGCCGGCCACAGCCCCCACGAGCTCGGTGCCGTCGCCGGCGGGGGGGAAGCCGCCGAAGCGGCGGTCAAGGGCGGCGAAGCGGTCGCACACCACCTTCATCGCCGCCGACCAGGCCAACTTCCGGCGAATGGTGCAACAGATCACCGGGATCGGCAGCGCCCCCGCCGGTTCCCGCACGGCGGCGCTGAAGCCGCTGCCCGCTCGGCCCTGGCGGCCGTCGCCGGAGAAGGGCTTCCCGCCGGTGTTCTTCTCGGGCTCGTCGCCGGCGCCCCCGCCGCCGCCACCGGCGGATCTTCCCATCCCCTTCTTCCCCACGTTGGAGTCCTGGGCCGCCATGTCCAACCATTAGTGAAGCCCTCAGCTTCCTCCTCCCTTTTATCTCCGCCGTCGCAGGCCGCCGCTGCAAACTCTTTGTAAGAACGAACTACGCTGGAACTGGGTCTCTGAAAGTTCGCTTCTTTGGGTCACCCTGTTCCTCGGGCACGGGGAGCTTTGCTCCCCTAGGCCGATGACGACTGTAATTATTTTCCTCAAATGGTAGTAAATGGTAGTAAATGGTAGTTGGTGTGGTACGATGAACTTGGGGAAAGGTCAAGGAATGCGGCGCGTCTGAAAACGTATCCTGACCGCAGATTAAGTCATGTCAGAAGCAAGTATCGTGGGATATGACAAGTAGCTGACTCCCAGACATAAGACGATGACTAGACGAGAGGATGGGTCATTAGATTTTCCTCTGATGACGGCATCTTTGCGTCATACTGACGTCATATAGCGTCAATATAAACACACATTGAGCCACTTTTTAATTCTCACTAAATCCAACACCTAGAGAGCGAAAAAGATAGAGAGAAAAAAGCTTTTTGGTTTTAAAATTATAACTTTTAACATTTAATAGAGGGAGGGAGAGATTTTTGGGCTTTATCTCTCTCTATCTCTTTCTATATATACATCGACCCAAATTTGAATTGTTATTTTAAATCCACAATTATATATATATATATATATTTGGGATTTATCTCTCCTCTCTTTCTCTCTATCTCTTTATAGATATACGTCGACCCAATTATTAATTGCCATTTAAATCCACATATTTTTGATATTATATATATATATAAAGAAAGAGAGAGAGAGAGAGAGAGAGAGAGAGAGAGAGAAAGAGAGGATCATAATCTTCCAAACCCATGAAAAGATGAGTAGACGGCAGCATAATGGGTGAGTCAAAGAAGGAATCAATCTAAAATACTGACAAAAGTTTCATCAAGCTAACACCCCAACTAAACATAAAAAATGTGGACGTGGCCGATCTCCGAGAGAAGAAGATGCCTGCATCATCATCCAATCACAAAAAAAGACGAATTATTACGGGAAATAAAATGCAGAAAAACATATTTTAAAAATATGGGCAGCTGTAGAGCAACCACAGAGGGCCATTCGACATAAAGTCCGGGCTTCGGGCCTAAAATCGTGTCCGAAATTGGAAGAAGGCACAGCCCCGAGCCCGGTTCACAGGTGTCCAATGAAATGCTTCCCGAGAATGAATTACGTCACCTGAAATGCCTTCCGGGAATGATACTAGTCTGTGACGGTGCCGTGTTTGACCTCTTTATGGGCTTTGAAAGAGAGAATGACATTCCAGACCAGAGCCACAAAGTTCGCTCCGAGTACCTGTCGGGGGAAATTTATATTTATATTAATAAACTGGGCCAATAAGATTATTCCCAGAATTAAACAGAAAATTAAATTATTAAAAGGCCTGACTCTATTCTTAATACCAACACTCATCCTCTCTCTCTCTCTCTCTCTCTCTCTCTCTCTCTCTAGATGGGTGCATATGGAGGAGGGTCAGATTGGGTCTATCTAGGAAGGGCCCCACCCAGCCAGTTGGCACCTCCACCTTCAATGGCCTTTTTTTTTTCTTGGGAAGAAAACCCACCTGATAGAATATCACAAGGCCATGGAAATTACCTGAAATTGCTGAGGGACCACCCAGAAGTTGAGAAATTGGAAGGGGATCCACAGCTTCCAGTTGGCTATCACGGAGGAAAACCACTCCTAGAAAGAGAATGAGATGGAATGAGATATAAGCATCGAAGGCATCAACCTGGTGGTGTTGGATTTATTTGAGAATTCATTCTGAGCGCCACCTGCTGAAGCTTAGGCACCACCTGGGACGGCCGTCCCTCCAGAGTCACCAGGGAGGTCAAGAAGACCCCAATGAAGATCGGGGAGAAGACAAACTGCGGGGAAAGCAGCCCAAGTCAAGAAAACTGGATAGGATTTACCTGAATCACAGAGAGAGAGAGAGAGAGAGAGAGAGAGAGAGAGAGAGAGAGAACTTGCCTGATCCAGAAGAAGACGCACCAAGGCACCAGAGGCTCCTTGCAGGGTAACCAATTTACTCAAATAGAGGTACCTACAAGCCATCACTCAATCCAACTTACCGCAGGAAAAAAAAAATTAAAATCAAGAATGAAAAACTCATTACTCTATGAATCAGGTGATGCTTTTGAAGCTTTACTTGATCATTATCAAGATACTTATACATTATATATACATTGAACATGTCGATTCTTTTTTTCCATGTTAGGAAAGCATTATGAAAGCTTAGTGGAAGTCAACAACAGCACCTCATCCACCCATCTCAGGCATAGTTTGATTGACGTTATTACCAGATATATACCGGTAAATGTGAATATAAATGCCCATTAGAGCCCTCTAAATCTTTTTCACCCCATAATATTCCCATATTGAGAGCAATATCATATTCATGTGCAATAAAACTACTGGATTTTCCAGAGAACATGACCAAAATATACCAAATTAAAAAAAAAAACAGCTGTTACCAAAAGTGCAAAGTCGGGCCCACCAAAACAAGTCCAAGAAAGGTGAAAACAAAAGTTCTCCTCACATCCCAGTTAGGCACCCGATCGATCAGCAACTAAAAGCATACACCAGCAAACCACGAGTTAGATAATCCAATAATAGAAAGTGAGTTACTTTTTAAAAAAGAAAGGCGGCATAGGCATGCATTACGATGGAGGGCTAAACACAGAAAGTTCTTCATAGATTTCCTTAGATGAAGCATTGTAATAATACCTGGCAGATTAAATCTCCAATCAGCGTAAGAAATGCTGACGTTACAGATTTCATGGGAACCGGATACTTGTTCAGAGCATTCAAATACCTGAGGAATATACAGAATCAGCTCATAAACCCAACTTTTCTAAGTAGGAGTTGCTGTGCTGAATCAACCAAGCTACAGATGAGCACGGATCATCATACGAGTTGAAATCAGATTCAACAAGTGATATAAGGGAATACAGGTTCTTCGAGGTATCCCTATTTTGAATAAATCGAAATATTTTTCAACTGTGTAAGAGTAGAAGGCGGGGATTTTCGCATTTCTTTAAAATTTTGGAGCACATTTGGTCATTCCGTATGCTAGCCCGAAGGATGAAACCCATTCTGAAAACCCTACAGGGACCCATTATTTGCTGCTATGAATATTTCCAAGAGGAATGGAATCCCCTCGTCGACCGTACTTAACCAGAACAACATCTTCCGGGAAAAAAATAAAACTGACCCGGATAACGAACGAAGAAGAAGAAGAAGAAGAAGAACGAGGCATGAGATTATCGGAGGAACTTTCACCAGGAAACGAAAAGTACGAGAGCCCCGCCATTGGCACTGGCCCCTGCAGAGACAGCGGCGAAGGCGCAGCCGACGCCTCCTCCCACAGCTTGGGGTCGGGCCAATTCGGAGCCCAAATCTGCGAAGCGTGAATTCCGTGGAACCCCGGTTGAATATCCCCGATACGGCACCAACGGGGCGAGACGAGGGGGATTGGCGAGGCCAAGGCAGCGGCAGCCGGTCTGCTCGGTCTGGGTGAGGTTACTCCAAACTGGAAGACGGGAGTCCTTCTGCCTGAGGGAAAAGAGTGGGTAGGAAGACCCCGGGATGGAGAAGGCCCGCAGCATCGGCGCCATTTTTTAGAGCTGAGCTTCCTCCCCTTTCCTCCCTCGGGAAGAACTCGGAATACACACTCGCTCGCCTCTCCAAGAGATAGAGGGTTGGTTAACAAGGATACCATTCTTGTATTTAAATTTGTAAAATTATCCTAAACGAAACTATTTATTAATATTTTATTTATAAATAGATAGAAATATAGCTCTCTCCTGTTATAATGGATTCATTTTATTAAAAAATCAATTACCCAATTATTTATACTAAAATTTAAAAAATATAAAATGACGAAGCCCGCTTCATTTTAGTTTAGATATAATAGGAGTGTGTATCTCTCTTCACATAATTTATTATGTCATTTAGAATATATATCAAGAAACTATCATCTTTCTTGACTTTTGTTAGATTTTTCTCTTAAATTTAAAAGAAAAAAATCAGGAATCCATCACCAACTTGAGCCTCTATCTCATCCAACTGATGAGGATTATGGGGGCAGGTGTTTGGCAAGTAGAGAGGCAGATCTACTCTCACTAAAGCCTCTTGTTTTAGGTGTTCCAAACCATCTTGGTTTCAGTATATGTTCATTCACATAATAGGAAAAAGACAGGGGGGATGAGTAGTAGAAGATTTTCATGATGGCTGAAAATTTGAAGGAATTATGATGATGAGGATGACTCTAAAACCAAGAACGTACATTGATTATAGGAAAAATAAATGTAAACAAAGAAATTGTAAAATCAATTGTCAAAAAAAGTATTATTTTCTTATTATATTATGATTTTTTATCATGATGAACATTGTAAACTTTATATAATAGGAGTATGTTTCAACATCTTGCTTCGAGTGCTCCAAAACATCTTGATTTCATCATCTATTCATTCGAGCAGCTGGAAGAAGTTAAGGGGATGGGTTTAGAGGATTTTCATGATGGCTAACTCTAAGTAATGGTGATGATAGGGATAACTTTTTAAAACCAAGAAAATTTATTGATTATAGGAAAAATAAATGCAATAAGAAAACTATAAAAGTCATCCTCATAAAATTATTATTTTCTTTTATTATATCTAGAAGATTATGATGAAAATTGTAAACTTTATACATTAGGAGTAAGTTTCATCATCTTGCTTTGGGTTTTTCAAAACATTTTTGATTTTATATATGTTCATCTGAACAACTAAAAGAAAACATGGGGATGAGTATTAGAGAATTTTCATGATGGGTGCAACTCCAAAGGTGTTACGATGAAGGGGATGATGTTGAAACCAAGAACATATATTGATTGTAGGAAAATTAAATCCAAACAAGAAAACTGTAAAAGTCGTCATCATAAAAAAGTATTATCTTCTTATTAAATCTTGAAAATCATGATGACAAAAAATATAATTTATCTAGAATATTTTTTTGTGTTATATGAAATCTCAAAGATCATGAAATAAGGTGAGATTTGTTGATCATGAAGTGTGGAGGGAGGGTCAAATATGAGGATGGAGAGAGAGAGAGGCAAGACATGTTACTTCAATCTCTTTTAATGGAGCCTAAGTGACAAAGAAAGAGCATGCTTGAATAGTATACTATAAAACACCCATCACGAAATATTTTAAAATGGAGGAAAGATAGTAGTAAACTTAAGGTTCAAGGAAATAATAAGAGGAGAGGGAAAGATCAAGAATGTTGTCTTGCAAGAAAAAAATAGATGGAAGAAGAGGACATGAAAGGTGTAGATAGAGGGGATTAATCTTAACACAACTTCAAGGTCTATATTTCCCCTTCTATTTCTTAATCACGTCCTTATATATGACCTAAACCTTAGTGGGTCTAATATTGGGCTTTAATCACTCCTTATAACACTGTCCTTAAGATGTAATTCAGGGAGCATGCACTAGATATCTTATGCATGATCCAAATAGCTTTAAATAAAGGCATATGTTTCTAGCACAGCAACACCTCTAAACCTCTTGGAGTATGGCATATGTCGAGCACTTTCTCTAGTTGAACTTCTCATGTCATATTTACATCTAAGGTAGTTAGAAGTGATCGCCTTTATTATTATGCTTATAGTGACTTCTTGAGTTGTGAAAAATGAAAAGTGTTATGAATTTTAGATGAATTCATAAGGGCTACAAAAGGAGGAGGAAAAATCTAAGTAATTTTGTGGTGGAATTGGAGACTAACCACCTTGCATCGACTATCTTGAGACTTTAGAGGTCTTAGTATCCTTTTGTTTATTTTTCCTTGTACTTTCTTATGCTTAGTTCTACCATATTTCCTTTCCCCATCCCCTATCTTCAAGTCGTAACCCTTCATGAGATCTATGTTTTATGATAATTTTCAATAAATAAACTTATTTTAATAATTTATTTATAAGAATTATCTAGTAGGGCTTCATAAGCTCACTCAAGCATGAGAGAACTTCAACTTCTTAAGTGGTGCAACTTGAGCTACTTGTCAACTTTCTCCAAGGTGTAAACAATGAAGATCCCGTGCTAACATAGCTTGATGGGATAAATGCGTATGAATTGGAGAAAATTAACTATGAAGTTTGTGGTAAATGATGTGGTAACAATCCGTAGAGGAGATCCAAAATTATTTAAATCAGAACTCTCACTAAAGATGTTGTAGAAAACCATCAATAGACAACCTCTAATCTTTTTGGAGTTCCATCAGGTGTAACTACAACCCTCACAAAGCCTTTATGCAAGCCTTATCCTATTAGTGACAAAAAAAGATGAAGGAATGACGATAACAATCCCCAACATATACCCTATACGTATTGTAGATGAGTTTTAAGGTACAAGTATTTCTTCTAACTTGGAATTAAATTCCATATATTATGAAATTCGTATAAAGGTTTTAGACGTCTAAAAAACTGCATTTAAAATTCACGATGGACATTATGAATTTATCGTCATGCCTTTTGATCTCTCCAATGCATTGAGTACCTTTTAGTTACTTATGAACAAGTTATTCCGACCTTTTTTAAGGAAATTTTTACTCATATTTTTTTATGATCTTTTGATATACATCTAAAATTCACAAGATCACAAGGAACATTTGACACAAATCTTTACTGTCCTAATCAAGAATAGTGCACATTCATCCAACTCAAAAAGGCACTGACTTCTACACTTATTATTTCTTTACCATATTTTTCATTACCTTTTATTTTTGAAACATATGCATCGGGCCATTGAGTAGGTGGGGTACTGATGTAGATAGAAAGATCGATGTCTTTCCACAGTCAAATTCTTCTATATAAACACCAACTCAAATCAACTTATGAAAAAAAAAATATTGACATTGTCAAAGTAGTGCACAAATGACAACATTATTTAATTCATAAGCCTTTCATAATACAAATAGACTAATATAGTCAGAAATATCTTATCGAACAACAATATGTCTATCCTTAATATCACAAATGACTCATTAAATTGTTAGAATTCAATTTATTATCAAGTACAAGAAGGGACGACTTAATACTTTGATTCATGCCTTGTCTCGAGCACCTCACATGGGAGACCTAATGATGACTTCAATCTCCTAGCCCCATCTATTGAATCTAATTATCATCTAATAAAAAGTCTCACAAGATACTACACTTGATCTTATTGTGAAATTATTGACTAAAGGATCAGAAGTTACCCCATTTCTCTTTACACCTTGAGATACTACTATACAAAAATAAGTTGATATTACCATATGATTCATCCTTAATATTAGTACTACTAAAAGAAGCTCATGATTCATTATTAAGAGGCCATAAAGGATTTTTATGCACGTACAAGAGACTCACTCATATCATCTTTTTCAAAAGGGCATGAAAACAACCATTAAAGAACATGTGGAGAACTATCAAGTATGTCAAAAGAATAAGATTTCATCCCTATCCCCTACAAGTTTATTACAATAACTACTCATCCTTCACTAAGTATGAGAAGATATTTCTATAGACTTCATAGAAGGTCAATGCAAATCTAATGAGTTTGACACTATGTTAGTTGTGGTGGATCATCTCAATAAGTATAGTTAGTTCATTCTATTAAAATATTAATTTTCAATACCACAAATGACATGTCTTTGCAAAAGAAGTGATATGTCTACATGACCTAATGACACAAACTATGGAAGTTGTAAGAGATTCAACTCCAAATGTCGCTATCTTATCACTCTTAGACTAATTGACAAATCAAGATAGTAAACTGAACATTAGAATTTTTATAAGGTGTTTTGTGTTAGATCGACCTAGGGGCTGACAATCTTGGCTACATTAGACAAAATTATCCTACAACACTACCTACCACTCCTCCATTAAGAGTACTCCATATAAAGTAGTTTATGGCCGTGACCCACCAACTCTCATCAATTGTGGGCCTTAGCCTTCACCCATCTCTATTGTGGACCAACAACTACTAAAGCAAGACCAAATTCTAAACTTGCTGAAACAACACCTACAAAATTTTTAGTCTCAGATGAAATTCAAGGCAGATTGACACTAGCAACCCACAAAGCTCCATGTCAATGATCAAGTTTTCTTATGGCTTCGCCCTTACATAATGAAATCTCTAGCAAGAAAAGTGAATGAGAAACTCTCTTTGAAGTTCTTTGGCCGATACAAGATCATGTTATGCATGAGACAAACAACATACAAGTTGGATCTTCCACTGTCATCATCAATCCATCATGTGTTTCATATCTCTCAACTACGACGAGCATTAGCAATAGTAAACCCTCCCTAGCAACTTCCACCTTCACTAAGCTCAAACATGGAATGGCATGTCCAACCTCAATCATTTCTAGGGCTGTGGATGACCCCTATAGGTCCAAAAGTACTAGTGACATGGGATAAGCTACTAGATCACAAATCTTCATGGGAGCTGGCCCACAATCTTACAAACAAATCTCCAAAATTTCACCTAGAGGACCAAGCGAATTTGAAGGAGGGAAGTAATGATATGATTTTACTACTAACCTCCAAAAGGCATAAGAAAGAAGCACATGTGCAGCACATGAGTGGGACTATAAGTACAACAAGAGAAGATAGAAATTAGGGCGGCAAAAGTTGGTACTTGAGAGAGGTAAGAGAACCCTCTCAAACATTGTTCCCCACTTTACTCTTCTTTTCCCTTCTCATCTTTATATTCAGGAAGGTTGTCCTTTCTATTGTTTTGTCTCTCACCACTGGCAAGGGTTCATGAGTTCAATACAAAGTGTTCTCTCCTTTCTGTTTGCATAGATTCAATCCTACCCTTGAGGATTGTATCAGAGTTATGATGATGAGGAAGACTCTGAAACCAAGAATATTAACCGATTACATGAAAAGTAAATGCAAATGAGGAAACTATAGAGTCATCCTCAAAAAACATTATTTTCTAATTATATTCGGAAGATCATGGTGAAAAAAATGTAATTCCCCTAAATGGAATTCTTGTGTTATATGAAATCTCAATGATCATGAAATAAGGTGAGGGCAGTTGATAATGAAGTAAAGAACCTGGTGGATTGATAATCCAGTATCATCCTGAGAAATGTTTTTAAGTAAGAATAGATGTTCCATTTAAAACGTAAAAAATCAAATAATTTTCTGAATAGGTCTTTATATATTCAGGAATCAGAGTGTACACTGATAGAAGAAGAAGAATGAACAGAAATGAATCAAAAAATATATCTTTATTGGTTCTACCTCCTTTTGTCATGAAGAGAAAGAATCCTTTTATCAACAATTATTTAGATGATCCAAACGTCAAAATGGTGGTATTTGTTGGAAACAACGTAATGGAGGGAGTTGATAAAAATAGATTGATTTGAAAGAGGTACAGAACCATCTTTGCATCTCTGCTAAAGAACAAGGAGGAAAACTCCTTTCAGGGAGAACATACAAAACTAAAGTAAGAATTTAGCATTCTTTATGTATCTGTCTAAGTTCCTAAGCTTTTATAATTTAAAGATAAAGACTAAACAAATATTGCTACACGCTCACTAGTTCCTCCCCTTCGAAGAACTTCATCATTCATCACTGTACAAAGAAGACATAAGATAGCTGTCGAGAGAGAGAGAGAGGTCGAACATGGAATTCTCGTTCACAGATTCTATCAATTTCTGACATTTAAGCGATGAGAATACATATTTCGTGAATAAAAATCAAATCATGGGTGAGTATACACATTGTTTCTTAGGATCGTCAGCACTCTCTCACTAGAAAGACAATGTGGGCCACGACCCAGTTCAGCTGATTCCAAATAAACAAAGGACGCCATTAGCGAAACTCCACCCTCACTGTGGTTCCGCAGTTGGCAAGTGCGGCCCACAAATGAAGCCGTCATGAGCAAAACAGCCTAGAGAAGAGGTAGCTGTGGCAGCCCTGGACAGCGTCGAGCAGAGGAGCAGTCTGGCAGGCTTCCTCGACTGGTCGATCCATCCACCTTCTTAGCAGCTTCTCAGCGATCTGACCCACTTGGTGCTGCAAGACTGAAGCCCCGAGTGGGCCAATCAGATTGAGCCTTGTGGCAGCAGAGATGGTGTCCCTCATCGTCATGAACAGGTAGGCCCTCTGTGCAGTCTCACTGTCAAAGCCGATAAGCCCAGAGATGAGCCCAAAGACAGCTGCATGGTGGAAGTGAGCAGCCCCTGAGCCTGAGAACTTTTCTCTTATTTGCCTGATAATTGAAAGATCCGAGAACACAGAGGCCGCCACCCTCAAGAGTGCTGACCCCTGGGAGGCCGATGCCTTCCTGCTTACTTCGTTTGTTAGTGTCGCCTCCAGTAATCTGTCGAGCTTCAGCCATGTCTCCAGGTCAGGGCTTCTGTTCATGCCATACACAAAGGGAAGTAGGAGACTCCCAGTGTTGTCCAATACATGGAGAAGATGGGTTTTAAGACCTTCAGGGCCCACTGCGATGTGAACTTGAATGGCGGCCTCGAGGCCATAGGAATGAGCAAACCCACCAGTAGGAAGAACAGAATCCAGCAGCTGCCATTGAGTCCATTGCAGGTTATCGCCTGTCGGTGCTTGAATGTCCCGCTCCATCTAGTTCAATCAATTTCCAAAGGTTAATAACCAGAAAAAATCAGTTTAGTCGACAAAAGGTCACCAATATGATAATTCGATGCAAATTGAAACCATATTTTATCCATAGTAGATGAGGTAGTTAAACCACAGGGTCTCTTCGAGAGCATGACTCAGGACTGCAGATTTAATTTCTGCATCAACTACGTGTGTAGGTGACATTTAGTAGCCAAAGGGTTTGCCGGAACAGCAAGACCTGAAAATGAACTGACAATGTCCAAGAAAGAGACGAGTCTTCATCTGTGGATCTGCGATGGAAGATTTGCATCAAATTCTCCCAGAAAGTTGTGATTTCCTCGTGATTGGGAATTCTCATCAAGTGTGGTGACACAAAAACGCATCGCCCCAAATTGCCATGTTTACACGATGAGGGATGCTCGGCAGTAGATGAAGAGCAAGAAGGAAGGGGATTCAAGGAAGAATGAAGCTCCAATTTCTGTAAGCACACGGGCAAGAATATCACTCAAACTTGTGAAAATTAATGATAATCCAAGTTTCTGATCGATTGATTCAATTTCGAGGACGAGAGTTCTCCACGTTAACCACGCCCAGAATCTTCAGTCATCAAATCGCAAGGACATTCGCGGGCGGAGACTAAGGAAGGAAGAAGGCTCAGAGCAAGGGGGACATTCAAAAGCTTCGGCCACCTGGTCTAAGCAAGACCGCATCAAAGTCTAGGTTTAGCAGCCCAAGACAAGAAAAAAGATCAAACCTGGCGTTGGCTGAATTACGACGAGAGATCGCCCGGAGGTTCCTTGCCTCTGCCTCCTCCCTTCCACCCTCCGAGCGCCGATGATTGGCCGGCGACGATCTAAGATTAAGATCCTCTGAGATCTTGGCGGAGGAGTCTCCAATAAAGATCAGCCTTGCGCGAATCCTACTACCTCAAATTCACATTGCGCCTCCTTCGCCATCTAGCTGAACTTCCACCCATGGCCCTCTTTCCCCTCTCCTCCTCTGTCCTCCCCCCCCCTCCTCCCCTCGCCATGGCCAACTCCCACGGCCATTTTGCTTCCGCCGTGAGCTTTGCTTATTGGCTTTCAGACCCGTGTCGACAAAAGACACACAAGGGTAAAATAGTACTTTTCCACAACATAATTATACTCAGAATTTATAAAAATCGGAAAAATATTAAATGAAAGGGTGAATCATTATTTTTCTTCGTCAAATTATACTGAGTATTCTTTATATCAAATAGAAATACCTCATGTGGTTTAGATATTGACTCATTGATCTATAGTCTTTTTCTATTTTAGGAAAAAAATACTATATGAGGGTAAAATGGTACTTGTACATTGCTAGTACGCATGATAAAATAAATGACTCATTTTTGGGTTCATAAACTCATCTATTATGAAAATACGACCAAGTTAATATTTATGAGAGTGATCAAAATATGTGCAATCCTCTTGCTCACTAAAGGGTTGACTCAGACTAATATTGACTAAGTAAGCAACTTAGACTCACCGACCTAGTAAAAAAAGTCAACATAAAATGAGTTGACTCAAACTCATCTAGCTCGTTGACCAAAAATTATGCCTCACCTTCAAAATATATAATAATTAATATAATAGAAGTATTTAACTGTCTAATCTAACACATGAAAAAAGTTCTTAAATTTTCAGCATTTATGTATTATTTTTTCTATTTTTGCACTTCAGCACAAGAAAAGAGAGGCAAATAGTCTAATTGTGGTAGAGAGATATATGACATATTTGACCCTGTGATACAAGGTATTTAGAAACTATCCGTCTATAAAAATAAATATGTTGAAAGGTATTCTTATAAATACTTTAAATTTGAAGGGGATTGAGAATAAAAATATCATGAATCTAGAAGCACTCGTTGATACGAAATTAATTTTAAAGTGAGTACTTTGGAATAAATTTTAAGTTTTCAGCCGTACAAATAAGTGGAATAAATTAACAATAACTCAATTATTATATATATTTCCGGTTCGGTTTGGTCAACCAAACTGGTTTTTTTCTGAACCGGCGGTCCGATGTAGGTCCGGCTCATCCGGACTGCCAATGGGCGGTACCTCGCGGCCAATACAGTCGGTTCTTCGGTCCTATAAATACGACAGAAATTGCAACAATTAGGGTTTTCTCGGCAGAGTTGAAGAAGAGGGGGGGGTTATCAGGAGAGGGAGTGAGAGGAAGAGAGGGAGAAGGAATGGATCATCTGGACGAGGACATCGCCAAGACGCAGGAGGAGCGGCGGCGGATGGAGGAGCTCGCCTCCCTCACCGCCGTGACCTTCGACGCCGACCTATATGGCGGAACAGGCTCCGATCGGTTCGAGGGTTACGTGAAGTCCATCCCCGTCAACGAGGAGGACGAGGAGCAGGAGACCGATGTCTCGGAGATCGCCAAAAGGATGGCCTCCTACACGGGGCCGAAGGTGAAGGAGCTGATTCCGAGGGGTTCCGAGGCGGACGAAGACATAGGCTTCAAGAAGCCGCAGCGGATTATTGACCGGGAGGACGATTACAGGCGCAGGAGGCTCCAGCAGATCATATCTCCAGAGAGGAATGATCCCTTCGCCTCTGGGGAGGCCACGCCGGATGCCTCCGTGAGGACCTATGCGGACGTCATGCGTGAACAGGCGCTGGCCAAACAGAAGGAAGAAACTCTCAGGGCGATCGCGAAGAAGAAGGAAGAGGAGAAGAGCAAAGTGGCGGCGGGGGAGGCGATTCCTGCGCAGAAGAGGAGGAATCGGTGGGATCAATCACAGGACAAGGATGAGACCAGTGTGAAGAAGCCGAAGACAGCTCCATCGTCAGATTGGGATGCGCCTGATTCCACTCCGGGTGTCACGAGATGGGACGCGACCCCCACACCGGGAAGGGCTGCTGCTGATGCCACGCCGTCTGTATCCCGACGCAACAGGTGGGACGAGACACCTACTCCTGGGCGGTTGGCAGATGCTGATGCAACTCCTGCGGCTGGTGGGGTTACTCCTGGGGCAACCCCTGCTGGAATGACCTGGGATGCCACTCCAAAGCTCGGCGGGCTTGCTACGCCAACCCCGAAGCGGCAGAGGTCAAGGTGGGATGAGACTCCAGCTAGCATGGGGAGTGCTACGCCGTTGCCTGGTGCCACACCTGCAGCTGCTTTTACCCCCGGTGTAACCCCAGTTGGTGGCATCGACCTTGCGACACCAACACCTGGTGCAATCAATCTCCGCGGTGCCATGACACCAGAGCAATATAATCTACTAAGGTGGGAAAGAGACATTGAGGAGAGGAATCGCCCATTGACTGACGAAGAGCTGGATGCCATGTTTCCCCAGGAAGGGTACAAGATACTGGATCCTCCGGCTTCATATGTCCCAATCAGGACTCCAGCACGAAAGCTGCTGGCCACTCCAACCCCTCTCGGTACTCCACTTTATGCCATCCCAGAAGAGAACCGTGGTCAGCAGTTTGATGTTCCAAAGGAGGCGCCTGGTGGGTTGCCATTCATGAAGCCAGAGGATTACCAATATTTCGGCGCGCTTTTGAATGAAGACGATGAAGAGGAGCTATCACCCGAGGAGCAGAAAGAAAGAAAGATCATGAAGCTGCTGCTTAAGGTGAAGAACGGCACACCCCCTCAGAGAAAAACGGCTCTGCGGCAGCTCACTGACAAGGCACGGGAGTTTGGGGCAGGTCCGCTCTTTAACAGGATTTTGCCCCTGCTCATGCAGCCAACTCTGGAAGATCAGGAGCGGCATCTTCTTGTTAAAGTCATTGACAGGGTTTTGTATAAGTTGGATGAGCTAGTCAGGCCATACGTGCATAAGATCCTTGTGGTGATAGAGCCTTTGTTGATTGACGAGGATTACTATGCTCGTGTGGAAGGCAGAGAGATTATTTCAAATCTCAGCAAAGCAGCTGGGTTAGCTAGCATGATTGCAGCTATGAGGCCTGACATTGATAATATTGATGAGTACGTGAGGAATACCACTGCAAGGGCTTTCAGTGTCGTGGCTTCTGCTTTGGGAATCCCCACCCTTCTGCCTTTTCTGAAGGCTGTCTGCCAAAGCAAAAAAAGTTGGCAAGCTAGGCACACTGGAATCAAAATCGTGCAACAGATTGCTATTCTGATGGGATGTGCTGTCCTTCCGCACTTGAAGTCACTTGTGGAGATTATAGAACATGGGCTTAATGATGAGAACCAAAAGGTGAGGACCATTACTGCTCTCTCTCTGGCTGCATTAGCCGAGGCTGCTGCTCCTTACGGAATAGAAAGTTTTGATTCAGTGTTGAGGCCTCTTTGGAAGGGCATCCGTTCTCACCGGGGCAAGGTCTTAGCAGCATTTTTGAAAGCTATTGGTTTTATCATCCCCCTGATGGATGCCGCTTATGCAAGTTACTATACGAAGGAGGTGATGTCTATATTGATCCGTGAGTTCCAATCACCTGATGAGGAGATGAAGAAGATTGTGCTGAAGGTTGTGAAGCAGTGTGTGAGTACCGAAGGTGTGGAGTCTGACTACATCAGAAGTGATATTCTCCCAGAGTTCTTCCGTAACTTCTGGGTTCGGAGGATGGCACTGGACCGCAGAAACTACAGGCAGCTTGTGGACACCACCGTCGAGATAGCAAACAAAGTAGGAGTTGCCGACATTGTGGGTAGAATAGTGGAGGACCTCAAGGATGAGAGTGAACCGTATAGAAGAATGGTCATGGAAACCATCGAGAAGGTGGTCGCAAACTTGGGTGCCTCAGATATTGATTCCCGTTTGGAGGAGTTATTGATTGATGGAATCCTCTATGCATTTCAAGAGCAGACTAGTGACGATGCGAATGTTATGCTCAATGGTTTTGGTGCTGTGGTGAATGCCCTTGGCCAGAGGGTGAAGCCCTATCTTCCCCAGATCTGTGGTACCATCAAGTGGCGCCTGAACAACAAGAGTGCCAAGGTAAGGCAGCAAGCAGCTGATCTCATATCAAGAATCGCTGTTATTATGAAGCAGTGCCACGAGGAGGCACTGATGGGTCACTTGGGCGTCGTTCTCTACGAATACTTGGGAGAAGAGTACCCGGAGGTGTTGGGCTCCATCCTCGGAGCACTCAAGGCCATTGTTAACGTGATTGGTATGACGAAGATGACACCTCCAATCAAGGATCTGCTCCCTCGACTGACGCCCATTCTGAAGAACAGGCACGAGAAGGTTCAGGAGAACTGCATCGACCTCGTGGGCAGGATTGCCGACCGTGGAGCTGAGTTTGTGCCCGCTAGAGAGTGGATGAGGATCTGCTTTGAGCTCCTGGAGATGTTGAAGGCCCACAAAAAGGGGATCAGGAGAGCCACCGTCAACACCTTTGGGTACATTGCAAAGGCGATCGGGCCCCAAGATGTCTTGGCCACCCTCCTGAATAATCTGAAAGTCCAGGAGCGGCAGAACCGTGTCTGCACCACAGTCGCCATTGCCATCGTGGCCGAGACCTGCTCGCCATTCACAGTTCTTCCAGCTCTGATGAACGAGTATCGTGTGCCGGAACTCAATGTGCAGAACGGGGTCTTGAAGTCTCTCTCCTTTCTCTTCGAGTACATCGGTGAAATGGGGAAGGACTACATATACGCAGTGACCCCATTGCTCGAAGATGCTTTAATGGATCGGGACCTCGTCCACAGGCAGACTGCAGCTTCGGCCGTCAAGCACATGGCTTTGGGGGTCGCTGGTCTCGGCTGCGAGGATGCTCTCGTCCATCTCCTCAACTACGTCTGGCCGAATATCTTCGAGACTTCTCCTCACGTCATCAACGCCGTGATGGAGGCCATAGAGGGGATGAGGGTGGCTCTCGGAGCGGCTGTCATTCTCAACTACTGCCTTCAGGGCCTGTTCCACCCAGCTCGGAAGGTCAGAGAAGTCTACTGGAAGATCTACAACTCCCTCTACATCGGAGGCCAAGATGCCCTCGTCGCCGCCTATCCCACTCTCGAGGACGAAGAGAATAACATCTTCAGCCGCCCCGAGCTGGTCATGTTCTGCTAAGAAGAAAAGGTCAGCTTCGCTCTTCCCGCTTCTCCCTCCTCCCTGTAAAGTTGTATCAACTTGGTATTGTCTCGAGAGCTTTCTCTGTCTGTGTGCCTCTCTTTGTCTTCTTCATGCCGACTGTTTTAGGGTTTCTGATGATTATATCTGTTGAACAAGAGAAAATCTGTGGTACTAGGAGGCTCTTCTTTACGGTTACTGCAATCTCCCACAGACCCTCTTCCCCCAGTGAAGAAAATCTCTTGTATGTTTGAATATGCATGCCTGTGGTTCTTCTGATAACAATCGGATGCGCTCTGTAGAGCAAGAAAATTATTGGATGTTGGTAGACAGGATTCAATACGTTCAAGAACACTAGCAGATCAAATGGGAGGGAATCAATCGATCCTGCATGCCATCCATATATGGAGTAGATTTTCCTAATTTCTTTCTCATTTCTCCATTGTTTAATCTCCCAAGATCGTCACCATCTATCTCAGAGTTTTCTTCATTGGAAAAGTTTTTGGCTGTTGTTCTTGGGAAGACTCTTCAGGCTGTTCTTGTGATAAGTCCACCTCGGAAGGGGGATCCCATATAAACATATAGATCACCTCCCTGAACCCACCCCCTCATCAATAAAAGGCTAGTCTTCAGATTTTTCTCGAGTGATATATATTTTTTTGAAAGCCTGAATTTAAATTGCACTTTTATTTTTGTTAAAAACTATATACATCTTTTTTTATTTTCAGAGAACCCAATGGCCGATCCGAAAGACCCTCTTCGAGGATTATTTTGGGTATGCCGTCTAAATTCTGATTAAAAACTGAGCCTCAATCCGGCAAGTTTATTATTGCGTCATCGTGTGATTTATTAAAAATTAATATGATGATAATGAACCTTTCAATTTCTGATATCTGAAAACCATACATACGTTCATCGGTGTAACCTCTCTCTAGATTAGATTCATAAACTGCTCTTGACTCGGTGATCTACAGCTTCCTAGACCCATTTAATCTCTCACCCTCTCCATTCTCTAGGGGAAAGATTTATACAAAATAAGCGCTAAAGTTGTACGTCTAATCTCTCTCGATTACAGGAGTGAGCGTCCACATGCTCTCTCTCTCTCTCTCTCTCTCTAGAGAGATGCATAAAGGATAGATAAATATAGAGGATTCACCACTGAGACCCTTCAAGTAGAGACGGCATGGAGTAGATTTACCAAGAGAATGAAAATTTGATGGGCCTAGAACATCTGGCCGTTGGTTCCACAGGGCCAACCACAAACTCATTCAAATCCCTCTTTAGGCAGGCTCTCCTCCACCAAGCTCCTTTAGTGCCTTCCCTCTAAGAAACGATTGTCTCCCATGATCTGGAAACGAACCAACAACTAGATCAACACACACCCTCCTCCGCAAGACAAATTAACATCTTAAATAACAAAAATAAAAAAAAGAAAGAAAGAAGTCTCTCCGGCTTTATGTTCCTTCAATCGGATTTTATATGCCAAAAAACAAAATTGAGGGATTTTTGCCTGAAATATCCATGCCAGATGATTGAAACATAAAGAATTAAGCTGACCTAAAGTATAATTGTGATTTGGTTTCAGACCCTCGTGTTCATAGACATGATCATATATCTAATCCATCCTTTCTCTCAACCAAAGATATGTGCATTTCTCAGTCAGATATTCATTTATGTACTTCAGAATTAAAAATATTTCGATAACCATTGAGAATCATCGAAAGATACATGCATTTTCTAGACAATGAACCAACCAAAGCTCCGATGGGTGAATCTCATCAAAACTCCCTGCAGAGAGAGAGAGAGAGAGAGAGAGAGAGAGAACAATCCTTTGAAATCAAAAACGAATGTGCATGGACATGGAGATCGCGGTGGAAAATCTACCTCACTCAGGGAAGCACATGTGACCGGAATATAAGAGGATAAGTGCAGCACCAGCCGGAGCTCCAGCACTGTATTGAGAGCAAATCAAGTTACTATGAGCAGAAAGTGTCAGTGTTAGGCGGAGGGAGAGAGGTGGACTTGGTTCTTACCACGGATAGCAATGGGCCCTGCCTGAATCTGTCATTAAATGCAAAAGCAAGTGGTTTCGGATTCTCTCCAGGCCCTCTGATGAACCCACTTTTTAAAGAGGAATAGAAAGATTATGACCAGAGAGTTAGACAAATTTTCCTCGATTTATTTATTTATTTATGAATAGGGCGGCAGGAAGGAAATAAAGGAAGAGCGGATCAAGCTGATTGGCTACTGACACTAGGGATGCGGAGATGAGTGGACCCCTCCTAATGTCATACACTGCGACGAGCCCTCTGTGTAGATCATCACAACCTCTGAAGGAGAACGCCAGTCTCTCTCCCAAAGCGTCCCACGCTATGCTTTCGATCCCATGACTGAATGTTAAGAGAGCAAATGCAATTGCAGGGTTACCAGACTTCAGACAACGTTTCTCCGGAGAACTGGGAGAGCAGAGAAACAAAGTATTCTTCGTTTTTATAATATCAGATAACTTTGGAAATATAAAGTCGGTGCAGAGAGTATCCAGTAGAAATTCATTTGCCCTCGTGAAGAACAAACCTCTGTAATCAGCATATGACTTGTAATTTAGGATATTTGAGGCATTGGCACGAGATTATGTGTGATGCAAAAACATAAGTAGAACATGCCAGATGTATTCTAAAGTTACATGTTTCAAACACAAGGGAGTTATGTGCATATAGATTCCCATCTCATCTGTATAAGAACAATATTAGTTAGACCATTCGGATGCTGTTCTTGCAGGTCTTTCCCAAAAAAATCATGTCGAGTTCAAACACCTATACCAAGTGTTTATATATATCCCAGAATCGAGTGTGTCAAAATGATTTGATGTTGTAACATTGCAACATTGCCAAAATCTGGTTTCTTAATGTTATTGCATGCAAATCGCAAGATAATGACCAGTGAAAACAAGTTTGTCACATACTCATATGTAATCTATCACATGATCAAGCACAGAAAATTAAAAAAACCCACCAGATGGGATAATTTATGATTTTAAGAGGCCGAGAAGATGGGAACCAAAAGGATACTTGAGCCTGTTGGAGAAAGTGCTAAAACGAAATAATAAGAGGGGCTATATTTACCTGCCAGTTGCAACAAAATCTGGCAATTCCACAGGTACTAGGTGTGCATCTAAAGACATTCAAGGACAAACTTTATTAAATTCCATGACTTCACAGAGACACCAAAATGGATGTACTACAACTGCAACTTATATGGTATGTTAAATGCAATTTAAGAATGCACCAGACAGGTATTGACTCTGAGTTCTGTGTAACCCAACAAAAACATAGTAGAATCACCCATGCCACTAGACATTTCCTCCGACCTGCAGCTGATGTTCTCTGATCTATTATCTGATCCATGTTTTTTTCATTAAAAAAAAACATAGTAGAATCCACTAGATATTGTCTACCATGGGGAGGATCGAGCATTATTGTTTTTGATATCTGATTGAACTTGCATGCTTGTAAATATATTCGTGCGTACACATGTACGTTAAATTTTTATTTCATTAAAAAAACCCTTAAATTATGGATGCATCTTTTCCTCAGAAAAAAAAAGTGGATGATTTGGATGAACTGGTCTAATTCCAATCCTAAGCCATGTTGGATTGGCCTTACCTGATCTAATATCTCCATCATATGTTGAAAGCATAGTCACAATTGTGCAATAAAGACATACAGGAAGATGATTTACGCTAAAAAAAAAATCCCAGCTGACGTGATGTCTCAAATTATTAATTTTTAGAAACTTAAAAATGATTATTACAAGTAATAAAGCAGTCTGGAGTAAAACCGTAATTGACTATTTGACTATCACAAGTCATTACAACATTTATAATGAATGATAATACCAACCATTTGCCAAAATCATATAAGACACCCAGCAAAGAGGACCCCAGCAATTGCCTGTTTAAATATAGGGGTGGAACTTCTATTCATCTGAGCAAACAGTAAAGGGAATGCCGTGTTTATTTCCAATCAAAACACCCCTTCTTTCATCTTGCATTCAGGCCGAGATATTTATATTCAATGGCTGAAAAAGGTTTCAAATAAATTACCCAGCGATGGAGGTCTAGACGAAAAGTGGATAGATGCCAACGTCACAGATTCAGAAAATGAAATTAGTATCATACGTCCGTTTGGATCCCAGGCTGCTCCCTGATGAAATTAAAAAAAAAAGGATGATCGGGTCAACAGAAACATTTAAAAGGAGAAAAAAATATCATTTATCTAAATAAAAAATGTGATCAAGAAAATATTTTCTGAACATGAGCTCAGAAGACCAATATTTTCAGTTAGCAGTCTGCTATGGGTTCAAGTAAAATACTGGAAGGCATCACGATCATGAGGCTATTCATGCACTAAAGGGATGCATGTAGGCGATAAAAAATGCTAAACGCATGCCTTGTGGATCAGTCAAGTCACCGGTATTAACAATTGAGCGGCCAGGTCAGTGGTTAGGTTAACTGTGATACTCATGGAGAGAATCTAAACCTCTGATAAACAGGCTCCAACCATGGGATTCAACAGCGCTGCAGACAGGGTTAACTATCCTTCAGACTGCATGATTGATGTACCGGAGAAAACTATTTGACTGGGGTTGGGAAAGGGATATTGATGGAATCAGGCCCTAGGGTCTATAGAACCAGAAGATCAGCTGTGGTACCACCCGTGTATCAACAGAAAGCAGCGAGATGAAATTTTCCCAAAGGAGTATTTTGCAGCTATTTAGATGCAAGTCAGCCAAACTACGCAGTGAATGATCTGTCTAAAGAAATTCCCTTTCTGCGCCACAGTCGTCTTCTGATTTTCATCCTACTTACTGAGACATTTCCACCTGTTGACGACCAGCGTTCTGAGGTCCACGTGTTTGTCTCCCATAAGTAAAACGTGCCATCACTGCAGAGGGGAAGCAAACATGAACAGAAGATTAGAAAAAGCAGACAGTTATCTTGGTATTGTAATGATAAGTATAGACTTACAACTTTGCAGTGAAAAAGTAGTCGCCTGTTGGTGACCACTTCAGCATTGAGATCCCACCCAATCCTCTTCTAATAGGAGTTCCTACACCTACAAAATCCAATAAGAAAACTTATTAGACATTGGCATCCTAATAGACCAGAACGAAAAAGAAAAATATGCCCACCAAATTGTCAACAAGACTAAAGACTTTCATTTGGCCATGGAAATGATTAAAAGGCTGCCTCGAAAATCCACAGAGATTATAAACGGGTAAAGATGATACGAAAATTCTGAGTCTTTGAGGAGATTCAGCTGCTGCTATCTTTAGCCATAACTGGGAAAGAAAAGTGTCTTCACCACATATTCAAAATAGTAGGCTTTAGAAAATTAAATCAAAGAAACGCTGAGAATTCCGAACTGCATTTTAACCATAAATCGAATTAAGTCTAGGTTCATGCTTTCATTTGGAGAAGTATTCATGGTAATGATAAGAGACACAGAGGTAATACTTAACACTAATACAGAGCATGATAATAAAGGGAAATACTCTCAGAAACTAATAATGTGAACGATGTTGATAAACCAAACAAGTTAGATAATCATGAAGTCAGAAAAGATGATACCTTGAGCAACATCCCATATCATGAAGGATGAACTTTCACAGGATGCAGATGCCAGATATGTAAGGGAACGTTAAGGAAGCCCAGAAGGAGAGGCGGACATTTCTGAGTATACTAGAAGCACAAAAGAAGGATAGTAGTGACAGGTGACATAAACTTGTATCACTTCAAAAACACTTGAAGGAAACAATTTAAGAGGGTCCCGAAGCAACATAATCATTTAATAACTTTGCCTTACGAAAATGAGATTAAAAAAATCAGCCAACAGAAAAGCATCAATTCTGTAGCAACAATAATAACCAGTTAATTGGATATCTCCCAGTTGGGCTCCAACTAAGAGCCGTAACGTGTTCCCCACTAGGACTGTGCAGAAAATCAACCAGGCTCCACCTAACTCCTGAACCTCTGGAAATAGCGCCCCCATGTGGTACAGCTCCAGGTCTTACAGATGATGCATTCCCAAGGAAAGAAGCAGACCAGATGCAGATTCCACCCCTGGAGGAAAGAAAATGTAATCTAAATGAGATGTGGTCTTATCAGAAATTCATAGTCAATATGACATTTTTCATGTCAGGCAACAGTACAAGACAATTCTCAAGGGGAAGGCTAATTATGGTACTTGCTTGCATGCCACAGACAATGTTCTCCCGCTGTTTGGCCTCCATTCGAGAGATTTTATCTCTTTTTGGGATTCACTGACCAAAACACATGATTCTTTGCTTTCTGGTCAAGTGAACTTATTCAGATCAAAATAGTCAAAGATACGCACCCTCACATTTCCTCCGTTATAGAACCGAACCTCTGATGACAACCCATATCTCAAAAGAACGATGATAGAAAACACTTACCCGAGTCATCATAGTCACGTATGGTAACCTGATTATTACCAGAAATAAATGCCAGAATATGTTTATGGGGATGCCAACTCACTCCACGCCCCTCAACCATAGATAATCGATCCATCTGTTAGAAAACACAGAGACTCTGGAATTCAAATCGACTAACTACCAAAATGGTCCTTAAAAATTAAAAACCTATCGAAATATAGGTCACTCCAGACTCACCATAACCTTTACTGTAATAGATTTGAATGTTTTTAACATTCGAAAAGCGAAATAACCGTATAAGACGGCATTTCTGATATTACCTAGAAAACCAACGTGAACATGTTTTCCTTTCCCTGAATTTTAACGACTAAACATATTTTCATTGTTTCCCGGAGGAGAAAAATGTTTTTCCAAAACGGACACAGGCTGAAAGAGTTGCACGAAATTATCACTCGATTAAAGAATCAGAAATCTGGGCTCGCTCTTTCCATCTATCTTAATTTTCAACCTCATGAAGTCGCGTAACTCGGATAAACTCACCTCTTCGCCGTAAAAAATGAGTCTAATGGGGTGTACGATTGCCTTCAATTTATCCATGACACCTCTCGTTAAGGATTCGTCCTCCCGCCATTGATCTGAAACTTGTTCGGACCTGGACGAGAGAAGATCTCCGTGGAAAGATACCGGGCTGAAAACAACTCCCTGCGCAACCACAGGTACAATTTTATCACCCAATCAAAGCAAGTGCTGCAGAATGAGATCCTACATTTGGTCATTTGAAGAACGTACGAGTACTTTTCCGTAGGTTTCCCTGGCCCGATCATCAGATAGGCTCTCCGCTGTGACTGCACGCATAACAGTAAGAGAATATCCTTGATTTCTAGAACGGAACCGGGAACCTCCCATTTCAACACAAGCGATTGAATTCACATCGCCATGAAGAAAAAAAAAAAAAAAAAGATTGAAGGAAAGGAACGAAGTGCGGAACTCAAGTCGCGATTGATCTCGCAAATGGTGACCAATCCTTGTGGGGGCACGCGCGGCATTCCCGGAGAAACAGAGGCGGACCTCTCCACAGAGCTGGATTTCGATCGAAACCGGAAAAGGATCGAGGGAAGCACAGGCCAGAGCTGAAATGCGAGCCCTGCTTTCGAAAAATCAGGAACTTGCGCGGCAGCGCGTAGGGTTTTGGGAAGAAAACGACCTCTACGTAGAAAATCCGACGGGTTCCTCAGTAGCCAATCAGGAAAGGAATTGTGGGGCCCACCATTTTGCCGGAATACATATATTTAAATTCCTTAGAACTGAAATTACTGATAAACCCTTATTTTTTGTTACTATGTGGTTCTCTGAAACTATCAATTTATTATCTTTGTTGTCCTACGATTTGAAGGCGAAAATACGAAAGTACCCTCTTGATGACAGAGGAATGCGCCAACCGTGCTCTCTCTCTCTCTCTCTCTCTCTCTCTCCCTCTCCCTCTCTCCCTCTCTCCCTCTCTCTATATCTCTATCTCTTGCTTACCCCCAACCCATCTCCATCATCACGTAAAACAAAGCAGGAGTGCCACCCCAAGCGGAATGAAGATAGTTTTGTACTCTTAATTAAATCAGATCAAAGAACTTTTGAACCTTTTTTTTCTGATTACCCTGAAAAATAAACCAGCTCATCAATCATTCATTAGCTCTTGCTGTGCGTTGAACGCTAATAACCTTACATAATATTCCAGAACGAGCATCCCACATTATTCCAAAAAAAAACGAAAAAAAAAGATAATACATAAAAAATAACACAATTTTTAATTTTTTGTATTTCACAATATCATGTTAAAAAACCCCAGAAAATGGGCTTAGGATCACAGCTCTGTTTAAATTCTGAAATAATATATATATATATACATATACATATACATATACATATACATATATATATATATGATTTCAAGTCCATTGTTACATCAAAACTCAAGAAGAAGAGCACCTCATAAGAAGACAGGATTTAGATTAGATTACAAAGTATTTACTGTTGATAGGGTACAATGAAAGCGGGCTACTTTACGCAAGCGCACTTCGGCTTCAGCCTTGCCATCAGCTTCTGCAGTAGGTTGGCCTTCCTCTTCTGTCTTCTCTTCTTCGTCCTCTGCTTCGATTTCTTCCGAAAGTAGGAAGTGAGTTAGGATGATTGTTTCTACCGATTTGTTCACGGAGTTATTTCATCAAACTCAGAATTAACACACCAGAGTGAATTCGGAATGAGAAACTCGGTTCCAGAACAGGATCAGCGGAGACCAAGAAGATCAGGAAAATGGTTCTTACCGAGAAATCCTTTTTGTCGACGTCCACCCGCTCCGTTTCTGTCGGCAGATTGCAGATGTTAAACTGGAATTCGTGGCTGCCTAAACAGTGCGAAGGAGATTAAGGGTTGCTAGCGTTTGTGCTTACCATCTTCGTCTTCCTCGTCCACCCATCTATCCCAATCAACTTTCAGGAAGGCGGGAGGCTTGCCCTCTTGTTTCAGAATCCTGCTCCACCATTTCTTCTCGGCTTTCTTTATAACATACGCAATATGCCTCACACCAACAGTGGCTTTGCTTTCCTGTGGCATCCCGAAGGTAGTGCTCAGATGACGGGAACGTAGTCGAAGAGCATGAGGATGAGGACATTGAAGAATGGCATTACCTCGACATTGATCTTATCGAAGAGCTCGATTTCGATCTCATAGGGAACACCATCTTTGGTCGCCGAGAAGATGAACTTCCCTTCTGGCTGCAGCTCCAGGCTCACATCCTTCGCGTCCGGAAGCTCGATCTTGAGGTAGACCTCGTCGGACCTCTGGGCCCACTTCGTGGTCGGGTGCCGGCTGAAATCACAATGGAATTCGTGGATTAGTGAGCATCTAGCACTCAGTATCCTTTCATGTTTCGCCATCTCTCACAACCGGCAATTTTCTGCTAGATCTCAAGGAGAAAGGAACGTCGATCAAGTCTCTGAGAGAGAGATGAGGACGATTCAGCAACGCCGATCATTGCGGAAATCAGACGATCACGAAGCGGACGAGAGGGAGAAGAATCGCAAGGGAGACGGTGAAATGCCAGTTACCTCATCGTTCGAAGGACAAACTGACGAGCTTCCTTCACCGGTGGCGATGGCGAATCCGCCGTGGAAGATGGAAGGGAGGAAGCGGGAGGAGGTGAAATGACAGTTCGAAGAAGTCACTCGAACTTTCCAGAAAACCGGGTGGGAGGAAAACTTTGTAAAAAAATCCCTCACAATACAGTAATTACAGGTACAACCCAACTTAACAGTTTTATGTCGTAATTATCCCACCAAAAATTTTATCTCTACATGGTTTCTCTTGCATTGCAGAAAAAACAACCACTTCACCAACTACACTAGTAGAATTCAAAGGGTTGACCCGACTCCACTGGGGATCGAACCCAGAATCTCTGGTTCCGTAGACCAGCGCCTTATCCATTGGGCCATGGAGTCTTGCGTTGACCAAATGTTCACTCCCTTATATCTCAAATAGTTAACTTTTTCTCTATGCGTCCGATTTCTTTTATTTTATTTATTTTTTGTGAAAGGTATATATATATATATATATATTATAATATATATACTAATAAAGGCGTAACACTAAACTAAAACTTCCACATTCAGATATATATGGATATTGGCAAACACGTTCAGTAAACTTACACTAACAAAGGAACACATACACCAATCAGACAAATTACACCATTACATTAAAGAGAAAAGGACACATTTTTGGAATCTACAAAAACATTCTAGGAGAGGGCTCGTTATGATCTTTGATAAGATCACAAGGTGCTGAAGTGGCTGGAGGGGGGATCCTTAGGTTTTTGTGAAAGGGATGCTCTTATCATGCATGTTCTCGCTGATATGATTTCACATCGGCCAATTTTGCTCAATTCTTTTAATTTTTTTAATAAACTCTATTTTTTCCAAAAAATAAAATCATAATATATCATGGTTGAGGTAGTTAAATTGTCTTATATCAGCATCTCAAAAAAGATAACTGTCATTTTATCCAATGTATTTCATTCAAGTGATGCTCGACCACCCCATGTTGGCAAGGTCACACCAAGATTTATTGCCGTCATGTTCATAGGATATGGGCAACGTATAGATACTGAAATAGGTGGGAGAATGAGTACAAAAATGTTGCATCATAAAAAATAACATAATAAAAATAATATAGTTTCAGGGTTATTATGGTCACAAGAAATCAGCATCATGTAAATAATAATAAAAATGAGACAATGGGTAAAAAAGGGTGGCATTATTTAAAAAGTACAATAATAATAGTAACAATAATGACATGGCGGCTGCATTGAAATTGTTAGAAAAGCTATATTCATAAGAAAATGGGTGTTTAATGATAATTATCATAATAACATATATTAATGGCTGAAATGGTTATGAGAAATGGGCATCATGTAAATGCAAAAGAATTAGACAATGAGAAAAAAAGGTGGCATCGTCGATATATATATATTAATGATAATTATAATAATAGCAGATATTCATAGCTGAAATGGACATCGTCTAATTGCAAAAAAAAAAAAATGTCAATGAGTAAAAATAAAGTTGGCATAATCGAAAAAATTATATGTATTAATGAAAATTATAATTATAGCATATATTCATAGCTGAAATGGTATGAGAAATGGGCATCGTCTAAATGCCAAAAAAAGTAGGATAATGATAAAAAAAAGGTGGGATCGTCTAATATATATATATGATAATAATAATAATAGCATATATTCATAGCTGAAATGGTCATAAGAAATGGGCAATATCTAAATGAGAAAAAAGAAGTCAATGAGTAGAAAAAAAGAAGGCAACGTAATTGAATAATAATATTGATAATAAATAACAAAGCGGTTCCATCGAAATTAATAATAAAGGTGAGAGGGTAATAAGCATTATTCTGGGTGACCGTTAGTGGATGAATCAAAGCCACAAAGCGTCGTTCCCGAACTTCCTCGGCAGCGGCGGCTGGTAGGCGAGGCCGATCAGAAGCCGCCATCGCCAGTGACCGGGTCCTCCTTACTATTCTAGAGCTCCTCCTCACTGCCTATATTTCTTTACGGCCCCAGCCCCAGCCCCAGCCCCAGCCCCAGCCCCATGAGGAAGCTTCCGCCCTTGTCCATATTTCTTTACGGCAATCCAAGTACGAGGTGAAGAAGAAGAAGAAGAAGAAGAAGAAGAAGAAGAAGAAGAAGAAGAAGAGGAGCTTGGAAGAGGGGAGGTGAGAGGGGGAATGGGATGGGGGCCTCTGCGAGACTTCTCGTGGCCGATTTGGTGATGTCGTTCTCGTGGGTCTGGTCCGGCGCCCTCGTGAAGGTCCTTCTTTTGAGGACCCTGGGGCCGGAGATTATCCGCCAGGCCGGTGGGGAGATGCTCAGATACGCCGTCTCCGTGTTGGTGATGTTCTTCTTCGCCTGGCTTGGGACAATCACCCGTGGCGCCTCCCATAATCCGCTCACCGTCCTGTCCCACGCCATGAGCGGAGACTTCTCCATCTTCCTCCTGACCGTCCTGGGCAGGATTCCCTGCCAGGTTTCCTCCTCCGTCTCTCTACTTCTCATCAATCTGGACTCTGCAATTTTCTGGCTGAATTTCTAGCTTTGGATTCCGTTCGGCGTTGACTTTGGATTAGGCTCTTGGAGGATGCTGGCCTGTAGAAGCGTTCTTGTTCAATTTTTTTCTCCCCCTGTGCTGGGGCGACCGTTTCCTCTTCCTCGTCGCCGCAGCTGCCATGTTTTCACCTCCATTAGTCAGTGAAGAAACATTCAATCAGAGAGAATTTGTGAAAGGTTGAAATCCACCGTTTAGCTGTTTTCTTCACTGATTTTGGGATGGATACCCCCAAATTCCTATCAGATTCAGGGGATGGTAGTCTGTCAGAGAAGCAGGAAAGAGACGGGTGGGTCTGAAATGGAAATGTGTGCTTTCCTCTAAGGTCAAACATCATCCGAAGTATGAACAGGGGCTAACATCCCTGGGTTTTCCTCGATGTCTATAGTTACTAAATTCTGAAATCTTCTTAAGTCGATCATCGATTTTTTTTTCCCATCTGGGTTCATATTACTTACTGATACACGATCCCACAGTGAACTGAAGCAGGCCATCTTGCATTGATCATTGATTATTGCTTCACAATCTCTTGGCCTTTTTCTTTTCTTTTTTCTGTTGGCTACCCCTTTTATTGTTATGATTGGTGATTTACAGGTGATTGGATCTATCATTGCTGTTGGGATGATAAGGGAAGCCTTCCCTGAAGTGGGCCACGGGCCTCGCTTGAATGTGGATGTTCATCACGGGGCGTTGACCGAGGGACTCCTCACTTTTGTCATCGTCATGATCTCCCTCGGGATCAAACAAAAGGACCCAAGAAGCTTCTTCATGAAAACATGGATGTCCAGCATTTCCAAGCTGAGTCTCCATATCTTAGGCTCTGATTTGACCGGCGGATGCATGAACCCTGCTTCGGTAAGTTTCTTACTCCACTCATTGGCCTCTTTCGGGGTATTTTTCTTATATTTGCCTCTCATTTTTTCAATGCAATCGGCTCTTACATTTATGATCCCAATTTGGTGGGTAAAATCATAGATACGCACATGGCGAGATCAATCTCTCCCATAGTTCATCTTCTCACATTAGTATAGAACATAATGACACAATAGTTCATAGTTTAGGAGAAATATTCCAATAATGTCCTATTTATTGTTCCTTTCCTGAAATACAATATGATCAATTGCAAATGTCTGCGGTCTGTATGATTTGATCCTGTAAGGCGTTGACCATAGAAAAATGGTAAGAAGATTACAGAATTCTTTATATTCTGGGGTGTCTTGGATTGATATGCTTGATGGGATGCATGTAATCAAGAATTTGGCGGTGTGTTCCTCAATCTGGAAATAATTTGGGATAATTTATTGAGCAGTTTGGATGAAAACTCTCCTTTTTCTGTGTTAAAAAATGTCAGCCAGCATGATTGGGGGAGAAAAAAAATATTGTTCCCTCTTTAAGCTTAGGATTAAAAGGTACTGTGAAGTCACCCCCCTCCCCCCCCCCCCTGCGGGTCGATGGGCATTACGATGAACATACATGGAATTCGTTGACCTTTTGCATCGCCACGTGTCTCTCTCTCTCTCTAACACACAATCTCTGTTTTTCTCTTGAGATTCAGAAGGCTCCAGCAGCCTGTTTCCGGGCAGAGTTTATTTGAACAAATGTGGTCGATTAGTCCTATGCTTTTAGTTTGACCGTTTTATTATCGGTGGTTGACTTTTGTGGGCGCGACATGGGCAGGCGTTTGGGTGGGCGTACGCTGGGGGGAGACACGTGACGAAGGAGCACCTTCTGGTCTACTGGCTCGCCCCCATTGAGGCCACCTTGCTCGGGGTCTGGATATTCCACTTGATCGTTGGCTCGCAGAGTAAGAAGAGCAAGATCGAATATAATTCGTGATCTGATCTTGCGTTTGTAGGCTTTAACGGTTATGTTAATTGCCAAAGATTCTGCTTTTAATTTTTTAAAAATTTTCAAAGATTTTTGAGAGTTGACTTGCGTCAGACGACCGAGTTGGGGTTTTCTTCTGAAGTCAACCGTGTGTGCTTTTGCTCAGTTACACTTCAAAACGGGCAGTTTTCATGAAAGTTTCCAGAGCAGAGGAAATCAGGCAGCAGAGGAAATCAGGCCCTCGCTCTTGTCCTGCGCCATCTCCATCTGCCTTGGTGTGATGTGTGGAGAGAGAGAGATGGAGAGTTGGGGACGTGTGTATGATAGAGAGAGACACAACGAGCATTTAAAGCGACATGGGTAGCGAGAGAAAGTGGTCTCTGCGCTAGGGAGCGATGGGTGGTGTGCATGAGAGTGAGTGAGTGAGAGAGAGAGAGAGAGAGAGAGAGAGAGAGAGAGAGAGAGAGAGAGAGAGAGAGATGCACGCAGAGAGATGGAGAATGGGGGACGTGTGTGTGATAGAGAGAGGCACACCGAACATTTAGAGCGAGATGGGTAGCGAGAGTAAGTTCTCTGCGCTGGGGAGCGATAGGTGGCCTCTGTGCGAGAGAGCGATGAGTGGTGTGCCTGAGAGAGAGAGTGAGAGTGAGAGAGAGAGAGAGAGAGAGAGAGAGAGAGAGTGATGCACGCAGACAGATGGGGGGTGGGGGATGTGTGTGATAGAGAGAGGCACAACGAGCATTTAGAGCGAGACAGGTAGCGAGAGAAAGGGGCCTCTGTGCGAGAGAGCGATGAGTGGTTTGCATGTGTGAGAGAGAAAGAGAGATGCACGCAGACAGAGGAAGTGGGGGATGTTTGTGATAGAGAGAGGCGTCATGAGCATTTAACGCGAGATGGGTAGCGAGAGAAAGTGGTTTCTGCGCGAGAGAGCGATGGGTAGTGTGCATGAGAGAGAGAGAGAGAGAGCAGAAGAAGAAGAAAGAACGCCATAAACAAGAAGACCGCCTTCAACAAGAGGAGGGGGGTGAACAAGGACGACCCACCGACGACGACGATAAACTCTCAACCAAACCGAATCCGAAGAACCTCAACAAAAAGACCAGCAAGAAGAGGAAGAAGAAGAGAAAGAAGAAGAAGAAGAAGAGAAGAAGAAGAAGAAGAAGAAGAAGAAGAAGAAGAAGAAGAAGAAGAAGAAGAAAGTACCACACGAACACCAAGAACAGCAAGAACAAGAACAAGAACAACAACAGAGGGAGACGAAAAATAAAGAAAAAAAAAAAACAGGGGAAACAGAAGATCACACGGATGCTAATAAACACTCATACAGCGGGATGGATGCCTCCTCCCCTCCTCCACCTACCTTCCCTTTCCTTTTCTTCTTCCTTCCTCTGCCAGCTCCTGCAGAAAAGCTCGCTCAATCACTTGGCCATCATGACCTTGACGAACTCCTCGTAGTTGATCTGGCCATCGCCATCGACATCGGCCTCGCGGATCATCTCGTCGACCTCCTCGTCGGTGAGCTTCTCACCGAGGTTGGTCATCACATGACGGAGCTCGGCGGCGGAGATGAACCCGTTCTGGTCCTTGTCGAAGACCCGGAAGGCCTCCTTCAGCTCCTCCTCCGAGTCGGTGTCCTTCATCTTCCTCGCCATCAGATTCAAAAACTCTGGAAAGTCGATCGTCCCGTTCCCGTCTGCATCCACCTCGTTGATCATGTCCTGGAGCTCCGCCTCCGTCGGGTTCTGCCCCAGGGACCTCATCACCGTCCCCAGCTCCTTGGTGGTGATACAGCCTGCAAGACAATTGCTCATAGGTCAACAACAGCCAAGAGCGTTGACCTCAAATTTTAATCACAATCCCAGCGATATTTGGATCAGAGCAGTCGGTCAGCTTCAAAGAACACGAAAAGAAAAGAAGAAGAAGAAAAAGAAAGATGAGGGCAATTATTCAAGGCTTCGAAGCAATCTGGATATAATCTGTGCATATCCCTAGTTACGTTGGTGGTTGACCGGGTTTATCAAAATCAACCGTAACACTTGGGGTTTGGGATCGATGCAGCTCATATTGAAAATAAAATCAGATAAAAGTCACAGTCTAAAGTGAAACATACGGAATTAATTCTGGTCTGACTGTTTTCAGATCTAAGGGATGCTTCGAGTAAGAGGGCATGTTGGATTATACTACCTAGATGGACACACGGGATCATTAGCAGATTAGGGAATGGAAAGAACCAGCTTCCTGACGCAGTGACTATTCACTGTTTCGACCAAAAACGAAAAAAGGGCATTTGAGTTGACTCTCCCATTATTTTCTGAATCAGAACTTGCACTGATATAATGGATTCGTATTCGTTTCACAGGATTTTGACGTGGGTTTCCTTAACCCGAATATGCAGCGAAAGTAGATCTCAATGGGGTGGATCGGTGTACAAAGATCTTTATTTTGGGAAAACACTGGTAATAGCCATACACTAGAGGGGATGAATTCTTCAGGAGATCAGTGCTATGCCATAATTGACATATGTGTCCATTACAACATTATATCTGTTCCGTCCTTGAGGCATTAGGTCATGTCACAGGCAAGAAGAAATTCTCTATTCATAGAAAAAATGCAATTTATTGGTCAGTCGAAACATTCAATCATGCATTAACAACCCTATAAATTGTTAACGTACGGATCAACATGGGTAGAAGAATCTAAAAGCCTTCAGCAGCCGTGAGGTAGGGTACTGGCCCGTATTCTTCTTCAACAAACATAGAAACATCAGGAAACAATACGTTTTTTCTCCCAGCCATTCCCCAAGAGCTCCCCTTATAACTTGCCAAACTTGAAAGAACTAGTCAGCTCCACCCTGTAAAACCAAACTTTCTGTCTCGTAGCTACTCTAACATTTTTCTGACCTTCTCAAAATTAACCTGACAACGCAGGGCACGACATTATAAAAGAAAAGGATATCAATACATAACGGTTCCACTAAATATCGGAAATATTTCCGATGGATCCAATCGCCGCAAATGAATGTCCCACAAGAGTCAGAATAAAACCCTGTCGATGGCTGATTTATCCAAACAGTTGATGAAAAGGACAGATACTACAATACTACGGACTCACGATTGTACACGAAGAAACATCCACCCTCAAAACCTTTAAAAGGAAATGTCAAACTCAATTCGAATAAACTTTCACGGAGCAAGATCATTCAAAGCCAAACATTGATTCAACAAAACAAACGTTGCTTTACACATGTAGTCCACCTAAATCCCGGCCGTTCAAACAGGCGGTTAAAGGAACAGACCAAAAGGATCTGGATCTGTAGGAACAGTGCGGGCCAATAATAGATTTTAGGTCAGAGATCAGACAATGGGGTTTTGAACCCGCCCAAGAGTACGGGGTCACGATAAAAAACATTAACACGCATATTAGATCGAAAAATAAAATAAAACATATCATTCAGCTAAAAAAAGTACATACAACACACAAAAATAAGATCAACAAGCAATTCGATCAAAGTCGAAAAGCCCGTATGAAGGCAAAGGGGCATCAGGTGAAGGCCCAGTGAATCTAACCGTCTCCATCCTTGTCGAACAAGCTAAAGGCCTCCTTGAACTCAGAGATCTGATCGTCGGTAAGCTGCTCCCCCATGGCGTTCTCTCCTGAGGAATTCCTGCCGAAGGGGAGGAGAGACGAAGATCCGTCAAAGCAACGAGGAGACAAATTTGAGGTCTCGACCGGCGGATATTTATCCCGTAAGCATCATGTTATTTTCCACAACAGTCCTTGATATTATCTATAATTACTTAAAAGGACAAAAATCTCCTCCGTTCTTCAATATCGTGAAATCCTTCCACGTGGCAGAGATCCCCAGCCACCGCAGGCTATCTTTGAACCTTGATTCATTATGGACCGTCCGATGATGAATGACGATCACAATCCGATGTAAGACGACGTCTTCGTTTAACAGATGTCCATTGGGCCCGATGGGCCCAACGACCATCGCCTCGGTTCTGACACGCTTCTCACGCAGTGCGTCCATCTCCAATCGGAGCGCTAAAAAGCCGCCACGCCATCCCGCGAGTAGGCCGTTGCGTAAGGGACGGGAAGGCTTTATATATTTAATTCAGAGACGAGTGGACGCCGAAATTGGCCCATTATCATCCAATCAATAGGCCCAATGCGACCCATTTAATTTTATGGGCCAGAACGATGGATCCTGATTCGTAAAACCCAATAAGGGCCTTCAAAGCTGAACCCAACGTTCACGGGCCCAGCGAAGCTCACCATGGTACCTTTAATGGGCCGAGAAGAGGGTCACCTGAATATCGAGACAACCCACTAAATATTGGCTTAATATGGCATTCATTTGGGCCCAATATTGGCCCAAAGCAACGCTCGAAGTTCCTGTTGTTGATCACCATGAGAGGTCACGTTTGATGGTATTTTTTTCAAATCCCACTCTGATGATTCACAGTCATTTTTTCACCCTCCTGTTTCCGAATATATGATCATTAATGTTGCTGACCTGGGCCACAATTTCCCTACATGTTCTCTCTTGGAGCATACGACCGGGCCGAAGCCCATTATGTTGCCTTATTGGGCCAACATATCATATATTGGGCCCGTTGACAAACACCAACGACAAGCCCAACATGGCAATCTAACGGCCCGCGGACTTTCACCGACAAAGCAGCGCACTAGAATCATTATTTCCCACATGAAAATTGTGGGTAAAATTAAACAGTAATGAATGTTAAAAAGCAACATAGAAAAACAACATAGAAAACGAAAAGAAGAGATTAAAAAGCGGTTCGATCAAAGTTCAAACGCCAGGGGCACAGGTGAAGACCCGATGAATCTAACCGCCCAACGCGGCAATCTACGGGCTAACAAGCCCGTAGAAGGAGGATAAAATTAAGCGCTGCACTGGAATCATGTTACACATCAATTATCCACCACACTGTTCCGTAGGAGAGAAACAGTAAAGTGAACAGAAGAGCTCTCTCTCTCTCCCTCCCTCCCTCCCTCCCCTCCATTCTGGGCTACGTAGAAGGAGGCTGGTTTCTTAGAGTTAGGAACGCTCTGAAAGTCAAGAGAATGCCAAGAAGCTCAACTACGTTCAGTGCAAAGAAGACCACCTGATCACCTGCATGACAGAAAGATGAGGCTCGCGTTGATACCATGATTCGAGATAGCTATAAGGACCCAGCAGCTCAACTATGAACACAGTGAATGCTCAGATAATCAGCCGACTTCTAGTTAGATAACATCAATTGTGAAGTCGAATATATATATATAAGCACATTTTATATGTTGATTTGAAGGAAATTTCTGGACCATTACCTGGAAGAAACGAAGCAGTCTGACGTTTCTGGGCCCAAGAAAGTCTGCATACAAGCAAATTTAGGACTGAATCAAACCATCAGCGTAATTCCTTTTTTTTGTGATTTTGGGTAATCAAATTAGCATTCCTATTAATTTTTCGATAAATAACTCTGAAATCACAATGTTTTTATCCTGAATAGCATCACCAGCGCAAAGGATAAATCACTCAACCAAGAAAATTCATGAGTCCTCCCAAATAAAGTAATCTTATTTGGGACTGCGACCAGCACGGCAAAAAAGAATGCGTTCTTTAATATGAAGAGAATAAAACTTATCCCCAGGTTAATACATAAATGAGTAGGAATGGGAGAGGGACATACTCTGTTATCAAAGAAATAAAATAGCTTACTAAATTTATTAATTTCTACGTCAACAATGCCCTCTTTCCATATTGTGCCTCTCAACTATGATATGATATCCCTAAAGACATGTTCATTATAAGAGAACAATCTAGAAGCTTCTATAGTAAACACTGGGACAAAAATAGGATGAACAATATTATTCGAAGTTCTAGATCACAGGGAAATAGCGTAATTAGTTGAGGGTATTTTCAAATATGTATTATCACTCCTTTTATTATTACTCAGAGTTGAATGAATTTTGAGGCGAGGTTTTATTTCTTCATTTCAAAATGGTATCAGAGCACTTCATCCATCTGTCATCTGATAATATATCTGAGTTCATCAGCAGCCGGTTCGTCAACAACATCTTCAAGTTCATTGGTGTCATTTCTGTCTGCATCAAGCCTTCTGTCTAGAGGTTGAAATAACTAGATTCATTACCATTGTTTCCATCTTCATCAGCGTTCTTGAGAGAGGTAAAATCAGCCTCTCTAATCTACGCTTATCTCAGTCCAGTGTCGTACTCATCCTCCTCAGTCCATCTCCCTTTGTTCTGCATCAATTCTTTGTCTTCGCTAGTCTGACAGCCAAAGTTCTTCACAGTCCATGTTGCTACAGTTCATGTTGTCTGGTGCTGTCTGCTCACCCTCTGCCTTCGTCGAAATGGCCTTCACCTTCCAGTTCTTCCACAAGTTCATTACTTGATCAGTGGGAGGGGTGCTGGCCTACACCTCTCCTGAGAGCTGAGCCCCATCATCACATCAATCGTCATAGTTGAGAGCCTTTGCATCAGATCTTGGCACTATGCAGATCTTGCCACTCTGTCAACTACTTCATGGCTCCCAGGCAGGCTCTGCAGCCTTGGGACATAACGAGCATCATGATCAAGTCAAAGGTGTTTGGTGCTATCATATCCATGGTGAGCAGTCCTTGAGAAGCATCAGATGAGCCAAAGGTGTAAGTGAATCCACAACTTCAGTGGCAATCATCTTTGACTACCATCAAAGGAAGAGTTGCTATCACAATGGATTTTCTTCATCACCAACTTAGTTAAGAAGATCTTTTTCAAAGTTCATCTTAAGAGGGAATGTTGGAAGTTCTAGGTCATAGGGAAATAGTATACTTAATTGAGGGTGTTTTTGCAAGAAAATATGTATTTTGTTACTCCCTATAAATGAGGGTTAGAGTTGACTATATCTTGAGGCAACATGTCAAAAATACAATACATCTTCACTTGTTCTTATAGGCCTCCTTTAGTGCCTGCACACATTTGAGAGGACTTAACTATAGATTTCTTGGAAGGATTATCTTGATCAAAGGGGTTTTATTTCATATTGGTTGTTGTAGACATATTGAGCAAGTACAGTCACTTTATTCCACTTAAACATCTATTTTCAACTCTTAAAGTTGCACTCATCTTTTCTAAGTGGTACGACTTCATGGGATTCCAAGATCAATTATCTTAGATTGCAACAAGCATGTTACCAATAATTTTTGGAAGGAACTATTCAAACTACAAGGTGTTGAATTAAAAATGAGTACCACATACTACCCTCAATCAATAGGCAATAGAAGGTCATGAAATAGGTACTTGAGAACTTACTTAAGATGTTTTGCATCCAATAAACCCAATTGATGGAGTAAATGGTTGCATTGGGCTTAGTATTGCTACAACATTACTTTCCATTCGTCTCTCAAGACAACCCCATTCAATGTGGTTTATGAATGAGATCCCCCCACCATCATCAAATATGATATTCTGCCCTTACCTCATTCTATAGTAGATCAACAATTAAAGGATAAAGATCAAATGCTCACTCTCATCAAACCATTATGAAATAGAAGGCTGATAAAAGGAGATTAAATGTTCAATTTATGGAAGGGGACTTTGTCTACCTTCGTCTTTAACCATTCAAGATGAAATCTCTGGCCAAAGAACCAAATGAAAAATTGGCACCACGATATTTTGGACCCTATAAGGCCCTCCATTGTGTCGGCCAATCAGCCTATTGATTGAACATTCCGATCCACTCATTCTATTCACCTAGTGTTTCATGCATTACAACTACACAGGGGGGGGGGGGATAGGACTTCAAGATCGTGTACAACCCTTTCCTTCAAATTTAACACAAGAGCTCGAATAGAGACTTGTACTAGAGTCCTGCTAAGACATTCGACCTACAACAACAGGACCCAAGATCTTTATCAAACGAGTACATCTTCCAAATTTTAAGCGACATGAAAAGTAGTTTCAAAGATCATACATATATTTCCTGACTTCCACCTTGAGGAGAACATAGATTTGAATGTTTGTGATAAGAGAACAGCCTAGAAGCTTCTATAGTAAACACTAGGATAGGAATGGGCTGTACAATATAAATACCCTCCCCTATGAATAAGAGGGGGTATTGTGGTAGAAGTGACACGAGAGGAAAGGAGAGAGGGAAATTCTCTTGAATTAATTCCCACCTGTCCATTGTTTTCCCTACTTTCCTAGAATACATTGCTTGTTTTCCCTTTGTCATTTGAGAGGAAAGAAGGGGTTTGGATCAAACTATTCTTCTGATTCAAAAATTTCTACCTAGAGAGTACTTCCTAGAAAGATAGCAAAGAAGCACTGAAGGTCACATCTATTGAACTTTGGTCGTATTATATTATAGAAGAGATATACCAATAGTCGAAAGAATAGTTAAGACACTCACAATGCACCACCTACTGCTGGGGCTGCAGCTTTGAAGAGAGACATCAAAGTCATAGCTATGCCATTCGCAGCTCCCCTTTGGTGTTGGTCCTGATGTCGGGCGAACAGAATCAAATATTTGGTCTTGAAAGTTTTTTAAGTGGGAGTTTTGGATTGAGTGAACTCAAAAAAATGGTAAATTATAACATATGAGGATAGAAAATTACCACAGCGTTGTTTTGAAGCAAGATCATTCCAGTATTGATGATCATCTGATCGAAATTGAAAATACAGCCTAATGAGAAGTTTAAACCTCAAGAAATGCCAACTCTCACAAAAGATCACACAGCATATAGGATGTTAAATATGGAAGAGAGGTGAGGACAGAGTTTACGTTTATATGATTTTTCGACTGCAATCATCTCATTAGATTCGATGTACATTTGCTCAATTAATCGTATCGGTTATGCCTATCCACGGATATTTTATGCCTTATTGCATAATTTCTGAATCCACTTTCTCACTAATTTTTCACCATTCTCGGAAAATTGAAGCCTTACTACTCAATTCAAGTGTCACATGGAAGAAAACTACGAAGCATTCTTGATGATTTATGCAAACTAGTGCTCCAAAATGTTTGACTTTAGTTCAGGTTTCAAAATCTTAGATTCAGCTTCTGACCATCCCTTGGGGATTATCACACATCTCTCCTGTACCTTTTCCTGGAGGCTGAAGAAACCCTTCACACGAAGGATTCAATCAAACTAACAACCTTAACATATAGATGACGTAGAAATTTTCGATCTTGTAAAAAATGAAATAAAAATTCAGATCATACCAAATGGACCAACTCAACAGCTAAAACATGTTGAACTTGTTGCTCATTGTGGGAACTTCAACATAACAGAGGGACACATGATTACAAGATATTCCTTTTTTGATCAAAATATGAAACTCCTTTACTCTACAAAGCAATCTCTACATGCCATTCTACTAAAAAGAAATCATAATGTACTCATGTTCTCTACTCACTAAACTATTTCCATTTTTCCCTCCTTGATTATATGTTAAATCTTCATCATGAGTATTGTACGTAAAAAGAAAAAGTGATGAAATGATTTCACCTATTGCACTAGAAAAGAGAAGGGAACCAAAGTTGAGCTGAACTCACAGCCAAAATGTTCTTCAACGAAGATGCGAAATTCACAACCATGAAAAGTTCAACACCAGATAGCATTGCAAAAAGAGGATAACTAGATAGGAGTGGGATTGCCAGAACCTGTAGTGAGAGCCTATAGTGAGATGGAGCCCAAAAAATAAATAACAAGAAACTGTATAATTCATACCCCTGCAATTTGAGATGAAACAACAGGACCAAGCAGTCTTTCAAGGGGAGAGTACAAAGATAGTTGGAAGACAAGAAGACTAAAGCCTGAGAAAAAAACTCAGTCAGTCCATGTTCCAGAAAAATTCACTTACACAGGGACATGGATTATTAATGAGAAAGTCGGCATTCAAAAATGACTTTATCTAGACCATGAATTTTGCTTTATAAACTGGGAATTCAAAGACTCATAACCGAATGATAAAAAGCTGTGGTAAACAGTCTCATATTTGACTGGATGCTACACAGTCTGACTGACATGTAGTATATTTATAGTTTCAATGCTCAATGTGCATCAGGATAGTCCGAGTTAAGTTACACTGAAATATTTTAAATCTACAGGTATATTTTTAGGTCTCTTAAAATATATAGTGGAACAAGTCAACGCTGAGCAGAAAGTTGCGATCAAGTACAATTTGAATAAAATTTCCGTCTACATATAAAAACAATACTATGTCTACTTATCTTCTCCAAACTAGTCCTTAGGTGGGAGATAACTTGACGCATGCACCTGTGGAACTCAAGAAATGATGTGTGGGTCTTTGAGCCACAAAACAGGCAAAGGAACATAGGTTTTGATACCATATTAAAACATCCTTCTGAAACACAATGTCAAATGCCCGATCTATTTAAAAGCAATGAACATTCGCGACAACATCCTTGAACATCTCTGGAGCATCTACTAGGAGAGAGCGTCAGTTTCTACGGAGCATCTGTTCCTGCCCTTCACTTTGTACCTGCTAGCCTCAAGTCATGGGACAAAGGCTATAATGTCCAGCTATATAGGCCTTTCAATGATTGTTCAGCATGCATTAATTAAATAGTATCATTATGGCGCATCCAACATAAAAGAACCCTATTGAGTGATTTATTGCGTGTAACATTTCCTTACTACTTGAAAGTACTGATGTGGGAGTACTCCAGTAATTAGGAGAATGTCATGTGCCTGAACAGGTAGGCAAGAGAGTAAGATGGCACTGCAAGTGTCAACTGAAACCCAATTAGTCTTTAGCTGGATACCCAAAATATAAATACCTACCCAGTACTACAGGCCAATAATTAATATTTCGTCCATACTTCAAATATGCAAAGTGAACATCCCGAAATAATCGCAAAGAAAATGAAATGCCTAGATCAATAAAATAACATAATTTATTCCCACGAATTCTTTTCACCAATTCCAAACATATAGCATAACAGAAGTTTGAGTAGCAGAATCACATAATGGCTTTCTAGTAGTCATATTGACCGAGGAGGAGGTGAAAAGCATATCATTACCGGAAATTTTAAAAAAAGCTGTTAACTGAGTGAGGAAATGGGTCGTATGTTCCCAATGTATGATTTTAGCTTTCCCAATATGAGTAAAAATCCAACATTATCATTATCCTGAGACCAAGTATACCTGATACTGCAAGCACTTGGCCAACATCCTTCGTGGAAAAGCTCAGACCTCCATATTTTCTATCACTTTCAGCCCAAAGGGAGAAAATCTACAAAATTAATGACTTCACGTAAGAATCATACGGTTAATAAACAAAAATCTATCATCACCATACTGTTCACATGGACAAACTACAGCTTCATCATTATGAACAATATGCAAGTTACTCTGTGTGTATGTGTATGTGTATGTGTGTGTGTGTGGGTGTGTGGGTGTGTGGGAGGGCGGTGAGAGGTACCTCAGAGTAAGCCATATCATGAAAGGAGAAAATACAATAAACGGCAATGGATGACATCAAAGGCCAATTCTTAAAAAGATTTTCTTCAGATGGATATTTTTTCATTTCCCTCTGTTCATCCTTCATTTTGAAAGAAGATCCATCTTCAGAAACCTCAAGAGAATCATAAGATATATGTTCTCTAGTTTCTTTGTGAGTATGCAATGTTTCCTGCAAAAAGGTGTACCACGATAATAAGAAGAATGTCATTGCCGGTTGCAAGGAAAATGAAAGAGTAGTAGTATCCAGCAAGACTGAAATGTAAAAAAATCACTTGCCCACTAATCTATATTTACTAAAATGGAAAAAATATTCCAGACACTATCCGTCTCATCACAAAAACATAATGACATAAAATTAAGATAAGGAATTTAAGTTGACATATTGTCATTCAAAACTTTAAAGAAGATAAATCTATGAGGAAAAATAATATTAGAAACTAGGGTTAACTAGTTTTAGGTCCCAATAAACTCAATCCATTATTCATAAGCTCTTACATTTCTCCTGTCAGCTTTTAGCCCCTAGAAATTTCTTGTTGTTGAAGATTTAGCCTGGTTGTTAATTTCTTAATTCCTGTCAGAAGAATAGAAATATAATCGTAATACTGCATCAACGTTGATTTCTCCCATTAATGTTATTTAAGTGGAAAAAAAATCCGGTCTGGGGAGATGGGTTTACTTGGCCTTACGCATATTTGTGGTCTGGGAGAGAGAGAGGAGAGAGATCAAAAGAGATGCCTCTGATACGAGAATAAATGTCCTTTTTACTTAGGACTACACTCGTCCTTTTCTTGTGACGAGAGTTCTAAATCCTCACGTATGAAATTTCTAGAGACTCAAGTTAGCGGGAAAAATTGTAGGGTGTAATTATTAGGCAGCATATACAGGGATATAAATCTAACTAAACATATACAAGAATATCTAACCGGACGTAAGGCCATGAAAGGTCCCGTGAAATATCGTCCATTTCCTATGTTTTACATTCAAGCTAAACATGAAATTAAATGTGACCACCAGACATGAAAGCTGTGATATAGTCAACACCAGTCACTCAATCAAACACCTTTCAAGGAAAGGCCAAACGATCTAGCTACATCATGATAAATGGAACAAATTTATCACAATTGGTTTAGAGACGCTGACGTTTTTCCATCACATTAAATATGTGATGCATACAGTAAAGAAAATAAATATTGATCAAATTACCAGAACGAGCGATATGTATACGAAAATTCTAACTTACAGGGAGCCAAATGCAGGCAACCAATACACCAACTGCAACGAGGGATATACAGAGGCAAGGCAATAAATATGGAAACCTACACAACAAGAACGCCACCATTTAGTATAGGAACAAGTCATTTATCAAGAAATAGAATAAAAACGCACAGAAAATCTCACCTTCCAAAAATAGATTCTTTAGAAAATACATTCGGAAACTTGTCCGCAGGCTGTCGAAAATGCACAGATGAAATTAAAGAAATAAGTTAAATACATCGAATAAATAATCAAAAAACGCTTAAATACAACAAATTCCCATTTTATCACAGAGAGAAAAGACGTCAAGGAAAATTCAGCTGGATGATATAATTACTAATCACCTTTATCAAGATTTCAACATACATCATCCCAAGTCTTTCTCTAAACGCAGATGACTTATCAGATAGTCAAAACATAGAAAAAAATGTCTTCTATTTTTATTCTCTGTTGGGATTATCCGGCAATAAATAAGGCTAATATGGTGACGAATACCACGAGATATCTTCAGAGATATATTACTAAATATACCTCCTTTCAAAATATCTTTTCTTCAAATTTTTATTTAGAGATATCAGAAACTTTGAAGGAAGTCGTATTTTATGTTACTATTTTTTCACTGCCCTTTCTGGTAAGCCTTTTTTCCTGGCCATGTTTAATTTGAGGACTCATAAAGATAACAGAAGATCGGAGCTCTACTAACTTGATGCGAAAAATGCGTTTATATATAGAGACTCTCAAGAGAAAGTTGTATGTACTTCCACACCTGGTTACACTATTTCAGAATAAATATGCAGTTTTAAGGATGCTCTATATGAATTAAAGCAATCTTCGTAAGCCTGATTTAATGGACTTGAAAAACGTAGTGATCACTTTTGACTATGAACATTGCAATGCTGATCATACCTTATTTACAAAGTGGCAAGGATGAAAGGTTTTTTAACTCAATGGTTTATGATAATGATACGAGGTGATTACAAATTTATGTAGACATTAAACTATTAAAGACAAAGCTTGCAAAGGGATTTGAAGTCAAAGATCTTGGTAACGTTAAGCACTTTCTTGGCCTTGAAGTAGATAAATCTAGTAAGGAATTTGAACTATACCCACTGGGCCCACCCTTGGGCCTACAATAGAAGTGTCCTCTATAGGTCCACCTAGGGTATCTGGGAGGAAGATACTGCTCCACTGATCCTCTTTACAACCTACGAAAATCTTCAATCTCAACATAATGGTATATAACTTTTGACATGAAAGAGTTTCTCGTCAGTTTTCAGTATTGTCTCTTGGAGAGCAAGAGAACAATAAAAACTACCAGCCCAGAAGTGGTTATTTCTCGGTATGAAAACTTACTGAACAGAAACCATGCACAAGAACGTCAATGGGCAGTATACGTACCTGTGCAAGGTAACCTCCAATTGCAGGGCCAATAATCAGTCCTATGCCCCACGCAGTAGCAACCTGAATGAAGTAAATTGTTAAATAGACCAGGGCCATTCAGCAAAAAAGTTAATCATACAAAACAATAGGAATTAAATTAAATTAACGGGAAAAAATTCCACACCACTACAAAACTGGATACAGTCCACAACACAAAAAGGTAAGTGAAGTTCTTAACCTTTCAGTTTCACACAATGCAATGGCATATTGCTGAAAAATTTAAGAATAAGAGTTACTTTCCTAGATGGAGAAATGGGATGTCCCTGTCCTGTCCACATAAGCTGCAGGAGTATTCCAGCCACTGTACATACAGAGAATGAGAAGACCAAATGCGGGTAGCCTTCTGGGAAAATTGTCAGCAACCAAATTCACACACTTTGTGGGGATGTATGGAGTTATCTACTGTGATGCCACCATCTGCCATGATGCTTGTCGGTGGGCCAGAGAGCAAATTTTCATCTTTTCCAATTCCATCTGTGTGTCTGCCTCTTCTACCGGCACTGATATTTCTACAAGTAGGCCAAAAAAACTTAAAGCCATTCAATTTATTCCTCACCAAGAATCCTTGCGAAATTTTGGGGGTGTCTCCATTTGATGTTATTTCATAATACGAGATTTATCTTGTACGTTTATGGAGGACATCTGCAGCCTTATTATCCCAAGCATTTCAACCCCAAAGTTGTGTTAAAACCTAAGTCGACAACATTATTACCTAAGCTAACTGGGTAAACGGATATCCATAACTGCATAAGGATTACACTTCCCGACCTAATGTAATATGCACTGTGAAAGATGCATTCTAAAAGGTGTTCTAAGTTCCACATTGAGGATGCCCAACGGAAATTACCATCATGCACGATGCTAAACAAGGTGACAAGTTTTTTAATACAAGTATCACAAAACATAAAAACAAATTCACTTTGATGAAGCAAGTTATACATAATTATTGTGAAAGTCAGTAAGATCTCTTACAAGCGACGTTGCAGAAGCTTGATATTTTGTAGGAGAAACTTCTACAGCATATGCCTGAAAAAAGCAATTCAAATTTATTCCAATCACCACGAAGTAAGAAAGAAAACAGTGAATCGGAAATCATCATCTATATTACCCAACATGATATCTATTTTCTTTGACATTCAATAGAGTCCAAAGCATAACCACATGCCTTTGTACTAACTTGCACCATATCATGCATATTTTTATCATAATTTTGTATTATTAGTGAGTACATACATGCCAAATGCTGCTAGCTAAAGAGAACAATGGAATGATAAGAGTAGAGTGTTGACCAAGGTCCACAAATTGAGAATGTTCAATTTGAATCATTTTAGTTGACTCATTTATGTGGAGTTGGATTCTTGGTTGACCTCATTCTAGGGATTAGATCCTCATTTGACTTTTCTATAGTCAATCCAGATGTAGGGATTAGATCCCTAATTGATTTGATCAGTGGGTAGTGTATGTCGGCCAAATATGAAGTTAAAAAATTAAAAAGAGAAGAAAAAGGATGTTAGTACAATTACATGCTATTGGAGACTGAATTGCAAATGAGTTAAGAAAATGCTGAGAATTGGAAGAAAATCATTACTATTCAACATTCGCGGTAGATTTGATAGTGCCTTGGTACACCATAAGATAACAAAACGTAAGTGGACGTTCTGAACAGGATAAGATAAAATCAGATCAAGTATTTGTCTCCAAGTTGTTAGCGAGAAATTAAAATGCAACATTTATCATTATATTAAATGGCCATAATTTCATTAACTGCATTAATGGCATAAAGTATAAAATTATATTTAATATTAATTGGCCTCTCTGGGCATGCCTCCCTACATGTCTTTTGCTCTAGTTTTCACCCAGCACAATGAGTAAATAAATATGGTATTTCCAAAAAAATACTCTCATAAATAGTGAAATAGATAATTCATTTTAGGAAGTAAATTATTAATTTATCTGTCATTTTTCCCTTCATTGAAGCTTCTTCCTTGAACTTATAAATAGGTTGAAAACTTTTTTGATTCTTTTGATAGTTAATAAATAGTTTGCACTTTCTCACCTCTACCAAAGTAAGCTAAAAAATATATTTGTGATCATATGGACATGTAAATGATGGCTAGTAGGCCTAGAGGGAGAGAGGGAGGGAGGAAAAGAAGGGGAGAGAGAGAGAGAGAGAGAGAGAGAGAGAGCAATTTAATATCATTTAAAGCTAGGGGACATCATCATTACATAAAGGAATAAGATGAAACCACTTGTCCTCCTACCATTTAAAGCTACATTTCATTACCAAGTAAATATGCCTACTTGGGAAGATACTTGGGAAGGAGAAAGAAACTCAGATCATACTTCGCAGACAATGGAAAAGGGAAGATGTGTGTCCACCCATGGCTGTGGCTTCTTAGGACAGAAGAGACGCGGGAGAAGAAGAGAGACGTATTCCTCGATTCTTATTACCTCTGCAGAGGGTGGCGAGTCAAACGTACAGGCAAGTCCTCGAAAGGTATCCCTTCCCTGCTCGCCTTCCACCGATCCACCCTGTATCTGGGGCAATCTTCCACTTTATATCCTCCGCGAGGCGATCTCCTGCCCTGATCCCTCTGAGAAGGATGTAAAGGAGGAAACGGTGGTGCCCTCAGTTAAGCTTGGAGAGCACTAATTAATGGTGGTGCCGCAGGCGTCAAGGGTAACTTTCCCTTCCGTCCCTTGTCCCGTCGCCAATGAAGTTTTCTGTACATATATGCTTGCCTCATGCATCACTACGCACGTCACTTCCCCTTGCTGATAGCGACCTGACAGAAAAGAAAGAGAGAGAGAGAGTACATTGGGGGCCTAGATCCTCATTTGACTCTATTCAAGTCAACACCAGTGTAGGGATTAAATCGAGTTGACTTGATTGTAGTCAATACAGATTTGAGCTGCATTGGGGGCCTATAGAAATATACACAGCCTTAGGGTCTTAGATAACTTCGTTTCTATTGGTCGACTAGATATGAATTTAGAAAAATAAAACCGCTATAGAAATGGACGTTAGTACAAATACGATCCACTGGCGATGGGATCTGCAAATGAGGAAAATATGCGGTTAGATGCCCTGGTCCTCATACGACAAAGTTGTAAGAATATGTTTAGAACTGGAGAAGACAAAGTCACATTAATTATTTGTCGTTTTCGATGTTGTCGGTAATAAATTAAAATATAACATTTTTACTTGCTACAAATGTGCAGAAAACTTTGAAGCTTTATTCGCATAAATATAAAATGTATTGAAATATTTAATATTGAATACTATTTGGACTCATTAGGAATGGCCGTACATGTCTTTTGCTCTAGTTTGTATTCAGCATCCACGAGTAAATATTCCCTTTAAAAAGTGTGTATTTATAAAAATTACGCTCACAGATAATGAAATAATCAATTCATTTTGTACAAAAAAATGCATTTATTTGTCGTTTTGAAAAACCCAGACTGCACTTTATTGGGCTCACAAATCTGGCATAGACTTTGTCGTTTCCACTTGGACCAATCCCGATCGTCCAAACAGACCGATTACTGAGCAACCCCAAAAGGATCCGGATTTGTAGTATAAGTGCAGATCCGGATCTGCAATAATAGATTGTAAGGTCAGAGATCAGACGATTTTTACACAGACAAATGAGCATCACGATGGGGTTTCTGAACCCGCCCAAGAGCATGAGACCACGATGAACAAGATTCATACACCAATTAGATAGAAAAAATATCAAGAAAACAAATCAGTCAGCTAAAAAACAATATATAAAACAAACAAAAAAGATTAAAAAAAGCAGCTCGATCAAAACCCAAAAGCCAGCGTAAAAAGAGAGGGGCATCAGATGAAGGCCCAATAAGTCTCTCTCTCTCTCTCTCTCTCTACCTCCCTCCATTCTGGGCTATGAAGAAGGAGGTTCGTTTCTTAGAGTTAGGAACGGTCTGAAAGTCAAGAGAATGCCAAAAAGCTCAACTACGTTCAGTGGAAAGAAGACCGCCTGATCACGCCTGATCACTTGCATGATCGAAAGATGTGGCTCACGTTAATACTGTGATTCTAGATAGCCATGAGGACCCAGCCGCTCAATTATGAACACAATGAATGATCAGATGATGAGCCGACTTCTAGATAGATATCATAAATTGTGAAGTCAAATATATATAAGAGTATCATATGTGTTGATTCAAAGGTTATTTCTGGATCATTACTTGGAAAAAATGAAGCGTTCTGGCATTTTCTGGGCCCAAGAAAGTCTGTGCACAAGCAAATTCAGGAATGAATCAAACCACCAGCATAATTCTTTTTTTTGGTGATATTGGGTTGTAAAGATATATGTGTATATATCTTTTTATGTTTATGGGCTTGGCCTACTTTCTCTCTCTCCTCCTCACCCCTATATGTATAAGGGCTTCCACCCTTCTTTCTATTTTAATATTATTATTTTATCTGTCCACATAGTTTCAGGACCCTCCTAGGGTTTTCTATGGGCACTGCCATCTCTTCAGCCGCCACTCCATCGTCGTTTCCATGGCAACTCTCTGTAGTCATCTCCTTGGCACCTCGGGCATGGCCACCTCGCCGCACCACTCTCCTACTCAACACTGCCAAGCGCCGCGTCCGCCCACCGCTGCGACCAGCCCCGTGCACCGTGCATTGTCACATGCAGCAGCACCACGCGTCGTCGTCGCTTGGTGGTGCCAACACTATGTGTCGTCACACACAGGAGCGCTTCATGCACAGCCGCACGATGCGAGTGATTCGTGCGTGCTTGCCTTGAGTATGATGCAATTTGTGCACGCTTGCCTCGAGCATGACAAGCTTCACCACACGACATGCTTCGCGTGCCCTTGCCTCTATGCGCTGTGGCCTGCATCAGCGCACACGCCAATGCGCAAGTCCGCACTGGATTGGCCAACACACCCAACAGCGCCCACCAATGCCCTCCAACTAGTCAGCGCTCTTTTGAGCTCCTCTATGCCCTAGGATCACCCTAGGGGGCCCGTCTTCCCTCTTCTGTGTCCTAGGGAACACCCCGAGGTCCATTTGTCATTCTTTGTGTCCTAAGGCATCCTAGGTGTACATCTCCAGCAGCAGCCTGTTTGTGTGTCTAGAGACTCCCCTATACATCACTTGTTCACTGACATGTCTATCAACTTGGGGAGTTCCAAGAAATCTATGGGCAAGGTTTTTGTTCTTGTAGTTCCTACTAGGCATCTGGCTCCTTCTTCATCGGGGGTTGCAATGATCATCACTTGTCACTTATTGGGTGCCGATAATTATTGACAATGGAGCTAAGTTATTTGTGTTTATTTTGTAGGATAGGATCTACTGCCTCTTATTACAAAAGATCTACCAACAAAGCCCGAGATACTTCGGAAGTGGAACTATAATGATCATCGTCTATTAGACTTTTTATGGGCCTCCTTAGAGCCTTGTGTGTATGATATCATACATGACTTTGACATGTATCTGCAGGTATAGGATCATCTTGAATTGATCTATGCCAACATTCTCACCCCCCAGTATAATGTCCAAATCGAGCTTTATGAGATATAGAAGGAGCAATTCTCATTAGTGGAGTACCTTAGAATATTTGTTCAATTTGAGCAAGAATTTGCTTTATTGATGCCACTATCCAACAATCTTGCAATGATATAACATCAACAGCATCACTCTAATGTCATCAACTTTCTATAGGATCTTCCAATGAAATATGATGGTACACAAAGCTAATTTCTATCAAAGTCAAAAGTTCTTTATCTTATTGAGATTTTTCATTGTCCCTCTTGAGCATCTATTACTTCGGTGGCTTCTTCTCTATCGCCTGAGTTTGTTACCTTGATTGCCTCTAATGTTGTTCCTTCTGATGGTTGTCACCCCTATGACTTTGGAGATTGGGAATGTGATAGAGGGGCATGTGATGGCAAGCATGGCAAATATGATTACTCTCTTGAGTATTCTCATTACAGTCAAAAGGGTCACACCTAAGATAGTTGCTATATTCTTCATAAGTATCCCAAGGCTCATGCTACTACATCGAATAAGATTACTACATGTCTATTAACTCAACCATTGGCTCCATCTAGTCTCTCTGATTTTGCCTTGATTGAGGAGGAGGTACAGTGGGTTATTTGAGAATATAAGTCTACTTAGTATTTTTCTCAAGTTGCAACTCTAGTTGCATCTTTGACTCTGCAATATCTTAAGCATGTTGCTTTTATTACTTGGTCATTGTCTAAGTCATCTACAACTCAGTTGCATATTGTTTTGACATTTATGTCTAGTAACACATCTCACCCATAGGTCTTCAATTCAGGTGCCACCCATTATATCTCTAGTATGCATTCTCATTATACCTCCTATTGCTTGAGTCCTTCTCATCCTTTGCTTACCCACATCAATGGATTTAAGCCTTTAGTTTTTGACATTGAAAATTCTTTTCCCTTACTTTGTCTTCCCCTTATATCTATTTTACATGTTCCTCAGTTTCATTTCAATCTTATTTCTATTAGTTCTTTTACTTACAATTATAGTGTATTCATTATGTTTCTTCTTAGATCTTGTGTTGTGCAGGACCTAAAGACAAGAAACAATATTGGTGAAGTAGTTGAGCATGATAGTCTTTATTGCTTGCATCCTTTAAATCTAGTGACTTGTGCTAGTGTCTTTTTGGTTCAAATTCATAGTTAGCTTGGAAATGCCTCTCTTTCAAAGCTCAAATATTTA